CTACGGCCCCCCCGGCACCGGCAAAACCTCCACCATCCTCGCCCTCTCGCGCTCCCTCTACGGCCCCGCCCTCTTCCCCTCCCGCGTCCTCGAGCTCAACGCCTCCGACGAGCGCGGCATCAGCATCGTGCGCAAGAAAGTCAAAGACTTCGCACGCATGCAGCTCTCCCGCCCTCCCGGTGGCGACTACCAAAAGCAGTATCCCTGCCCGCCCTACAAGATCATCATCCTCGACGAGGCAGACAGCATGACGCAAGATGCGCAGAGCGCGCTGCGCCGCACGATGGAGACGTATAGTAAGATCACGCGTTTCTGTTTGGTGTGTAATTATGTCACGAGGATTATTGATCCGTTGGCCAGTCGATGCAGTAAGTTCCGCTTTAAGCGCATGGGAGAGGGACAGGCGGGGACGAGGCTGCGGGAGATTGCGGAGAAGGAGAGGGTGCCGATGGAGGAGGGGGTGGTGGAGGCGCTGATTAAGCACTCTGAGGGGGATTTGAGGAAGGCGATTACGTTTTTGCAGAGTGCGGCGAGGTTGGTGGGGGCGGCGGGGGCGGGGCTGGGTGGGGAGGAGGAGGTGGAGGAGGATGCAATGGATGTTGATGGGGTGCAGAAGGTGGTTACTGTGAAGTCGATTGAGGATATTGCGGGGGTTATTCCGGATCGGACTATTGATAGTTTGGTGAAGGCTATGCAGCCGTCGTCGAGTGGATTGACGTACGAGAATATCTCGAAGGTTGTTACAGACATGGTGGCCGATGGCTGGAGTGCCTCGCAAGTTGTTACACAGGTATGCATTTCCCTTGCCTGTGCATCTAGGGCACCTATTGACAGCAGACACAGCTCTACCAGACTATCATTTACAACGAATCTATCGCCGATATCCACAAGAACAAAATAGTCATGATCTTCTCGGAGATCGACAAGCGCCTCGCGGATGGCGCAGATGAGCATCTATCCATCCTCGACATGGCATTGCGGATAGCCGGTGTACTGACAAGCAAGGTCTAAGCTATCACTCACGATTGGACAAAGCTGGTAATAGATGATTGAGGCCTGGATAAGGGGTGGATTGCATAGCTCTGGAGTTGTGGGGGTAAAAACAGACAGGCGTACGGAAATGATCAACACTTATGAAAAATGGATGAGCTTTGAGAACATATGAAATTCAGTCTGTGGGTATAAATAACATCCCTTATTATCAAAATATAACCAAAAAACTCCATATCCTAGGGTTGTAGTTGCACAGATTACGGGAAATAGAACAAAATGTTGCCATATCAAACAGCCTCCAACACCACCAACCACAGCTTTCCTATACAATTTCCACCTTCCTTTTACACCCTCACCAGCTCGCCCAACCTCTTCTCAATCTTCTCCCTCCCCTCAAGCGTCTCCCACACCTCATGCGGTGCCTTATTCACAATATCCCACCCCACCAACTGCCTCGTCAAATGAGTCAAATCCCTCTGCTTCTCCTCCCACACACTATCCCTCTTCAACTCAATTCCGGAGCTCACAATCGCCAATGGCGTATCCTCCTCCTGAATAGCACGCGAAATCGTAACCTCATTCCTCGTCAAGCTATCCGCCACAAGCGACTCCTGCAGCTTCGCCTTGATGAACTTCCCGCCCTGGTACGCGGACCACCCGTACACCCTGTCCTCGCGACTACGGCCACGGAAGATCGCGCCGGAGAGACGGTCAATACCAAGAGGGGAGAGGATGCCGCGCAGCCAGAGGAAGAAGCCCCGGTGCGGCGAGGCGAGGCGGTAGAGGAGGTCTTCGTGGAGTGGGTCGATGAGCAGGAGTCCCATGACGTCTTTGCCGTGGCGGGCGGAAAATATCCGCGAGTACACGCTTCCCACGCCTGCGCTGGCTAGAACCCACGGTCCCTCCTCGCCTGCGCGCGCGAGAGCTTCGGAGAGAACGTCAGCAGCCATGCCGGCGGAGAAAGGCGAGGGCGCGTTGTCGGACCAGCCGAAGCCGGGGCGGTCGGCGTAGCAGTAGCGGGATATGGTGCCGTTGGCGATGGCGTTGTCGGCAAAGGCCTGGAGGGATAGTCCGAATGGGCGTTCGCCGGCTTCGAAGAGTACGGTTGGAACCTTGTTGTCTGACTTGTCGGTCTCTTTGCCATTACAGTAGAGGTGGATTTGGTATTTGTCGCCGTCGACGTAGTAGCGCTCTCCCTGTGGTGCGAGAGAGGAGTCACGGCTGCGGAGGATGAGAGTCGCGGAAAGGAGAAGAACAGCAAGGCCGACGGCGATGAGAACGATTTCGGATGCTAGAATCTCTACCCACTCGCGGAGGGTGCGGCGGGTCTCTGCGCGCCCTGTGAGACGTTCTTCTTCTTCTTCCTTGCCATATGCCACGACCCGGTCTGTGATGACGACCCAGATGCCGATGAGGAGGGCCCAGACAACACTAGCGATGCCAACCCAGCCTTCCTCGACGCGGAGGCGAGGCACGGCAAGGATCATGATCATGTCGAAGAGAAGGAGAACGGAGGTTACAAGGACGGTGACCTGAGCTGCCTTTGAAGGGGTCGAGAAGAATAGGAGGACGATAATCAGGTTTGCCAGCGATAGGCTCGTATATGAGAAGTCGAAGAAACCGGAACCGCGGTTGTGCAAACCCGGCGGACTGACGAAGATGCTGACGAGTAGGATAACCCACCAGAAGAAGGTTATGAACTGCAGTATTTGTTAGTATATGTGATAATATCTAGGTCGAGGGCCGTACCAAGAACAGTATAGAGAAGTAGCGCATAAACCGCACGCTCCAGAGGTTGTATGGTGAGACCTGGGAGATGGTATTAGTAATGTTATATTGAAGCATTGAGCATCTTATAGCTTACAGCAGGGTCATCTGGGCTCAAATACCCATCCCGAGTCGACGGCTGCGGCAACAAACGGGTATGCTCATCAGGCTCGCGCTCGACGACAATGCGAGGTGCACCTTCATTATCTTCATTGTGGCCGCCGCGAGGCGACTCGACACGGTCACCGCCGGACCTTGTATTCCAAAGAGAAACCATCTTGAATCTAATTAAAAGTTGCGGCTTCTTGAAATTGAGCCGGCTTCGAATAGATAATAGATGGGACCCCAAAGGGAATTAATGATACAACGAAACTTGTTGATGTGATACTAGTTTCGCTTTATGCCATGAGGTAGTATAAACAGCACCGCAATATAAAAGTTGAAGAACGACGGTTTCAAATATCCAATGGAGAAGCATTATATTTGAAACAAATCAAGATTTTGATACTGAACCTAGTCTTTGGCCTGTTTGGAAGCTATTGCGAATCTGTATAGCTTCTGACGTCACCATCTCTCAGGGTTCATCCCAAGTCAGTTTGGGGACGATCGGGGTCCTCCCAAATAGGCAGAAAGGGATAGTATTTAATAAAATAGCTGTGCAATTAAAGCACGGTTATAGAAAAGTTATAGTTTTTCGGTATATGGTCACGGCACGGCACCTTACCATGCATAATAAAGATTTCGTGGCTTTTATTAAATCCCATGTAGCGATTCTGAATTCCGATCCATTTCTGGCATTACGTCATATTGAATTTCCAGTGCAAGCCGAACGCGTTATCGGCATAGTAGTGTTATCGATAAGGCCGATAAGCCATTGCTTAGCTCACGTGCCCCGCCAAAAGCAACTCCCAATGTGTGCGTTGGGTGGAAGCACTTCTATGCATGTTATATTGTTATAAAATTATATTTCCGCATGCTCAAAGTAACAAAAGTAGATTATATTCAGCGGTGCAGATGTCTAATTAGATAGGATTTACCGCCATGATCCCGCCCTCAGTATGAGCGAACTACAACGGGCCTTCGCAAAGGCGAAATTAGCAGGACTCCCGCCCGTTCTCCCGGAGCCACTCGTCGACCTAGACGAACAGGGAGAAGAACGAGATGCGTTTCCCGAGCTTTCAACAGAGCGGTCAGATGATGACTCTTCGTCTGCGTCCTCTGCTTCTTCAGCGTCTTCCACTGGCACTATAAGACCGACGAGTAGCGGTAGGCTGTTTGCACGTCCAATGGGGTGATATATGATTTTTCCTCCTACAAGCAATAAACAGTAGCTAACCGTAGACAGATCACCAAATAGGTCGCCAGCTCACTTTGCCCCTCTACCCTGGACGTCATACTTTGAGCGAGACCTCAAGATATCACACATAGACTCCAACCTCAAAGTAACACATCAAGTTTATCTTACCTCGCCACTGTCCTCTCCCACCAAACCTGGGCCTCTATTTGTCACTCACCATGGTGCAGGCTCGAGCGGGCTTACGTTTGCGACGCTCGCAAAGTCCATCCGGGCTCTCCTCCCAAATGCTGGCATTCTGAGCCTGGATGCTAGAGGCCATGGCTCAACCACTATTGAGACGCTTAATGAGAGTGATCCGATGGATGGGATACTCGATGTTAGCTTGGATACACTGACGGATGATCTCGTCACTGTTATACAAAAAACGAAAGAGGCCATGAATTGGCCCACCATGCCACCCATAATTCTCATCGGTCACTCCCTAGGCGGCAGCGTCGTCACATCAGTGGCTGCTAGAGGCACCCTCGGGCCTTCCCTGCTCTGCTATGCTGTTTTAGATATCGTCGAGCGCACGGCAATTGAATCACTAGCCAGCATGGCCGGCTACCTCAAAAGCCGGCCTGCGACATTTCCAAGCCTGGAGGCAGGTATCGCGTGGCACGTTAGAACCGGCAGTTTAAAAAATGTCGAAAGCGCTAGGGTTTCCGTACCTCCGCTACTCACGCTTCTGTACAACAAACCAAAAGATGACGCGAACTCTACGGCCGCTAGACAAATATACAACTGGCGTTCTGATCTCGCCAGCACAGAACCGTTCTGGAACGGCTGGTTTGTTGGGCTTTCTGACCGCTTCCTCTCATCAAGGGGCGGCAAACTACTCATTCTTGCGGGAACAGAGAGGTTAGACAAGGAGATGATGATTGGACAAATGCAGGGCAAATATGCCCTCCAGATATTCCCAGATGCGGGCCACTTTCTGCACGAGGACCAGCCGGAGAAGACGGCACAGAGCATCGTGGATTTCTACAAGCGGAATGACCGCAGCGCGATGGTGTTGCCGCCGAAGGTATCGGACATGTTGCAGCAGGGAAAGAAGGTATAGATGTAGATAGGACGGCTTATGAAATTACGAAATAGGGACGACGCCATCACAAAATCATAGAATGGGTTTGTACATGGTTCTAGGTGCATATGGGCTTTGTTGATTCTAGACTACCAAGAGACTACAATTCATCCTTCCTCTTCTGCTCTGCTTCCGCTTCCTTCCTCGCCTCCACCTCCGAATCCCACATCCGTTTCTTCGGGTTTGGTTGCACCTGCTCCTCTTGTGCTTGGCCCTCATTGCTCTCTGGCTGCGCCGGTTCCTGTGGCTGCTCCTCTCTTTGTGCCCTCGTGTCCTCCGCCATCTCCCCAACAATATCTACAAGCGGCCTGCCTTGATCATCCTCCTGTGGGGGCTTCGGAGGCTTCGCGTTCCCCCTCCCCCCTCTAACCACCCGCGGCGCATCCGTCCCACTCATCGTAGCCTGCGCCACTGTCCCACTCGCCGGCATAATCGTCGTTCCCACACTCTGACTCGAAACCGACACCGCCGAGCTCGCACCCCTCAACCCAAGCACAGTAAACACTCCCATCCACGCATTCCAAAACATCTTTAGCGGCAAATACACCAGCCACCACGCCGGTCCGTAAATAAACCGGCGGAAAACTAACCACGAAATCGTCGCCAACAGAACATAAAACGCCGTCTCGAGGTACCACGTATCGCTCTTCTGGCTCTTAAGCAGCATGCCCAGTAGCCCCTTCGTGCTCGCCAACACACTATCCAAGCTCGTATAGCTCTCACCCAGCTGCTCTAGCGCGGCGCCGCTCTCCTTCAGCGTATCGTGCGCGAACTGGCTGCGCGAGAGCTCGTTCGTCATCGAGGCGTGGACCTGGCGCAGCGCGGCTGTGACGTCCCCTGCGGAACCGACGAGCTTCTCATCTTGTGTCTGCTCTGGGGCGGGAGTGCGGCGGCGGGAAATGGGTTGATTGGAGGAGGGGGAGGAGGGTGCGGCGAGGGATTGTAGGAGGAGTTCGCGCTCGGCGCGGCGGGAGAGGTCGAGGTTGCGTTTTGCGGCTAGTTGGGCCTTGCGAAAGGCAGATTGGGCGCTGGGAATTGTTAGCATGGTTCGTCATGTTGGGGTAAGAGGGTAGGACTGACTGCTTCAGCTCTTGTTGGGTTCTCGTGGCTCGTTCGAGTAGGCGTAGTTTGTTGGTCTCGGCATCGCTTCCTTTTCTGCCGCCGGGGGAGTCTTTAATCTCTTGCTCTAGGAGCTCGAAATCATTGTTTTGCTCTTTGAGGGTGTCGTGGATCTCGTTGCTTAGCTCGGTCGCGACTGTGTCTAGAGACCCTTGGCTAAGAGGTATTGCGCCTGGTGGGAACTTGAAGGAGGCAAGTCGAGCTATGAGCGTTTGGATGTGGGAGGTTGTTTCTTGGAGGGTCGTAAGGCGCTTTTGTAAAGATTCGAGAGACATTTTGCAGCGCGTAGGTAAGAAACTAGGTTGGTTGTAAAGAGTTGTAGGGAATTGAAGCGGGGATAATGAATCTAGTTATGATAAAGCTGGCAAGAGGCGCCGACGACACCGACGCATCCCCGGAGCGGAATATCCCGTGACCATGGGGTAAATTTCGAAGACCTTCAAGAACCGACTGTATACCACGACAGAACCTCCCAAGCTAATCAACTCCGGATACTTCGCATTTTTAGGTACGTCAATTGGCTAGCTGCTGGCTCTCGTGCTATTACTGACGGATTATCCAAGTCGCGCGTGCGACTCAGCGAAGATGATCACCAGATACCTCACGGAGATTTCGACGGCGTTCAACCCGTTCTCTCCAAGAGCGAAGACTGCACGACTATTCCTCTCATTCTTGCCCGGAAATGCGCGCGCAACTATGAAGATCAATACCAAGATTCTGCCCAGGACGTCGAGGGAGAAGAGCTTTGTTCAGGTCAAATTCAGTATGTCTACACCTGAGCGTCAACCACTCCTATGCGAGGGACCCGCAAAGCAACGGCGCGTTTGCAATCAAACGAGTACTAATATTATGACAGAGGATGGAAAGGAGATGAAACTCGATTCCGAGCAGCTTGGCATCAAGGGCGTGATGGAGGAGTTGGATAGGCATTCCAGGATATTGGCAAGACAGGAGGAACTGACGGGCAACTAAGATGGGAGAGGATCTGATTGCATGGCTTGCAAGAACTAGATGGCGTTTTGGAAATGCATAGGGCGGGCTGTATGATCTATGTGTATAAACAGAGGATACTGAAATATTGATGTGCAACTTCATCCCATGAAACGCGTTCGACTTGATTGAACACCATTTGTACGAAACTATACGGAGATGTTTTTGACATTATTGTTAATTGTTCATTCAGTTATGGTATCAAGCTATTTTCCTGCCGACATTACCAATCCCAACGCCCTTAACACTGACCAGAATATCACCACTCTCATCCTCATCCACATCTCTTAAGCCCCAAGCACTTGCTCCGAACTTCCTGAGATCTCTCCCCAAACCAAGTATATCCTCCGTTCCTATAACATCCCGCCCAATCCGTAAGCGCCCAACATCTTCCGATCCCATTGACATCAACGTCAGTATCGTTGCCGCGCCTGCCTTGGCAACACATCCACCTTGTGCAATAGTCTCCAACAGCTGCAATGCAGCCTGCTTCCCAATATCTTCAGGCGTGACACCTCCCTGAGGCGGCGCTGCCACATCCGCGCTGTACAAAACACCCCCCGAACTCGACTCTGCCACCAAGCTCAGTCCAAAACCAATGCCCGTCCGCTTCTTCCCTTTCGGGTCCGCCTTATCATTGCTGCTCACCAACGGCGCCTGATCGTACTGTGCCGCAATATGCACATCGCTGACCAGCGGATTTAACACCCCTCTTGCCGCGTGTATCATCCTCGCATTATTGCTCGCCGACACACCCGTACAATACGACACACCACGAATGCGCTTTATCCTCCCAGGATTCCTGTTCAGATGTAACGTCTTCGGCAGGCGCACCTGCGACCCAAAGCGCAACTCCACGATACCGCCGCCACCAAGGCCTCCTGGGCCCGCGCAAGAACGCTGCAGCACACGCAACTCAAGTTTTGCTGACATAATGCCGAATTGTTCGTACAGCGGCAGAATCGCAGTGCGCACGCTGTCGACGCTGATATCGCCTGCCTCCGTCGAGCTGGTGATCACACCAGGGCCGGTAAATCGTACATTAATTGGCGCTTTGCTGAATGGTGCCAGCATGCATAGCGGCAGGAGGAAGTAGCTCACTCCGCGCGTGTTGGTTGCTGGGAGCGCATACTCGATGAGATCTCCATGTGCGCCGAGACCTGCGACTGAGCCGGTGATGAGGCCAGGGTTGTAGGTGAGAGTGGTACCCGTGTAGGAGATCTGGAGCGAAGAGCCGTTGGTTATGGCTTCAAGGAGACGGATGAAGGAGATTTCGTGGGAGGCAAGGCCGGGAGAGACGGCGGATGAGGAGCGGATTTGAGAGATGTGAACTGGGCGACCAGTGAGGGTAGAGAGGACGAGGCGGGTGGTGAGTGCTTTTTGTGACGTGAAGCGCAGATATTCAGTCGGTTGGACTGACATTGTGCTGGCGGCGGCTATGGTGCCATGCAACACGATTGAAGAAGAAGTGGCGTTCACGTTATAGTGAGCTTTTGGTTTTTGGCGTAGACTTGAGGTTAACTTTTTCTGCGGGCCGGCGGCAGAATAATGGAACTTCGCTTCACCGCCTCGCAATCAGGATCATTATCCAATTACAACAGAGGTCTTGGAATTTACTATCTTGGTTCAAAAACATATTTGCAGCGAGCATTTTGGGGAATGTAGCGGTAGAATCTCCATAATAGAATGAATGCTATTAGGGATGAAAGTCACGAAGAATAGATATTATCAACTGAGACCCGTCCCTACTGTAATAAACGCATATGCAAGATGGATATCAGCAATCATTCAGTGCTGTCCACCTATCTATATCTCAACATGTGATACTAACTGTTACATACGACCATATACTCAAGAGAATTGGGCATCCTGTCCGCTCTGCCATACACAAGCTTGGGTAACACCTGGACAATAGTCTCAATCGTGCTAATAGGCATAGCGTGGAATCTGAGCTCCTTGCCGCCTTAAGGGGTGAAGCGAGGGTGAGCAGGGTGAGCCGAGGGGTGAGCAGGGTGAGCAGGGTGAGCAGGTGAGACGACGTAACATTCTCGTGTTAATTTCACGTCTTGCGTCAATTTGGTAATAGATCCGTCGAAAGGTGTTGTTACTAGCAATTGCCTATATCCTAACGTAGTCTTTTTCAATTTCTATAGAGAGGTTTATCTGCAACAAGAGAGAGCCGCTATATATACGTAGACCTATTGTGCTTTACTGAACACGATATCTACCTGCCTCCTAACCTGGTTCCCTAGACTCCCGTAAGACCTTGGGCTTACGCTTTACAATAGCTATGATCTTGTCTTCATTCGTTCAAGCGTTGGCAGCCGCGTACACAGGGGCCGTATGTCTCATGAAAATTAATTCAGTTGATCACCTGCCCTAAGAATAGCATGGAGTTCTGAGCTGCCAGCGCGCTCGCACATTATCCAACACACGTTCTAGACCTAGGCGGCGCTCTTAGTAGAGGCGCAATGCATGTCTCACTCCATGCAGTATCTCAGCGCTACTCTAGTGCAAGATTTTCTGCGACATTTCCATAGTTAAAAGGAGAGACACAAAAAAAAATGAAAAGAGAGACAGTGTTAGACATGTGGCACTAGTGATTGTTCCAGTGGCTCAGGACGCGGGTCAAGATTGCCGGGGTCAAACCCCAATGTGATCAGTTGCGCCGCTGATGATTAGACAGACGAAGCTAGTTATGAATACTTCTTGTACCTTGTATGAGCAGGCGGGCCCCGGGGATTGATCTATGTGGTAGTAGCACAATGCACAATCGGCGGTGTAGTGGCTAGTTGCTGCGCTGAGGATTCTATATGTTCCAGCCCAACCATGAGTTATTCTCGCTCATGAGCTGGCCGGGCCAACCACGAGTTTTTCAGCTTATGAAAGGGCCGGCCGAACCATAAGTCGAAGGTAACTTTACCCATTAATTTGTATGTAAAGGTACTTATTTTCTAAATGTTAATTCATATTAGTACTATTTCTATATTTCCTTTCCTTTGCCCAAAAATTATAGTGCCCGGCTGTTTAGTAGTGAGATTACATGTAATCCAGTTAAAAGCTATAAAGCAAACGCATGGATGGACGGTTTGTATCCCTGTTCGATCCACTCATCACTTACTAGGGTTATATAGCTACATGTAGAACATTATATAGTCTCACATTTAAGAGCACTGAAATCTCCTTTGCAATTCGCGGCGCAAGTTTTGGCAGCTCTGTCACTTTCATTGCAGAGAAGAATGGCCGGATGTCCAAAAATCAAGTCCGTAGCGGTAATCGGTGCTGGAGCGTCTGGTAATGCGGTCCAGCCATTTCAGTACAACCCATCTGATCTAATAGACGATTTTAGGCGCCATTACAGCGGCAGCCCTTAAAGCTGAACAATCCTTTGACCGGATACGGATTTTTGAGAGACGAGAATCACCCGGAGGCATGTGGTGAGTCGCTTTTATATTCAAGCAGACACTCTTCATATTTCTTACAGCGTACTTTCTAGGTTGTTCGATGCCGGTGTCAGACCTAGTCTTGTAGTTCCGCCAGGAACGATAGCTCCAGTTGTCGACATTCCGTTAGAGGCTCCAAAAATCCTACCTTGCGTAACCCCAACAAACAGACAAGAGCGTTTCTCACGGACGCCAATATATAGCTCGTTAATGTGAGGCAAGCAGGGGAAGCTGAGTCGGGACGAAGCTAACAGGGCGCCCAGGACCAATACCCCAAGCGTCGTCATGTGCTTCTCTGATGTTGCCTTCCCACGTGGTCCTTTTGTCCCTCACCATGTCGCCCGTCAATATGTAGAGAGCTACTTTTCAATTCACCAGACGGATTCTCTTCTTGTACTCAATACTACAGTTGAGGACCTTTCTCAAGTTGCATCTCCATCATGTAAGGGGGGCAAAGAGTGGAAGCTAGTATTAAGAAAGCACGAACCCGTCCAAGATGTTGATATCTGGTGGGAAGAAAACTTCGATGCTGTAGTCATTGCAACCGGGCATTACTCGATCCCCAATGTACGAACCCCCCCTTGAACACCTTACCCATTGAACAAGCACTCATAGTTCCAGATACCACACGTTAAGGGATTGAACGAGTATATTGAAAAGTTTCCTGGTCGGATAGTGCATGCTAAAACATACCGAAAACCTCACATTTTTACTTCCCAGCGTGTCGTGGTTGTCGGCAGCGGGATATCAGCGATTGAAATAGCCAAGGACCTGGTTCCAGTGGCCCAGCTTCCAGTTTACATGTCCAGGCGATCAGCACCTAAGGCTCTTATTCCTATAGAAGGAGTTGAAAAGCGGCCCATGATATCAGAGTATCTACTAAATGGCAGAATCTTATTTGACAACGGCGAGTACTTGGATGATGTAGATGCAGTTATCTACTGCACTGGCTACCAGCCTTCATACCCTTTTTGGAACGTTAAAGCCAATGGGCGTCCATTGTGGGACTATGAAAGGGACAAACTTATTAATAGTTATCTACATACATTCTTTCAAGACTTCCCTAATCTAGGTATTGTCGGCATTCAGCGTGCCATCACTTTTCGGAGCTTTGAATACCAGGCGGTTGCTTTGGCCCGCTCCTTTGCTGGCCGTAACGCAGTGGATCTCCCAACAGTTGATGAACAAGTGGAATGGGAGAGAAAGGCAGATGAAGAGAGCAGAGCTAACAACCGAACCTTCCATGCGCTTGGGGTTGAGGACGGTGGATTGCGCCTGTGGATGGAAATGCTCTACAAATTTGCCGGCCAATGCACCCTATCGGGTAAGGGGAGGAATCCTCCAGTGTTTGGAGAGAAGGAACAGGAAGTTGTTATGAAGCAGAAGAGGGCTGAACTTCTCTCTGAGAGGAGAATTCTTCTGGGCCAACCTGACGATGGATGGATCCAGGTCGGGGAGACGAAGTACAAGTTGCTTGGATTCGTCTGAGGCAACGGGGAGCTGGCAATGAGAGGAATAGAAATGGTATAATTTGTTTTTAGATATCGTCTATTAGGATGAAAAGAGCTAGGATTGCTGATCTAGATTTCTTAGAGAAGCCTCAGGGTTGCCAATGACGACTTCCGTACTTACCTGACGTAATGATTCAGGTAGTTGGGCTTCCGAAATATCTGGATGGGTTACTGAGGTTTGGAGTTTTTATCAGGCCAAATATGTTTCTGCCGCCCAAAGACATTGGCACGCAACTACCTCCGGACGCAAGATAGTAGAGGGACAAGCAAAGCAAATGTCTAACGTACAGAATGGTGTAATGAAACGTTTTTAAGTACCCTGCGTTTAGAATTGTATGCAGAGTAAAACGGGCCTTCAAGCCACTACTACCTCGCTTTTCTCACCACCCGAACCAGTGTCATCCAACGTAATTACGGGGTGTGGCACATCGGTTCCGAGTGGATGGAAATCGCCGACCAAATGTGGGTAAGTTTTCAGCGCCTGAGCCCCTTTTTGGATGCACTAGCTTGTACGCCTCAGCATAGTCGGGCAGCGTTGTCAGGAGCGCGTTGGCGAGTGCTTCTGAGACATTATAATTGCATCGTACACTGAGGTACGGAGTACAGCTGGCCAGGGTGTGCCGTTTTAGGGATGAGTATGTAAATGCTCTTTTTGCACCACGCGGAGACGCGCGGATTTTTGCAGCGACAACTCCATCACGAGTTCAACACTACTTTATTTGGGATATCACCTAGAAGGATGAACGGTTGCCGTCGCGATGGATGCCGCTCTTAACCAATTCGGCAGCCTTTGGCTGTCGCTATACAGCAGGGGCCAGGTACAACAGAGCCGACAACTATACTCGAGAACGTGAGTTGATGCAGTCAAGAAATGCAGTCAGGAAGTTCTAAAAACTTCCTGCCCAGAAACCAGCCAGCATTATTTTTCTACCGTGCCTCCCCTCCCCTCTCAAACTACAGACGCTAAACTGCATCTTCTAGCCCCGATAGCAATCCTTCCGAAGTTGCGTGGATTATTAATGTTGCTGAATTCTCCCGCTCCGGCTTTCTTCAAAGCGTCATCCTTATCACTTCTGCAACTTGGTTGTCATGTCGCCTGCGCAGACTTCCCGTCATCACGCTCGACTCAATGTCCAGGTTATCCACCAAAAGATGGATTTACGAACTCTTATCGTACACGACTCGGGCAGCCGCGCTGCTTCTCCTCGCCTTCGCTTATGCTGAGGGTCAGGTTCACTTTCTTACTCTCGTTGTCGTAGCCTATGCCCAGATTCTGGGTTTGTTCCGTCTGGCAGATGATGTACATTGGCGCCATAGTGTTCTACATCAATTGAACTTCGTTACCACCGCCATCTCACTTGTCCTTGCGACAGCGCACATCCTCCCTTGCGTTCAAATAGGTTCCTCACAATGCACAACAGACGCTGGAATCCTGGGAGGCATATCTTCGCTTGCCGTTGCGATCTTAGTCGCCTCAATTACTCCAAGGGAATGGGTACCATCTAACATTGACCTCGAAATTGGCACCAATACAACAAAACGAGCTCCGGCCCCGGAAGAGACTTGCAGCTGGTTCAACTACTACTGTACTTATGGATGGTTTACCCCATTAATCTGGAAGGGCGTGACACACAAATTGGATGTGAATAGTATCCCAACACTGCCTTGGTACGACGAGCCAATGTACCTGCTGCGCAAGATACAAAGTGCGCGCGCCATCTCTATGACGACCTTCTGGACAGTCTTGCGCTTTCAACGGAAAGAGCTCATATTTATGGCGCTTTGGATTGCCGCCAGCTCCTGCTTAGAGAACGTTGCACCGTTTGCAATGTTCCAACTACTTAAACATATTGCAAATCCAATGGCGGCCACTTATCACCCTGAGGTTTGGCTAGTTCTCTTGTTTATCGGCCCAATAACCCGCTCAGTCTCGTTCCAGCAATACTTGTTTATCTCTACCAGATTTATCGTCCGTGTCAAGTCAGCTATGACTCAAGAATTATATCACAAGGCCTTGGATTCCATGGAGCTGGAGGAATGTATATTCAGTACGGACAAAAACAACAGCAACGGCACCACTAAACAGCCTAAAGTGGCTCAAAAGTCATCATCAACCGGGCGCCTGGCAAACCTAATGGCGGCTGATATAGATGCCATCTATGGAGCCCGTGATATTATCATAGCTGTTGTTGGAGTCCCAATTGGAACGGCCATCTCTCTTGGTGGACTTTACAAGATGATGGGCTGGGTATCTATTGTCGGGATTATAATTATACTTCTTGCAACACCATTGTCTATACTCTTGGGCAGACTGATGTACAAGTTTCAAAAACGGGTTAGACAAGCTCAGGATACCCGGATATCGTTAATTACAGAGTACATATTCTCTATTCGAGCCATTAAGTTTCTAGCATGGGAGGATGCTATGACGAACAAGGTTGATGATGCAAGATCCATAGAACAGAAGTGGTTATGGAGAGTCGCTATCCTGCAAACTATCATTAACCTTATCACTCAAGCATTTCCCTATATCGGCTTGTTGGTTATGTTTGGACTCTATGTGGGCATGGAGAAGCGCCGTCTTGATGCCTCGACTGCTTTCACAGCAATTATTCTTGTCAAAAATATTCGGAAGAACGCAAGGTCGGTTAGTGCAAACTCGAGAAAATTTACTGGCGCAATTGTTGCCTTTAAAAGATTAGACAAATATTTTGAGAGCACTATTCCTCTCGCGCGACATCCCATTGGACCTTTGAGAATCCAAAACGCTTCATTTCGTCGGAACAACACGAATACAAGCCAACTCCAAGAAATATCCCTTGATTTCGTTGAAGGGAAACTGAACGTCATTACCGGCCACAGTGGAAGTGGGAAAACGACCCTTTTGCTATCGATACTAGGCGAAACTCACATGGAAAGCGGATCCTTGGTGACGCCAAGGGATATCGCGTTCGCATCACAGTCTGCATGGCTGCAAAGCGGTACAATTCACGATAACATTCTTTTTCATACTGCTAAAGATAAAACACGCTATGATCCTGTTATTAAAGCTTGTTGCTTGGACTTGGACTTCAAGAAGATGCCGAGTGGTGACATGACTATTATAGGGGAAAACGGCACATCATTGTCTGGAGGTCAAATGGCGCGAGTTGCCCTTGCAAGAGCTTTATATTCACAGTCATCACTTCTGCTCCTAGATGACATTTTCTCAGCTCTTGATGCAAAGACATCCGCGGAGGTATGGAAGCACTGCTTTTGTAGCAATCTTCTTGATAAAAGAACGACTATTCTGGTTACTCAGGTTCCGTGGATTATTTCACAGGCGAATCTAGCCATCGAGCTTGACAAAGGTCGAGTCAAGAGCGTTGAAGCTAACATTGAAGCCATGTGTCGGCCGATAACCATTGCTGAGCATCTCGAGACTGGAGACTCTGGGGCCAAAGAGGCTATTACGTGGGAATCAAATGCCGAATTGAGCCGAAATCAACCGTCAGGGGTTGCAGATGATAACACTGCCAAAGAAGTTGTGAATCAAGAAATGAAAGCGTCCGGAAAAGTTGGTCGTCTGGCATGTAAGAATTAGTCCAAATTTTGCCTTGTCCTTCGTTAATCTAATCAACTGTGACAGTCTTTCAATACATGAAGAACTTTGGTAATCCAATTTTAATCGCCGCCTGCTTATTTTGCTCGCTATTACCTAACGGGTCCTTCTTCTTATCGAGCTACTGGATGTCTATTTGGGTACAGGCTTATGAGCACGAGGCTCATATCAATATCGCATATTACATGAGCATCTACGCACTCTTCACTTTTCTAGGGATTTTGGCCGTTGGCGCTACGACTGTCACATTTGAATGGGGTGGATGGTGCGCTGCCCACAATATTCACAAAGCCTTTATTCATTCCGTTATGAACGCACCTCTATCGTGGTTTAAAGCAGTGCCTCTTGGCCGAGTTACGAATAGATTCTCTCGCGATATGTCCTCGATTGACAGATCCTTAAGCTCCATGCTTCGATTCACTCTTGGTTCTATTATTGCGTTGTTGTTTCGCGTTGCAGCTGTCAGTTCGCTACTTCCGATTTTGATACTGCCCGTGCTAGGTGCATCTGCCATCGGCATTATTGTGGGCGAAATGTATGCGCGAACAGCTGTTATTCTTAGACGACTGACCTCTGCTGCTAACTCACCTATCTTCTCGCACTTCGTTAGTACACTAGCCGGCCTACATGTTATTAGAGCTAGAGACGGCATGCACGAAGCTTTTGGTGAAGACTTGGCGACCAAACTCAGAGTGTGGACTGCCGCAGCCGAGGCTAATTTTAACTCCAATCGATGGGTGGCCTTGCGAGTCAGCCTTGTAACCGCTCTTATTTCTGTGCTCACCGGAATTATTGCCCTTTCAAAAGTTGGCGTGATTAGTGCAGGCCTAGTCGGTTTTTCACTTCTAAACTCCGTTAGACTGAGTCAAAGCGTTATGACACTGGTGCGAGCCGTGAATGATCTTGACATTGAAATGCAAAGTGTAAGTCATCCTATCAATCTATGCAGCCCTGTTGTACTAATAAGTTTCAGTTTCATCGGGTAAAAGAATATGTCGACGTTCAATCGGAAGACAAGGATGACGAGCCTTTTGTAGATGAAGGGAGTTTCGACGAGCGGCATTGCCTGGTTCACAGCAGAGATGTGATCCCAAACGAATGGCCACGGTCCGGCGAGATAGAATTTCGTAATGTAACTGTTCGATACGAAGATGGTCCGAACATTTTGACGGACATAAATCTAAAGTTTAAAGCTGGTGAGCGGGTGGCGATTATTGGGCGAACTGGCTCAGGCAAGACTACCGTAAGTTTGGAACGAAAATTCAGATGCCCGATGGCTTATTGACTTACCGCAAAACAGCTCATCCTGTCACTACTCCGATTCACTAATGTTGTTTCTGGTCAAATTCTCTACGACGGAATTGACATCACAAAGACTTCGAGGCGCAGATTACGCCAGAGTATCACAATCATCCCGCAGGAACCCACGCTGTTCAGCGGATCAGTACGATCAAATCTTGATCCAACAGGCTTCGTTCCTGGAGACAATATTTCGAGGGTTTTCAACAGCTGCAAAGATATTGCTTCCCTATCAGGCAATAGATCATCCGACCAAGAGATCAGCCACGAACCTAGCCAAGGCATTTTTCCATCAACGGAGGTGGACGCTCGCGGAGAGAATTTCTCGCATGCCCAGCGTCAGGTATTATCACTCTGCCGTGCATTAATCAGAAAGAGCAAGCTTATGCTGCTAGACGAGGCTACGGCAAGCATGGACTATCAGGCAGATCAGGGCGCCCAAAAGGTTCTTCGTCGGGAGCTTGACATGACGGGGGATACCACGCTAGTGACCGTTGCACACCGGCTGAGGACGATCTTAGATTACGATACCATTGTGGTTATGGATTCAGGTAGAGTAATTGAGTAAGTCTGCCTTGTTCTGTGCCACTTACCTTTCATGCCAACATTAAGCAACTGCAGTACATACTAACTCGTTTTTCTTCAGATGCGGCTCGCCTCACGATTTGTATGATGCTGGAGGGCAATTTCACGATCTGGTATACCACAGTGGTGAGTCAGCAGAATTGCAGGGGATGTTAAAGAAGAAGTAATGTAGATTTGTGTCTGTCCATACCGTGTGTTCAGATTTTGGCTTTCAGTTGTACTTGGCTTTTGAAGCGTTAGAAAACGCTCTTACAAGAATACGCCTACTAAATCAAAAAAAAAATTCGGCGATCCAGCACATGTATTTTCCATAGGTATAGCCTTGCCTTTCAAAGTTTTGTTTCAAGCACTAAAGTTAAAGTCTAGCCAGACATCAATCGCCGAAAAGCCCCTGCTTCAGATCTAATACCCTTATCCTTTAATTTTTTAACATCTGCTCAACATCTAGCACACTCATAAGTCGAAGTCTCCCACCACAGTCTCGGCTCGCACTAATTGCATACCACTAAAACCGCCTGTTTGCTCAGCTAGTTTCTCGACTACCAGGCGAGCTAGAGGTTGTGTATAGAAGGCGAGGAGCCTTGTCAGATGTATGTTAAGGGAAGAAGGGAGGCGCGACCACCATTAACACTTAAGTTCTAGCGAGCTGGTGAGAAAACGGAGGAAGAATGGACTGGGCCTTTATATGAGGGCGGGCGGCGATTTGACTTAAACCGGCGTCTAAATATAATAAGCGCGATTATATTTGGTTTAGGATAAGTTCATTAGCACTTAAATCATAACCTAAATCAGAGAGCGCTAAAGTCCTATAACTTTAAATCAGCGACATGTTTTCCTAGCTTTTAGGGTTCCTAATGGCTCTTAACAAAGGGGAAATGATGTCTCACTTGTCAAGTGGTATTTAAGAAGCGGTATTTAAGACCCCTTATCCCGCCCCTAGCTTAGTTTTGTATAAGAGTACGTGACTGCAAAGAGCGGTATTCGGGCCAAATACAGCACAGCCTCTTAGTTAAGTCTTTCATTTCATTTATTTACTTTTCACACAATACCTACTAGCTGCGTTCCTCGTGGTGAAAACTTATATTAGGTGCATTTCAAGAGCGACCGAAAAATGGGACCGTTTCGCACGCCATTAGGTCAATGTATTGTTACCGTCAGTACGGATCGACGTAAACGTCGTGGAGATGCGAGTTAACACCCCTCTAGATGTATTCTACATTATTCAATGAGGAATTCGTTTGATATAGTCCTAGATTGTAGCACGCTGCAGTCCGCACCAATCCCATGGCTTGGCCTGTGCCTCGACTGTCATCAACTTGTTGTAGCGCTCAACTCTAGGCGGTATATTTTCGGCTAGGCCGCCGTCCACGGCCCCAAAGAAGTCCATCAGAATTTGTCTCTTTATAGGCTTCCCGGATACCGTACGCGGCAGCTCCTCTTTGTCCTCCAGGATCCGAAGAAGAGCCGGCAGCATAAAAGGTGCCAAGCTGCTCTGGAGATCGGACCTAATCCGGGCCAGAGTTATTTGCCCTATTGGCATTGTACCACGTTCAAGCCGAATAACAGCGCCGCATAATTGTTTTGCATCGTTGTCTGGCACCGCAACGACGCAAGCTTCGGAGATATATGGCAGATCCATTAAGCTGCTCTCAACAACCAGTGCTGAGATTCGGAAGACCCCAAACAACACATCTGCATGGCGATTTCAGCTTGTTTCACTTCCGAGATAATGTGTATAGGACTCACAGTCAGCGTTCGCTCGGCCGGCAAATATATATTCACCATCCTTTAGCTCGCCAAGATCGCCAGTCTTGAAGTATCCGTCTTCATCGAACGCGGCCTGCGTTGTCTTCTTATCATCAATGTAGCTATTCGAGGTAGCCTCGTCAGTATACTAGCCAGGCAGTTATTTGAGCCGATATGATACATACTGCGTAAGCATTTTTGGACTCTTAACATAGATCTCACCATGGTTTCCTTCCGACAGTTTTATCGTAATGCCGGGCAGAGGGGTTCCAATGGAGCCCTGCACGTGAGAGTTGAGTTATATTGCGCGCAGTTAGATGCTTTGAATCTATGCTTACCTTTATCGCAGAGATCCCTCGAGTCACACCGCCTCCCAACTCCGTTACGCTATAGAAATTTTCAAATGGTAAGCCCGTCAAATCAGTCCAGAACTCCTTCGTTGAAAACTCAACCACCCCGGCAGAGCATCTGATCGCGGACAAGCCCTTAAAGTAGCTAGAGCATCTGCTTTTCTTATCTTCCGACAAATTTCCACTTTGATCAATCAATATGTCCTTCATATGCCGCAACAACGCCGGGGTGAATATGGCATGGGTAATCCGATGGTTTCTAAAGGCTTCTAACACAGCCTCTGCACGAGCTCTTCCAGCTTTCTGTGCAACAATGTAAAGCTTCTTACTCGTTAGCACGGGCCCGATTAGACTCCTCGCACCACCAATCCAATGGGATGGGTTGTAGCTGATAGCAGCGGCGCCAGGTTCAAAGGCTTGTGGATCAGCAAAGCATCGTCTGGGTATTACCGCGCCTTTCGGGAACCCAGTAGTACCTGAGGTAAAGAGTAGCAGACCTGGTCCATCCGGGTCTAATTGAAGATTGTCATCGATCCCAATATCAATGTTCCTCAAGGGCTCTGCATTGCACGAAATGGGCAACAATGTCAAGGTATCAAAGTTCCCTTGCTCTTGGATATAGGCGCAGATATTTTCAGCCCTCTCAAGGCTGTCCTTGCCAGCGAGCATACAGTTCGCTTTTGCCTTTGAGAGAAAGTAGTGTGCCTCTTCGGGAAGGACGCCGGAGCCTGCAAGTGGTTAGTTCTTTGTTCCACACAGGTCTTATGGAGCCGTTCACCTAAGGGCATACAAACGCCCCCCATCGCTCGGATGGCGAAGAAAGCAACGAGGAACTCATAACCACTCCTTGAGAGAATGGCAACATATTGGAATTCTCCACGCAAAATACCTTGCTCGTTCGTAGCTGGTAGTGGTAGCCGCGCGCGAAGGAGATCGCGAGTTTGCAGTATATCAGTAAGCAGTTCCGGGTAACTCTTCTTAAAGCCAAGGGCATCATGGACGATCGTTTCTGAGTCCGAAGTCTGCTGAGCTGCAATAAGCAGCCTAACCAGGATTGGGTCATGGGGGAACTTGAGCGTTGTTCTTGCCGACATGGTGAGATTGTTCTGAATTTAGATGTGTCTGAAAACCAATTGTGTTCCTGTTGTATGGGCAAGAGTGATGAAGATGGTAGGTCATCACCGTCATGGTAGACTCCGCGTTTTCACTGTCCCTTATTTATCACTGCTAGCGGCGTCCGCACTCTCCTGGACCTAGTCGACTTGGAGAGCCCGCCAGCCCTGCAGTCTTTTGTTTTGCTCAGTGTCTCACCTAGCACCGTCTTGTCGCCTGCTGATCTTAACCGTTCATAGCTAGTACATAAAGGGTACAACTGACGGAGTATATCATCTAATCAATTGGTGCTAAAATATCTTCAGACGGCGTGTCTATATCCAAGCAAGTGACGCCCGTGAAAATCCAAAGCCGGTCCACAACAAAGAACCTGACGATACAGGACCTTCGTTTAAATCTCCACAAGCTGGAACATACTTTTATCTAATATACACCCATTAGCTAATGCTCTCTAATTTGGCTGTTCTTACTGAGTTGTAACTAGCTGTCTTCGTGCCCTCCACACACGTGGCCGAAATGCGATGGCCGGAAAGCGGCCTAATAAAGACATGCCGGTGGTAGTTGGGTTATGGTATGAAAGGTCTCGGTGTTAAATGCCCTTCTGGCTGAGTCGTAGGACGGAGTACTAAGTACGTACAGTACGGCGCCAGTAGTTTACATACGGGCCCGTGCTTTTTCTCATACAAATCACTGCAATTTAAGCACGGGCTAGTATGTAAGCTTCTGGCGCCGTACTGTATAAGGCATGGTCATAATAATTTATATGGGGCTATCCTATAATTAGACTAGCGGCTGTCTTACCCTCATGTCATTTATTTTGCAATGCACCTCCGTACTCCGTGATACGATGTACAGTAAGCCTGGCAGATAATAGAGTTGCTACTCGCCGACGACGGCCATGTGAACTTGTGTGTTCTGCGATGTCATGTGGACTAAAGTCTAATCAAACAGCACATCCACGCAGGATGCAACAGAGAAACTGTGCTTAAATGAAAGTTATAGCTATGTCTTAACGGTCGAGCCATTATGGGACAATGGGCCGTCCAAAGTTAATAAAGACATGTATCCGCCGGGGCCTCTAGCTTCAGAGCAGACCCCTCAGACAACCACCGGTACTAGTCATTTTATACTCCTCTATTCCGCCTTCGACAACCTCTGGCCCAATCCTCTCTTATCGTACGTAACCACTTTTCATGTTCCACTCAACTGGCTGAAATCTTGTTGCATAAAGTCCGTGGCAGGTAGGTGACATCCCAAAGGATCTTAGGGGCTTCGGACGGGGCCTGTCTCTATTTTTTATTTGAGAGAATGTCTGGGGCGGCTGACGGTTGATTAGCGAACATGCAGGGGTTGTTGAGACATGCGCATAATATGATGTTACAACATTGGCTGAGACATATCATTTCTAAAGAAGCAAGCCCGCTGATGAGTTGTCAATAGCGGTGAGGTTGACTGAGACACGGCTTATCTAACCCTATCTCTTTCCAGTGGTAAACTTTTGCGAGAGTGGTGGGTATGGGTGTTCTTTGTGCCTTGCTGAGTACTCCATACGGTGATTCTTGATGACTGGACCGGACGGAAAATTGCATTTATGGAAGTATAAACAAACCACGTCAAAAATGACGGTAATTTCTACATTCCCAGGTCATGTCCACAAGAATTATTATGTCGCCCTATCGAAGCGCCCGTAGTAAATAGCTAAACGACAATTCCAGGACACCGAATCCTCAACTCCAATGATAAATATACCACAGTAACAGCGTGAAGGGGAAAAGTTGGAAGAATAATCTACCCAGCCGCTTCAGTGCCAAGGCCAGCGATTTATTCCTTCTCCTGTATATTTTTGGAGTATATTCTTGGGTGGAATTGGCATGGGGGTAACCGTCGAGTGGGACTGGTTTACCGAGGAAGTTGCACAGTTCGTCCAGATGAAAGGGTGGTGAAAGCTCCAAGAGTCTGTCCGGGGGGGTGAGTTCTCGAATCCGCTTATTGTGTGAAATATAAGCCTGTTCAGCTTTTTCTCCACCATAGTTGTTCTTGTTGTGAACGAAAAAGATCAGTTCCACCAACTTTAGGAAAGAGCCCATGAATTCCGGTTCCACGTAACGCAGAATGCGATAAGACGGCCACCTCATGAATTGCCAAATAGTGCTCTGCATGGAAGTAATCCATGATCCAACTGGCCTAGTGGTCAAAATGACCTTGGCATCTGGATAGGCCTTGATCAGTTGCTCTCCAAAGATCGCACAGGGAACATCAAGAGCGACATCGTAACCGCTCAGAAGAACGTCAAACTCGGCCCGGCCGTAGGGTGCCTCTGACCCTCCACTGATAAAAGTCTTTTCAATAGCCTCAGTCCAGAGTTCTTTCTGACGGGCGTCCTCTAGAATGATTGTCATGTGGATGGGCGTGTAACCGAGTGTGGTCAAAGCCGCCAAGAGAGAGGTCGTCCCAGTACGACACATGCCGAGGCAGAGGACTTTCACTGAATTTGAGGCTTCCGGCAACTGCTCCTTGTCAATCAGATGAGGTTTGCAAGCGGCCATCTTGGGAATCTGGTGAGAAATAGGCGTTGTCCTCACAAATATTGCGTAGGATATCGGTTAAAGACTGTAATGAGAATGGGGCCCGGAGGAGGCAAGCGGGTGCTGGGCTCTAGATAACTGTCAGTGCAACTAAAATATGACACGAGTAAGCCTTCAAGATCCATGGCTTTCGATATACACTGCGGGATGATCCAGCAGCCTACGGACGGCTCAAAGTCTTAACATGCCACGATGTTACATGTACTTTTGCATTATGGTAGGATCTGCATTTCAAACCGCCGGCCGGGCGCGCATGTATCAGTCGCTCTAAGACACTCACCCCGGGATAGACACCCACAGTTCTCAACCAAAGTGGGCTTGCCGGAGCCTCTCCGGTTGGGGCTGTAAGGGAGGGCCTACTAGCCTTCGTAGCTTGTGTTTACACCGCCACTGATCTCATTCCGGAAAGGATCTATACACCTTGATATTTCAGGGGGGGCCAACGGAATATTGCTACATTATTCAATAACCTCCAAATGTGACGTTATGACCACTTCGTCGCACTTACATTGCTGAATCGTCTTTTGGTCTTTAAGTCAACCAATTCTAAACAGCGAGGTTACAGTTCGTTGAGGATGGCGAAGGCGCTTCGTGGCAGATTGCCAAATGAGCCTTTCTTTGTGAATCTACTCAAGATCGCTAACGAGATCAAGCATGTGATCATCCATGATCCTCAGAATAGAATCGATGCAAATTACGGCCAGCTGCTTACCGACGTGCTTCGAATGCAACTTTTGTTAAAACAATCACTCCCAGAGTCCATGTTTGACGATGCGCTTAACCTTCTTCAGGTGTCAAACCCATACATTTTGATCTTGTCCGGCAAGTATGAGTTCATTATAGCAGCTTTGTCCATTATGTCAATTGGTGGAGCATTCGCGCCATTAGGTGAGCTTTTGAAGTGCCCAACTTCTAAAAAGATGTTCTAATAGATTTCTCAAAGCAACTACGCTCCTGCCAGAGGAAGCGTTCTATATGCTGCAGACGTCTCGGGCTATCTGCATCTTGGCAGATCAGCAACACCTCCAACTCGCTGAAGAGTGTCAAGGGTATGCCGCCTCTCAAGGCATAAGCATCCCCGTTCTACCCATCAACATCAGCAACCCTCCCTCAGAGGATCTTTCCAATTCAGATCCTTGTTTTGAGATTGACCGGAAGTTGACGGTCGAGCCGCATCGTCCTGCCTTGATACTATTTACGTCGGGCACGAGTGGACCACCTAAAGGGGTGGTGCACACACGACGTCTGTTTTATGACATCCACACCTCAAGTAGTCCTAGCGAAGTCTTCCTGAGCCACGACGCTATCCACTGGGGCAGTAGTTTGGTGACGTTTGTCGGCAGCGTCCTGGGAGGAGCACGAACTGAGATTATACCTCAAAATGCTGAGGCTATTTGGGAACGACTTAGGGAAGGAGGGGCAACAACTTTGGGCTGTGCCCCGCGTATTTGGACTCAGATGATGAGACATTTTGAAGACCACCTAAGCCCCCTTCCACCGGAAAAGCGCAACCCATATGTTCGTGGCGCTCAGTCTCTCCGCCACGCTCTTACTCGGGGTTCGATGCCCGAACCGTCTGTACTGCAATTCTGGCGAGATCTTGGCAAGCGCCTGCATGTCTGTTACGGGATAACAGAACTAGGCGCAACGGTAATGAAAACCACTAATGACACGGATGTAAACCTTGAGGTAATTCGACCTTTCTTGTCATCGTTCCGCGTACAAAAGGACTTCCAACTAACGGGTTCAAAGCGCTGTATAGGAAGGCCAATGCCTGGCATTACCGTGAAACTCTCGAGCGGGAGCCATGGGGAGATGCTAATTAAAAAGTCCGTCGTGTTCTCTCAGTAGGTGCCGTTCTTCAAATTAGAGAAGAATATCCACTGACTATTTTAGTTATCTGAATGACCACGGGGAAACGGCTGCTTCATTCGACAGTGATGGATTTTATAAAACTGGAGATCTCGCCCGTCGTGTGGGCAGTGACTATATTATAGAAGGACGAGCCTCTACCGATTGTAAGTAGATACCATCCTGCGTAATCGCTGTCTGAGCCGTGAGCTTGATTGTATTGACTGGTTATATTTCACAGTCATCCGCTGTCAAGGCTTAAGGGTGCCGATACTTGAGGTAGAGATGCGTTTGCTGCAGCTCCCGTTCATCTCCGAAGGCTGCATTCTTCAGGCCTCCGACGCTCGCAATGGTCAAATAGTCGCAGCTCTTGTTCGCCTCCGAACCCCAGAAAAGACATATTTGGGGGATAGTGGCAAAGTACAAAGATTAGAAGAGCCCTATCTGGAGGTTCTCAGGAACTCTCTAGGAGGCGCACTACCAACCTTCATGCTCCCAACTGCGTTGAGGATTCTGCAAGACGAAGAGGAGATTCCTAGAACACCATCTCTAAAGGTTATTAGGGGCAAGGCTGCTGAGCAATACTTCCCACGCTCGAAAAGTTGCGAATTGCCCACTAATGTCGAGGTATTAGACCTCAGGAGCAATCTGGATAGCCGGGCACGAATGGTATGGGATTGGGGTGGGTTACTTTAGGGAGACAAAAAAGGGGTTCAGCCAGATTGGTTGTCAAGCCAATTGTTAGTATGTGGTAAACGGAGTAGATTTGGAGGAAGTGCCCGAGTCTCGTATGTGGCAGAAGAACTTAGCGGTCGTTGACTATCCTATGAATGAGTAAAGACATGATCAGCGGAGCAATAACTGTACCCTTAGTGGTTAGCCTGTCTACAATGCTACGGTCCTTAGCAGATTCACATATGGTCTTAAATGGCATTCGCAAGTCTCCAAATGGGCGCCCAGTCGAGCGCGCAGTGGAGCTGCCGTAAAGGGCTAGATTTAGTCCAAGCGTGATTTATCAAATATAAATCATTTAGTTTTGCTATCCCACATAAAGGGTGGCTATTTAATTGGCCCAACTCTACAATTACGATATTCTACTATGATACTCTTATTTCAAGTCGAAATTCAAAGCTACGTGCTTATTCAACATGTATATCCTAGATTGCTATCAATGAATACTCTACATTTGGTTCATTTTTTTTTTTGGAATTCAACGATTGGGTTTGCGGATCATTCTCGAAGACCATCTCCAAAGATCCGCCTTCGTTGGCCTTGATTGTAACGGACTCCCTTAGGCATAGCGTGGAATCTGAGCCACTTGCCGCCTCAGGGGTGATCTTGGGGCGAAGTGAGGGCGAGGAGGGTGAGCGAGGTGAGGCGACGCGACACTTTCGAATGAGGTTGGGAACTTTGGTATTTATCCAACAGCTGCTCTCATTCAGCCCCGCTATCTAGGCAGCAGCTGTGCTGTATGAGAGTAGTTTTGGCAACCACAGGAAGGAAAACATCATCGGCAGCCTTGAGGAAAGGATATAGTAGATTGCGCTAAGTAAAGCATTAAATCCTAATTCATTGCTGCCCTTCCAGCTCCAAGATTCTCTTTGCTGTATCTGCCATTGTCTCTTCTAGACTCCTAAACGTCATATTAAGTGCCTCGTTGCCCTCCTCCGCTATAATGTTAGCAGGAATTACTTTCTGGTCCTCTCCGCTATCAGTAGGTAAACGACCATTGAGCGCTGGGACCTTCGCAAGAGCATGTACTAGAGCTGTGTAAGTCATTTTGTTCCCCCCAATGGTAAGCCTCTTATTCGCGACTTTTGGTTCGGTGAGGGCCTTGACATGCGCATCGGCCAGGTCACGAACATCAATATAGCTTGGGAAGGTCGTGGCCGGAATAGTCGAGTTGGATCCATTGAAGAGGCTATAAATCACGTTGCTGCTATAGTGCAAACCCTTAACGCCGCCCTTTAGTGGCTCGATGGGTGGACCAAAAATCAGCGCTGGAAGAAGCACTGTGACAGAAAACTTAGGCGCGCTTTCCTTTACGAAGTCCCAGATGGCAAGCTCGCCTTCCTTCTTACCCGAGCAGTAGGAGATATATGGGTTGTTCATAGCGCGGGCCTGCTCCTGTGTAATTGGAAGCCAGGTGGAATTGGTCAGAGGACCAGCCAACAACTCCTCGGGTGATCCAGTGGTAGAAGCATTGACAGAACCGGTAACAACAATGGACTTCAGATTTGGTGCATTATTTTTCGCTGAGCGGAGAAGCGCAAGGTTGCTATATATCATTGTTAGCAAAGGATTACCGGCTATCTATTTTTTGGGGAAGGCAGTTCTCACCCTTCTACACTTGGCTTGAGGAAGTCTCGATCATAGTCGGTGTTTGCTGGATTGTCAAGAAGAGGGGCAGCGACGTGAACTACCTATGATGCTTATTAGCAAGCGTGTAACGAAACGCATCTTGTCCTCGGCCTTCGTACATGATTAAAACCTTTTTTTTCTTCAAAGATCGAATCCCAGCTGGCTTCGTTGGTAATATCCTCGACAATGACAATGTCTAAATGGCTCTTCCACTCTGGATGAAGAGCGAAAATTGCATCGCCAGCTGCAGCTCGGCGAACAGTGCCTGTTACATGATGGCCGGCCTTGATCAGAGAATTAATTACATGAGCGGCTAGGAAGGAATTGGCGCCGGTGAGAAGGGTCGATGGCATGGTGATAAGTGACGAGGGTTTATACAAGTTCGATGAAACGTTTGGTAAATCACCTTAGATGGAGCAAATTGGATCTTTTCAAAGCAAAGATAATTGAGGGTTTGAGATGAAGATCAGATTGATAGTCCTCACGATTCTAGACTCTAACTCGAGATATACCTTCCAGTTTATGTCAATCCTATCATTGTCATGCGGGGTTGTCGTTTCCTTAGTCATACATCTGCATTGCATTTATTGGAAGATTCTACCAATCATACGTGAGCATACTTCGATGATTCAGCACTTCGCATAGTTTCGTCATTCTTGCAACCAATCGAACACCATCGTTAAGGCATAAGACAGACGCCTTACCTCCTAATGGTTGACCTTACCGGCAACAGCGCTCACGAATGCTCAGGTGTAAAGGAAGGTTACTATGAGCGTGGTGATTGATCCGCAGCCTCGCCCTGTACCAGAGACGAAAACACATTAGCCCAGCCCAACCCATTCTAACCCTTCTTCTTCTCTCTCTCCCCACTAGAACCTTAACTTCAGGGGCCAAAATCCAACGTCCAAAACGGCAAAAAAAATTAACATAAAACATACAACAGTGGGTATTCGCTGGTGGTCACCCACCCAACTACTAATCCACCGATCTCAAGCTTGTGTATGGCAGAGCGGACGGGATGCCCAATTCTCTTGAGTCTATGGTCGTATGTGACTGTTATGCATGTGTCAGAGACTAAATACTGCTTGATCTGCTGTGCTGTGTTGTGATGAGAACGTGGAGGGTTTGCTCGGACAAGAGGTGGTTTCATTGAAGATCTAAAGCTACAGAAGGAGGAAGAAGAGGACTAGCTGTGTCTAGAGGTCTGGCTTATATCTACAGACCTAAGACCGGTGGATTAGTATTGTATGAACTAAGTGGATTGGAATCCAACAAGTGATTACTATAAGTGAGATATTTTAATGTACGATTATTAAATAGAATACTGAATAAAACACTTTTAATTCTGCAATGTGAAATATGAACGTGTATTATGAGATTTTAGGTGCATTTATTTGCCTATGGAATTCGTGACCAGTTCTGCCATAAAACGAGTGTTTTAAATGGCCACGTTACCCTTCGTCATCCATGCCATCAACATCCGAAAAGAGCAAAACCAGATTTGTACAACCCCCCCACCTTGATGAGAAACGGCAAAAGAGTCAGGCTCCGACAGAGAAGGTCGTATTTTCCGAAAGAGAAAGTTCATAGATGTGTGTGTGTGATGTTACAAACAGAGACGCCAGATAGAAAGCCAAATCAAAACAGCCACCATAGCTCCCTGGGTTCCGACATCAGATTATGCCCTCTCAACTACCAAATTAATTCGTAATTGCCCCAGCTTTGGCTAGAACGGCGATGTTGCCCATACCTAGAGCCTCTACGCAGTAGCCTCAACTGGTGTAGCCTCCGCCACAATGACCTGCTTGTTTGTTAGAATAGAGCCTCCATGTAGAAAACGGGTCAGAGAGCCACATACCTCGGTCTTGTCTTCGGCCGCCTTCTCCTCGTCCTCGGGCTTCTCCTCCTCTTGAGGCTTCTCCTCTTCTTCAGACTTCGCTTGTTCGTCCTTAGAATCGGCATCCTCCATATCTACCTCAGGGGCAAGAGTGTCGTCAGCCCCATCTAATCCGGTTGTCTTCGTCCCATCCTCTGCTGTGGCCGACTCTCCATTAACTTGCTCCTTCGATGTCCCGTTGGCCTGTGCCGAAGCTGGTGCTGGGGTATCGCTCTCCAAGATCTTATTCCATTTGGCCAAAAGCTCGGTGGAACGCTCTCTGAATTTAAATTCAGCCTCCTTTGGGATGTCCTCGATCTTGAGGATGCCCTTCAAGACCTTGTTGATCTTAGTGGCGCGAATAATGCTAACTTCCAGGTCTGAGTATCCCTCAAGTTTAGTGATAAACTCGGACATTTGCTTCATATCTTCTTCCTTTGGCTTCTTGACGCTGTCAAGGAGGCCCTTTTGGAGTTTGTGGCGCAAAAAGCGAACCTCTTTCTACTCAAAATATTAGTATAATGACATATTCAGCACCGTATGATAGCTCATACCTCTTTCTTCTTGCTCTTCTCCTCTGCACTGAGCTCTGGCTCCTTTGGCGTCGCGGGTGCCGCAGCAGCCTTCTTGGTCTTGGGCTTAGCCTTCTCCTTTTTCTCTTTGGCGGCAGACTTTGGAGTTTCGGCTGCTGCATTTCCCTTCTGAGCTGAGTTTATAAGCTTCAGCTTTGGCTTCTTTACTGAATCTGTTCGCTTCGGGGTCTGTAATCGATGTTAGAACGCTAAGTGTGCATAGTGGTGATGGATATAGCTTACAGAGGTCTCATCATCGACAGCCTTGCGCTTCTTGGACGCCTTGGGCTTATCTTCTTTCTCAGCCTCATCTGCGCCCGCGTCGGCCATCTCAACATCTTCATCCTCGTCCTGAACAACTTCCTTGGCCTTCTTGCCCTTCTTGGCTGAAGCCTTTGCTTCCTTTGCTGCTTCCTTTGCGTCGATAGCATCCTGTGCCGCCTTTTCATCTCTACGGCGGGATACCTCGAACTCCCTAAGAACGTTCTTGTAATGATCCAAATCGTGATTTTCAGAAGCCAATTGATACGCTGCGTACAACGATTTGGACATCTTGCCCTGTGGAACGTCACCGATGACGCTAGTGTCGAGAGGTTCGAGATCGGTGTTAGGGGTCCAGGCACTGTAGAAAGGGTTAGATTTTCGTGCCAGGAACCAACAACAGAGGTGGAGTGAATAGAAAACTTACAATTCGTTTGTTTCAAAGAACATTACGGGAAATGTGCGGTCCAGAGCGTTCTTCCCGCCCTCAGCAAAGTCTTCCCTGTAGCTTCCATCTGGCTTCGCAGCGGTCACCGGGCGGGATTTCAGGATCGCATCAGGGAGCATATCTTCAGAAGCAACAATCCCGGGCCATTTTGGGTATCCCTTCAATTTGATGAAGTAATACTCGCCAGGCTGAGCGTGAATGTTGCTCATCTTTGCCTTGGATTCCTTCTTGTTGAGCTTTCGGCCCTTGTGCTCCGGGACGCCAGATGACTTGCGACGCGCCTTGGACTTGTTTGCAGACGATGGAGTTGCAGTGGCTTCTGAAATCTCCGCGACTGTATCGGCGACAGCTTTCGTCTCACTCTCTGTAGCGGTCTCTGCTGGCTTTTCGTCTTCGGGGAGAATCTTGGCTTCGCTGTCCTCTGTGGTAAAGATGTTAGTATGCGCGACGATATATTCGAGAATGGCTATCGTGGCGGAACATACCTTTGGCAGCCTCGGCAACTGGAAGCTCTTCCTTGGTTTCAGTCGCGCTCACTCCATTGCTGTCGCCAGTAGTGGCATCGGCGGCGGATGAAACTCCCCCAGCAGTCGCGTCATCTGGACGCGCAACCGATGAATCCACCGAAGCAGACACTGCCTCAACCGGTGTCGCGTGTTCAGACATACCCACGGCTTCTATGGTATATTCTGTGACGCCGTATCTAGATTGTTATCTTGAGGAACGCGTTTCGCGACACTGATAGGAAAATAACGCGCAAAGTACTAGGAGTCGCGCGTAAAGTTGGATTGAAGTGTTTGCGATGATGGTGAACAATGGTAGGTCGGTGGAGTTGATGCGCCGTCAATGGTAGAAGAGTGGAGTTGGCGAGGAAATACTTGGGAGAGCTCGCGGTTTGAGCGCGCGAGAAATAGCGCGGTTGGTCACGTGTCGATAATATTGAGGGTGATGACAAGTTGATCCACGAATCGGCATCCGCAGTACTTATGGACCACAAATGCTGATCGGATTTCTTTCACTGAGGTGAAAGCTGACAGTATGCCAGATGGCCGGAGAAGGTTCGCAATCGATGAAGGAACTGAAATTAATGAAAAGGAAACAAAGGGTTCATTTTGTGTTCAGTCGAGATGTGTCTCGATCGAGGATCACTGAATTAGAATGTGGCGGTGAACTTGATTCTGCAACCTTCCACAACAATACTTTGGGCCCGAGAATGCAGGCTGCCGTGGAAACAAATTGCCAAAAGTAGAACAGCCACCGAAATGCGAGAATCAATGAAAAGCTCCTACCAAATAAAGCCGCATAACCCACAATTGCTCTCTCAACCATATGAAATGACTCCTTGATCCAACATCATAGACTGATCCAAACTATCGAAGTGGCCTCCATTCGACACAGAAACAGTGACACGGGGGAACCTGGAAATGGCTGATATGATCTAAAATCCAACCGGATTTCTTTCTATTATACAACAAACCCTTCCTTCAGGGGTAAACAGGGTCTTACTATTCTATTCCATATCCTCATCTTCATCCTCCTCGTCATCATCTTCTCCTTCAGCAACATTCACTGTGAAGCTGGGATCCTGGTCGACACCAACATAACTGTCGCTCATCAAAAATAGCTTCAGATCGTGCTTGCCAGCTGTCGGTACCGTATATTCCAACCGTAGATTCAACTTCTTGCCAATGGTGATGCGTTTGATCGCAAGCAAAGTTTTTGTGCTCTCCTCGCCAACAACCAACCACCAATTTTCCATCTTCTTGACTGGATAAAACGGTGCGTGAACGGTTGTGTCGACCTCTGTAGTCTCATCATCTTCGTCTTCTTCGCGCTCGATCTTGACTTTGATGTATGAAGGAACACCAGCGGTGATATCCTCCGGGTCTTCAAGCTCGAACTCCAGCTCAATATTTGGATATTTCGAGTTCGTGAAATTCGCAGCCTGTCCCAACTGTGCCTGTGTCAAGCCCAGTTTCTTCACGAGTGCGCCGTAGTTTGGATTTTCAGAAGGATCCATTGCCTCCATGAATCCAAAAATATCCTCAACACTAATGAAAGAATAATGGTTAGCATTGTTAAGAATAGGGAGGTGGGGTACATACCCAGCACTATTAGCAGCCTTGATGACCTCCGGTGTGAAGTGGGGGATCTGTTTAAGAGGACTATCCCGATCCCACATGCCTTGAACGACCATCTGAGACATCTCCATCGCATTCATAGCATTGATATGACCATCAGAAGACAACACATCAACAGTGGCGCTCAGTAGGCCAAGCACCTTCGTTAGTATTATCTCCTGATCCTTTGCAAGATCTATAGGGAGCTGCATCCTGGAGAAATGTGCTTGGAGAAGCACAAACGCCTTGAAATGCGGAGAGTCATAGCTTGGTTCTGCCATCTTGACTGGAGCCCTATCGTAGATACGACGAAGTAAACTGTCTTCATGGCGCCTTATCTGAATGGTCTCAAACTCCGTGGCCGAGGTCACAATCTCTAGCACACCCTTGAGCTTTGTCCGCCCACTGAGTGATAGCAGGAAGGTTTGCATTGTGATGTAGGAGATGTTGTAGTAAGCGGCGATCATGGCAGCATTGAGAGGCGTCACCGAATCATCCTCCTCATCCAGATCAATGATTTTGGAATCGGAGAGATCCTTTAGTGTTGTCTCTACTAACTCAGAAAGATGAGCGCTTAGGCCTTCATGAGAGGTGTCTGTAAGACTGTAGTAGCTGGGATTCGCCAGCAGTCGACGGTAGAAATATGTGAAAGTCGTCCAGTTAATCGCATCATCAGCAGATTCGATCATCTTCGTGCTAATCTCGGAGACGAATGCGTCGTGCAAGACAACCTGGAGATGACTCTCGATAGGAAGCGCTTCGGCCAAAAATTTCTTGTAATAGTCGCGCTTGACTGCAGGAACCATAAGCACGCCTCTGCTCATGGTGTCTTCAAGTGGCCGAGTCGCTTTGCCAAACATCTGCAGAACTTCACTCAACGGGTAGTCCACATAACGATGCTCCCGCCCCTCAAAATATTGGGTCCCCATGACGATGACCAGGTGTGCGGTGCAATCGAGCTCCCAGCATACATCTCTTGATGCGACCAGGACTTGGATAGCTCCGTTGTCGTAAAGGTGCTTGACAATCCGTTTGTCGCTGGTGCTTAGTGCCTCATGGTAGTAGCCAATACCGTGTGAAAGAGATTCCGCAAGTGCCTCTTCATGAATCCGTTCCAACAGAGGTTTCAGCTGCTCGCTGTCTGCGTGCAAAAAGCGATCCTCGTCGTCATTCGCAACACAAGCAGTCAGCAAGTCGCGAGTAGTATTGCGAGCTTGTTTCCTGTTCGGCACAAATACTATGGCAGGCTTATCTGGAGACATTTGTAATATGCTGAGATACGTAGGCTTTGCCATCGCGAGCATAAGCGATGGGAAATGCGGGATGGTGAAAGACTGAATATGAAGCTCCAGGGGAACGGATCTGACGTGAGTACTGAAGTTGTAGATTGTATGTTTCTTTGCATCAATCCATTCGCCGATGTCGCGTGCATTTGCCAGCGGAACACTAAGACCAACGATGCGCATAGGAAGTTGTGTCTGGGAGCGAATGTAGTGCATACGAGAAACCACAATCTCATAAACATAGCCGCTCTGGCCTCCCAACATATGGAGCTCGTCTGCGATGAAGAGTTGGATGTTTTGGATGTTCTTTCGGCGTTGCCATTGTCTGGAGAGTACATCCCACTGCGTCGGAGTAGCGAGAATAAGATCGCCCCTTTCTAGGAGCTTGAGGTCTGCAGTTGTTTCTCCAGTCAATTTGACAATTTCCTTCCCTCCACGGATATTCGACAAGCGTGCTTTCCAATCCTGGAGTCTCAAATCGACAAGCTCTTGGAACGGTGCAATGTAAACGGCGCGGCCTGCCTCCGGTTTCGACCAGTGGTGTAGGAGCGCAAATTCGGCACAGACTGTTTTACCATTACCAGTTGAAGCTCCAACAAACACATTCTCATCCGTCGTGTAAAGCGAGTTGAATGTTTGTGTCTGAACCTTATTGAACCATTCCCACTTTGGATATAATGCAACGTAGTCTTGGGCTTTGAGCGCGGACACTGGCAAAGGCTGCAGATCCAAAAGTGGTGTGTGAGGGGGGAACTTCTCTGGTAAGATCAGTTTCTGGAATGAGACGGCAAGCTTGGTCTCCGAATGCATCCAACGATCCGAAACTAATGTAATGAAATAGTTGGGTGGCATTGGCTCCGAAATTGGAACGGTAAATTCGACCAGGTGCTCATTCATTTCAGCCTGAGCATAATCCTTACGCAAAATAAATTGGTCGTGGAAGAGAATTTCCTCCCCGTCACAGTCCTCGGCGATAATCCAGAAGCTCTCGGCTGTACCGTGCACCTCGTCATCCCATTCGAACTTGGGTGTGATTGATAACTCGATCCGCAGCATGGACCTGGTCATGGGCTGAACCTGGGCCTGAATCTCTAGTCTCGGGAACTTGGACATTAGAGCGCAGACAGTCTTGCCAGCTCTTGGCAGACCGAGAAGCTCTCCCATCCGCGGAGGATCCAAGTCGAAGTAGTTGTTCCAAGGAACGTCAATTCGCTCAGCCTTCTGGATAATATCGCGGGGGCAGCTGGGGAATTGCCTCAACGGTGTCATTGTTGGCCACATTCTCTTTTCTGCCATCTTGCAAAGCTCAAGCGCTGTTTTGGCCACGGACGACCACCCTTTCTTCAGCGTAATCTCAAAGATGGCACGGAGAATACGGCCAGCAGATTGAGTGACATACACCAAATCGGCCATCAAAGCCAAGCCTTCAAGCTTCAGACGGGAAATATATGCCTGGAGAAGAACGTTGATCTTTGCATGCGGCTCTTCGATGCTTTCCTTGACGGGTATTGGTACTCTTCCCAAAAGCTTCGCAAGCTCCAACTTCTCGTCTTGCCTAACGGGGATGAACTTGAACTCATCACTCAACGCGAAGACTCTGAAAAGTTCAATAGGGGTGATAGATGGTTGAATATGGTGGTTATAGGTGAGCATGCTGCTATGCGTGATGTAGTAATGCGACGCAATGCGGCCGAGCTCAGTTGCTTGGAGCCTACCCGTTTTCTTGTCGTATTTAACCAGATTCGATCTCTCCAGAACAACCGCAGCAGAATGGATCAGGTCCACACGCTTTTGTTCTAAGGCATTGTCTTCTTCGTAGTCGGCGCCGACCTGATAAAGACCAGGCGACCTCAACATCCGAACAAAGAGATAGGTGTAACCCAGCCACTCGACTCCCTCGTCCCTCGTTCGGATGTTTCCAAGAACGATTTCAGCATTCAGGTTATCAGCCAGCCGGGTAACAAACTGACTCTCAATGGGCAGCTGCTGGTTAAGGAGAGAAAGATAGTATTGCATCTCGGTCTGCGTAGTGATGATGATACCTTCTCCATATGTATCATATTGTGGGCGACCAGCACGTCCCAACATTTGCAATACGTCTTGAGGACTCAACTCGACCCAGCTGCCCTTCTCAGGAGAATAAATCTGCGTGCCCTTGATGATGACAGTATGGGCCGGCAAGTTGACACCCCAAGCGAGGGTAGCCGTGCAGACCAAGACTTGAATAAGGCCATCATTAAAGAGGTCCTCAACGGAAGTCCTATCGGGGCGGGTCATTCCAGCGTGATGTATGCCAAAGCCATATGGTAGTAAATCCTTAAGGTCGCGATCGTTCACGGACTCTGCTTCCGTAGTTAGGGCCTCACGGCTACCAGCATCACTTCGAAGAATTTGGCTAATCGTCTCCTCTTCGAGAGCCTTGTCGCGGACGTACCGGGCAGTCTTGGCAGTTTCCTTCCGGGAATGAACGAAAATAATCATCTGGTTACGGTTGGTGCCAACATGCTCGAGCACCTTCGTGTAAGTAATGTCGTTCATGGTCTTGAGTTGCTTGATCGCCTTCTTTTCGGTGATACCAATAAACTCCTGACGCAAAGGGCAAGGACGGAAAGATCCATCGAAGTGGAACATACCCTTCAATGGGTCAACGCGCAAAAAGCTTGCAACGTCCCTATAATTGGGCAATGTCGCGGAAAGGCCAACCAAGCGTACTGGGTCTCCTGTTTGCTCCATCTTTCTGATTGTTCGGCTGACGATGCTCTCCAGCACTGGTCCACGATCATCGTGCAACAAATGAATCTCATCAATAATGATTAGGCGCACTAAGTTGGTGTAGCTCATATCAGTCGCCTTGCGGGTAATCACATCCCACTTCTCTGGCGTTGTGACGATGATCTGTGTATCCGCAATTTGTTGCTTTGTGAGCTGACGATCACCTGTAAGCTCAGAGACCTGGATTCCGTAAGGCTTTAACCTAGCTCCAAAGTTGCCAACCTGTTCCTGAACCAGAGCCTTCAATGGGGCGATATAAACAATCTTAAACCCGTCCAAATTGATCTCTCCGGTCTCAGGATTCCTGTTCTTCCCGATTTCTCTCAGAATGGTCAGCATACCGACGTTCGTCTTGCCACTTCCAGTTGGCGCACAGATGAGCATGTTTCCATCTTCACCAAATGCGGTTGGAAAGCACTTGGACTGGATCTTGTTGAGCTTTGGGGTTGTGCCGAATGGCACACGAGACCACTCAGGCATCTCGGAGACAGGGACATCTCTATCTGTTGGGTCGCTGCGCTTCTTTGGTGCTGGTACGTGAATCTCCTCGTACCCCTTGAAAGTCTTCTTCGTCGATCCTTCAGGGAGCTTTACCTTGGGGTTCGTCATGAGATGGTTGCCTTGCTCGAATATCAGATTCTCCAGGTTAATGAGTTTCCTTGGCTGTAGGCCTCCAACTAGGCCACCATCCTTGGCCTGCTCTTCTTTTGGACCCTTAATGTAATCCTCTGGTACGTCGATATCCATCTTAATTTCGACCTTTTTGCCCTTTCCACCGTCAACGGAGACTTTACGGCCCTTTAGCTCGTCAAGGATCCAACGAAGCCCTTCAGCGATAATCTCACGCTCAACGACTCCCCGGGCCTCATCATCCTCTGCTTTGGCTAGACGAGTAAGCCACACGACCTTGTCTCGGTTCGAAATCAATTTCTGAACAAGTTCATGGTGCTCGTAATCAAAAAGTTCCATTAGGTCGTTCTCAATTTCACGGAGAGTCCGTTCGTCTCCTTCTTCAGACAGACCGGAAAGAATCTGTAGCGCTTGTTGTGTTTTGACTTGTTGCATGTGGGCATCTGCATAGTTTTGCCCAATTTGCCTCTGTAGCCAATATGCGTCGATTTCGCGAGCTGGGATTGATTTGTCTTTTGCAGATGGCTTTGCTCCAGCGCGGTCGGCACCAGAATCTAAGGTCATTGCCTCATCTTCCCCAAACATGCCGTCCTCGTCTCGATCCATGCCAGCGCCTCCGGCTCTCGCTATCTCATCGGCCTCGAGGTTGTCCTCCTGATCGCCCTCTTCGTCTTCCGAAGATTCGTCTCGGATTTCATTAAGCAGTTTGCCTCCCTCATCCTCTGATTCCTCGTCATCAAACACGACGGCCACACCCTGCCGATCGTCAATCTCGGCTCCATCTCCGTTGGCATCACCCTCCCCCATGGCTTCGTCTTCATCTTGGGCCTCATAATCGGTAATCTTTTTCCCAAGGTTGACAAGTTCATTGAATTGTTTCGGATTCATCGTTGTGCCCAGCAAATCATCGACTTCCTTCTTCTTGTCGAAATCCTTCATATCATCATCCTTTAGGTATTCCAACACAGCATCCGCAGCACTGCGTACAACTTCGTGAGGGACGTCACCCAGATTGCTCGCCACAGTTGTGATTATAAGATCGTATGTCGCCCTCGTCGCAGGTGTCCTCGGTCTGTATCGGATTCCCTCCACAAGTGCGTCCGCTGCCGACAGAATACCAGTACCCCGAAGTTGTGCTGGTTCTCCTCGTTTGCGCTTCCGTTGCTCTCGCTCCAACACATCTTCGCCTTCCCGCAAGCTTCCGCGCTCAACATTAAGCATGCCCGTAGGTTTCTTCTGTTTCGGCGCGTCTTCGCGGGCATTGCGCGACCCCATATCTCTGATGCTGAGGCGCCCTGCAAGTGACTCCGGGTCCCCTGTAACTTCATCGCCGCGGCGAGTCACAAATCGTCTATCGGCCTGCAAGACCAAATTGGACATCGCCGAATATTTGTATTGCGACACATCGCGCTGTTGGTCGGCCATGGTGGCGGCCTAGGTAGAAACTTTGTTGTGTTGATTTATGGCCCTTCCCTACGGGCTATCGAAAAGTTTTATATATCACTTTGACAGTCCATCGATAAAACGCCAAATGAATGTATTAATGCGACGCTCCCTTCAACATTGGCCGTTTGAGTTGATCTTGAGTTTATGACGGCGTCGAATGCTGCAAATAATTTAGCGGTATTGATAGAGTACTCTGCCGCCTCGCCTAGACCTGTTAGGGTGGCGGCTGAGAGGCGGTAGGCGTCTATAGCGCGTATTCCCGTCCAGCTGCACGTGCTGTCAACAACAAACAACTCGATACCAAACTCTCATAATATCGATTATGAGCATGGAACAACCTTCATCAACAAATCCTGCTTTCGGGGAGGCCAAAAAAGCCCTTGCTCCTTATATTAGAACCCGACAGGAGGTAGCCCATATCAGGCGTGTACTGGCCCTCCATCTCAAGTCCCAAGTGGATGATAAAGGAGATGCCAAGCTACTTGCGCCTATTTCGCTGGCCTGCGAATCAGCAAACAAACTCCCAACTACGTCCGGCACTCATGGGCTGCGGAAAGAATACCTGAGGGCACTAAAAGCAAACGTCAAAGCCCGCCAAGAATTTGCCAGACTGACCACTGAATCACAAATCACCAGGGAGAAGGAAGTGGAAGAGATATCTCTTGGCCCCTATTTAGCCCTGGAAAAGCAGAAGCAAAAACTCGAGCGCTTGCGCATTCTTCAAAAATACGTTGATAGTTTAGCAATCAAAACCCCTGCTTTTGCATCGTTCCTCGAACAACCTGCCGCTAGTATTGAAGCGCTTCCACAGCTTCCAGAAGAAGCTATCGCGTCAGCAGCCCGTAGTGGCTCAGAATATTCTGCGGTCAATCTAGATGACCTGATTCAAGACTTGGAGAGGGATGTACTTCGGGCCAAATTGCTTCTCAAGTCCGAGAAAGAGCTGCTGGCCAAAATCCAGGCCGAGCAACAGAAGCAGCTGCAGCGAAAAAGCTCGTTAAAAGCCGCGGAGCCCGACCAGACTTTAAAGGCGCTTGAGAAGACTAGAAACGAGCTGATCAGTTGGGTGGAAGAGGAATTAGGCAAGGCCGGGGATTCAGATGGTCAGCCCGAGAACCCCTCGAAACCTCGTGATTCAGAAGTATCTATCGAGCAAGCCGTCACTGAAGTCAGAGAGAAATATGCACGTTATCTCAGGGAAAGGAAAGGCCTTTTAGAAGCCCTCGCAAGGCCTGCTGTCCCAGACATCGCGCCAAAAACCGAAGATAAGGACATTCCACAAGAACCTCTGAACACCACTGAAGTTGGCGAGATGGCCGGATTCATCACCCCCTATCTGTCCGAGCTACTCGCAATCTCTCGCGAACAGAAATCCCTCAGTCAGCAGCGCTCCCATCTTACTACCAGCCTGGCCAAGCAAAACAAGGAGACGATCCAAGTCTTTGATCGCCTGGCGGAAGAGAGCCACCTGCTTCCTAAATACCAATTACCCCAGAAACGCGGCCGCAAAGGGACCGGGACCTTTGCCGAGGAAGTTAACATGGCTGTTAAGGAGAGTCCTGGCGTTAGCCACAGAGCTGAAGAATGGACATATGCCGCCCAGGCATCGAGTATAGATACCATGGAAGCTGTGTGCGTGAACGTCGATGAAGGAAAGACAGCTTTGGAGGAAGCGAAGAAAGCTCTGGATAGGTTGGACCAGATGCTGGGGTATAGCGCCCGGAAGACTGGGAAGGGAGACAGCAGTGGCGGAGATATATGGTTACAGGAGGCAGAAAGTGGAGGGGCTAAGGACGAGAATACGAACATATGGAGCACCCTGGATGGACAACTCGGCGTCCTCTAGGCATGATCAGGAACAAAGTGTTGAGATTCGACGCGGAAACTATCTTTGAGAATGGGGCAGAAGGGAAAGGCAAAAGGTATCATGGAGATACTGTACCTGCAATGCCAGAATGGCCAGCCACACCAACTTCCTTACCACGAGCTAGAGGAAACTTTGGCAACGAAGGGGTACCATCCATCCTGGCAAGTATTATTGGCTACATCCCAATGAAATAACAAATTTGGGTGGTTTGGCAAAAATATTATACATAACTCCGTGTTCCTATGAGGTTGGCGTCGTGCTTTGCCCCATAGTGGACCAAAAATTCCTTGTGGGATGAGGTAGTCAGTGTCATGTTAATACCGGGCTGCTGACGGCGAAAGACTGGAGCTGAGATGATACATAGTTTTGTCAACAAGGACAAGTTCGAGCTAGAGAGCATCGACGTAGATAGAACAATAAGCGGAGATGTTAAATGGCACATGGATATAAGTCGAGAAATATATCAAAAATCAAACGGTATGCATCAATTGCCTACTAAGCCTTCCAAACTCCCAACCCTACATCCTCCACCTCTGCCCCTCTCCCATCCCCATAGATTTCCTCATCTTCATATCTCGCCAACTTTTCAACCCAAATATCCGAGATAAGTCGCCCCATCTCATCATACGAAAGGCCCGCGTGGTTTTCCTCGACTCTCTGGCTTAGTACTATACATTTTCGCCCTCGACTTTCAACCTTCAACACTGCACTTTCTGACGTGGAAAAGACTGATTTACAGAGGCTTGCCACCAATGAAATCAGACCACCTGCGCACCTCTCCTGGGATGCCCTCCTTGCGAGGAAGCTTCTCGCTCATGCAGCGGGCGAAGAGCTCAGCAGTCTATATCACGTTAGTTGTAAACTCAAATAATCGGAAATACAAGTAATTAACATACCTTTGGCTCCATGAACAACGGCACGCCGAAGTCGACGGCGTTCCTCCTCATGACGTAGTCGACATCCTGTGTCGTCTTGCCCCTGGCCAATGCGATGTTGAAAACACCGCGGATATCGTACTTCTCGAACACCTTGCGGAGCTCGCGCTTGTCCTTGACGGGGAACTCAATGACCTCGACGGAGACATCGTTCTTGGCGTTCTTCTCGATGAAGGACTTGACGTGATCCTCAGCGGCGAACAGCTTGTAGCCTAGAGGAGACAGGTAGTCGACGATAGTAACGAGAGCGTTCTTGTCCTTGGTGATGTCACCACCGAAGAGAAGACCCTCTCCTGGCTCTGGCATGCGGAAGTTCATGGTGGATTGCAGGGAAGCCCAGTAGGCCTCGACGAGGTCCTTACCGAAGCAGGCGATCTCACCGGTAGACGACATCTCAACGCCCAAGAAGGGGTCGGCACCGGCAAGACGGGTCCAGGAGAATTGAGGAACCTTGGTGGCAAGGTAGTCGCGCTTGATAGCCATCAGATCTTGTGGCTCTGGGACATCACGGCCGACAAGGGCCTTGGTGGCGACATCGATGAAGTTGACACCGAGGACCTTGGAGACGAATGGGAACGAACGGGAAGCACGGAGGTTACACTCGATGACCTTAAGAGCTGGCAGACCACCCTCTGGGTCGAGTGCCTTGATGATTTGCATGTTGAAGGGACCAGTGATAGACCAAGCCTTGGCAACCTTGATGGCAATCTCCTTGACACGGTCCATGGTGACTTGATCGATGTTGACGGGGGGGAGGACAAGAGTGGCGTCACCAGAGTGGACACCAGCTTGCTCAACGTGCTCAGAGACGGCGTGGATAATAAGCTTGCCATCGGATGCAACGGCGTCAACATCAATCTCCTCAGCGCCCTCAATGAACTTGGTAATGACAACTGGGTGGTCAGGTGACACGTTGGAGGCGGCCTCAAGCTTGTCCTTCAGCTCATCCTTGCTGCGGATGACAGTCATGGCAGCACCGGAGAGAACGTAACTAGGGCGGACAAGAACGGGGTATGAGACCTCATCGGCGAAGGCCTCGGCATCGGCAACCGAGGTAAGTTCCTTCCACGCGGGCTGGTCAACACCAATGCTGTCAAGAATCTCAGAGAACTTTTGACGATCCTCAGCCTTGTCAATATCCTTGGGATCAGTTCCAAGGATGTTAGCCTTGCCGGACTCTTGCAGGCGGAGAGCGATGTTCTGGGGTAGCTGGCCACCCACGGACACAACGACGCCGGTAGCGCCCTCGAGCTCGTAAATGTCCATGACACGCTCATAGCTCAACTCTTCGAAATAGAGCTTGTCGGCGGTATCGAAATCGGTGGAATAAGTCTCGGGATTGTACTTTTTTGTTAAATTAGCAATGATAATAACAATATAATGATGTTGGGGAGGGGGTAGGTTGAAAAATCGAGGCCAAAATCCAAAAATCCAAAAAATGACGCTAAAAGGCGCTAGTGCCACCCAGAAGTCCCAAGAGCGGCCTTGCATAGCTGAGACTCTCATCTAGCTATTAAATACAAGGGAGCCTCCCTCTTTGGTTCTATTTCTGGGTAACTGGCTCGTTGGGGGTAGCCCCTGAGTGATTGGCCGCCTTGATCACGTGCACAGTTATTATACCCGCCATTGGCAACGCACGGACCCTATCCAGACTTCTGGAAGGCACAAGTGCTATCACCTTCGAGTTCAAGATGGAGCACCCAATTGAGCTCACACCTCGATAGAGACTGTTCCATGCACCCAGAAGCTGGGGCATTGACCTGGGGATAAAACAAAACAAAAGTCTCTAACTTACGTTAATCATGACAGTCTTCTTGCCCATCTCCTTGAGTGCGAGAGTAGCGCTGACGGCGCACCAATCGAACTCGACGGAAGAACCAATTCTGTAGACTCCACTTCCAAGAATGAGAGTTCCGTAGTCATCAAAGGTGACATCGTGGGTAGTGGCGTTGTAAGTGGTGTAGAGGTAGTTGGTATCAGCAGGGAACTCGGCGGCAAGGGTATCAATCTTCTTCACGAATGGCTTGATACCGAAGTTCTTGCGGCGAGCGCGAACCTCGTCCTCGGTGCTGCCAACGGCGTTGGCGATCTGCCTATCGGAAAAACCCATCTTCTTGGCCTTCATGAGGAGATCCTTCTTGAGGCCAAAGAGGCTTCCAATGTCCTCCATCTCGTGGGTGCAGTCGACAATGTTCTGGAGCTTGTACAAGAACCACTTGTCAATCTTGGTCAGGTCGTGAAGACGCTCGACAGTGTAGCCCTCGTGGAGCATAGCCTGGCCGACGGCCAACCAACGGCGGTCGGTTGGGTTCTGGAGCTCGTAGTCGAGATCGTCAAACTTGTCACCCTGGAAACCGACGAAGCGGGGGTCAACCTGGCGGATGGCCTTCTGGATGGACTCCTCGAAGGTTCGGCCAATGGCCATGACCTCACCGACGGACTTCATGGCAGAGCCAATATCACGCTTCACGTGCTGGAACTTGGCCAGATCCCAACGGGGGATCTTGGTGACGACGTAATCCAGGGAAGGCTCGAAGTTGGCGCTGGTGGTCTTGGTGACCGCGTTGGGGAGCTCAGGGAGAGTGTGGCCGAGACCAATCTTGGCAGCGGTGTATGCGAGAGGGTAACCGGTAGCCTTGGAAGCAAGGGCAGACGAACGAGAGAGACGGGCGTTAACCTCGATAACTCTGTAGTCGAGTCCGTCTGGCTGGAGAGCGTACTGGACGTTACACTCACCAACGACACCGAGATGGCGGACAATCTTGATAGCGGCGGAACGGAGCATGTGGTACTCCTCATCGCTCAGGGTCTGGGAAGGCGCAACGACAATGGAGTCACCAGTGTGGATGCCAAGAGGATCGAAGTTCTCCATGTTGCAGACAGTGATGCAGTTGTTGGCGGCGTCGCGGACAACCTCGTACTCGACCTCCTTCCAGCCCTTGAGGGACTTCTCGACCAAGATTTGAGGGGACAGAGTCAGTGACGTAGCGGCCATGTTGCGGAGCTCCTCCTCGTTATGGGCGAATCCAGATCCAAGACCGCCCAAAGCGTAGGCAGCGCGGACAATGATGGGGTATCCAATAACCTTGGCGGCATCCAATGCCTCCTCGATCGTTCCAACAGCAACAGACTGAGCGACGGGGATGTTGATCTCTCCGAGAGCCTGGGTGAAGAGATCTCTGTCCTCACTGGTCTCGAGGGTCTTAATTGGCGTACCCAAGACCTTGACTCCGTACTTCTTGAAAAGACCCATGCGCTCCATCTGGACACCCAAGTTTAGGGCGGTCTGGCCACCGAAAGTGAGGAAGATTCCATCTGGCTTCTCGCGCTGGATAACATATTCGACATATTCGGGTGTAACAGGCAGATAGTAGACCTCGTCGGTGAGCACGTGGGCAGTCTGAATCGTGGCGATATTCGGGTTGATGAGAACGGAGGCGACACCAGCTTCTTTCAAAGCCTTCAGTGCTTGCGAACCTGAGAAGGAGAGATAGGTCAGCTTTGTTCTTGTTGTTATCTCCAGTACCCATCTTGTTGAGAGTCGAAGTATCATTCGCATAATACCCCGACTTCTCAAATCTGAGTCACCGCCATTAGAAAAGCAGCGCCTCAACGCGACGTACCTGAGTAATCGAACTCTCCAGCCTGTCCAATGCTCAAACCACCCGATCCAATAACCAAGACCTTCTTCAGGTCAATCGGGTTCGCGGCCTTCTTCAAGGCGCCATCCTTCATAAACTGGTTCGAAGTCGCCGCCGGCTCTGGTTGTGAAGCCCTTTGAATTGAGCTCGAGAACAGACGGATCTGGTACTGTGCGCTCTTCTCTACGGGCCTCTGAGCCTTCACCAACAGACTCCTAGTCGAAGTCCGGGTGCTGAAGGCGCGCGGGGAAGACGCTGAGGCTCGACATTGGCGGAGGAGCGCGGATGTTCGACCGGTGAGTCGGCCGGACAGAGCCATTGCGCCGGGCGCTGTTTCTCAAAAGTTAATTGAGAAACGGGATCTGGATGTTTCTGTCGCTGGGCGAGTCTTCGCTCCTGTTGCCCAGAAAATCAGACACTGGAGTGACCGTTGTTGAGGAGTTTGTTCGCGGTTGAGGATTTGTGACACTTGGACGATTCGCCAAAATATTTCGGTAGGACTCACAGGTAACTCGCTATCGCACTAGCTTCCGGTTTTTTGTATGCTACACAGTAACTGTTTTGGAGGCTAGTCCCTGTCCGGTAGTGTGTGATAGCACCCTTATCTCGGGGGACCCTGTGAGTCAATTGGACGTTTTTTTCAAAGCAGCGGTAAGAAGGAACGGAAGGGGAAGGGTTTGGATTGTGGGTTTTGACTCGGGTCTACTAGAGAAATAATTATCAAAATTCACAAGATTCCGATCTCCGCAATCGGCATCCCAGCGAAAACATTATACCACTCTCTATTTCACTCAACTACTTTTTTAGTTCCTGCACCTGGCTTAAAAAATTGAAGCGCCTACCAATTTTCCCTCGTCTTTCATTGGCTCATAATAGTGCGGGTTACCCAATGACCCAAGGTCTTGGGGTATGAAGATTTAGGCTCAAGTGGAGCTGTACCTGTAATGCTCCTTCAAGAGTTTCCCAGGTTCTGCCTCATCTTAACCTTATCGAGATCCACGATCCATAAAACATGACATATAGATGCTTCGGCTCCATTCACATTGATAGACGGCCATTGATTTATTTATTTCACAACAATGTCTCATGTTTCACATTCGCCACTGAGTTCATCATGATCGTGATGGTATTCATTTCAACCCCCTCCAACAGCCAAAGATTCGTTAAACACATCAACTCGTTTTCTCGATTACTTTGACAACCTCACAGCCTCACTCCTCTGAATGAAGCCGAGATCCACCTTGTGTCCCAACAACTCACGGATATTCGAACACTTTGTACGAATCATAGTTGGCCTCTCCAAACTCAGACCCCATCCGTAAACCCTCATGTCCTTCGGGAGACCCATAGACTCCAACATCTCCGGCCTGAACATACCACTGTTGCCAATCTCCACGAGCTTGTTCAGTCCCTTGTGGAAACTGAAGATCTCCAAACTCGGCTCGGTGTATGGGTTGTATGCCGGCTTGAATCGAAGGTCAGTGATGCCCATCTTGTTGAAGAAGATGGTCATGAACTCCATTAAGCCTCCAAGGGTAAGGTCGTAATCGGCAATAACACCCTCGACCTGGTGGAATTCAGCTAAATGCGTCGCATCGACGGTCTCGTTACGGAAAACACGATCGATAGAGAAGTAACGTGCTGGCGGGGGTCTTCCATCTGGTCCCTTCGTTTGCGCAAGCTTGTAGAGCATGTGTGTCGAAATAGATGTCGTATGCGTGCGGAGGACCAGCTTCAGAGTCTCGTCCGCAGACCACGGGTATCTGTAACCTATCGAGCCGTACTTTCCATCCTGGTGAACTTCTTGCACGTTATTCCAGTATTTCTCGTAATCGGCCTTGTCGTCCTCCGACTCCGCGCGGGGCTTGTCAGCCAGCTTCGGGTCCGAGATGTAGAAGGTATCCTGGAGATCGCGAGCTGGATGTTGCTGTGGCACGAAAAGCGCATCGAAGTTCCAGAAACCGGTCTCCACGAACTTGTCCGTTGGCATCTCCTCGAAGCCCATCTCGAAGAAGATCTGCCTGAACTCGGTGCGCACCTTGTTAAGGGGGTGTAGAGCACCGGCGTGTTGATCTGCGCCCAAGGCCTTGAAGTTGTATGGCTTGAAAGCAGCCGTCTTCCATGCGCCCGATGCGAGCATGTCTCCGGTCAAATCGGTCTCCTCCTTGACTATTTCCAGCGCGAACTTGGGGCCTTTGCTAATCTTGAAGCTGGTAACCTTATGAATCTTGACCAGCTTGCGCTTCTTCAGGTCCGCCAGGATTTTTGGGTCACCGTGTGTACGTGTCAATTGAACGCCTTGTAATTGCTGCTTGGTCTCGTCTTGAACCGAGTCTGTCTATAAAATGTGTAAGCGGGCGATTACCCCGCCATGAAAAGGGTATACTTACAGATGCGACAAAACGCCCCTCCTTTCCTTTTGCAATCCATTTCGACTTGAAAGCTCTCATCTGTCCGATCTTGACTGTATTCTTGTCTCCCACCGCCTCCTCCAACTCCTTGATAGTCAGACCCTCCAGTGCTTGCTTAAGAGCCTCGAAAACACGGGCCTCATGGCTGCCATTGGCGACAATATCTTCTCCCTCTGGCTCCAAAACCGCCTCTTCCTTATCGATCGTCTGGTAGGTGACCATAGACCTCGAAGCTAGCCTGTCTAATGCGCTCTTAACATCAGTCGACTTTTGCGACGGGAATGCCTCGCTGGAGAGGATGTTGTCCTGCTTATCGAGCGCCTGAAGCACCAGAGAGGTGAGGTCTCCCTCTGCATTATCTTGAACGCCCGCCATATTGTCCGGCCTGGCTGTTCTGGGGAGCAGGGTGGGGAGTTTTGAGCGCTGTTGGCTTTTTGAAGGTGAGTCAAGTCGGCCCTCAAATTATATATCTGCAACGGCAAGATGACGCGGGGTTTCGTGGGCAACTTTACCCTGCCACGTGACTAATCGCGATTTCATCCCTTAGTTATAACACTGGCGGCTCAAGGGGCATTTGATTTTCTACATTTCAAGTTGATAAATAATTTTTGATTGAATTTGAGTTGTTATTTCTATAAATTGATCGCCAAAGACAGTGAAGGCTTCCTCATAATCCAACCTGACACGTGGCAGACACACAACTGATTTGCAACCACGGACACGACCCAGCGATGCCCTCAGTACCAGTGCCTCTTGCTCCTCATCATCTCATCCTCCGCCGCTAACTTGTCCCTCCTTGCCTCCTCCCACATCTCGTCGGCCGTCTTGGCATCCTGCGGCGCCGCACATCCTCGCAAACCAATGAACTTTCCCCACTTCCTCCGCTTCTCCTCGAACGTCAAATTGCCCCTCCACCCCATGGTCTGTGGATACTGAGTTGTCCAGACAGAAGGTGTGCGTTGGTGGTAGAAGTGTGCCAGGTCGTCGAGATCTGACTCCACAAGAAGCCAGTAGTGAAGGACTGTCGGAGGGAAGGCGGGGTGAACGGTGCCGGTGGTGATGCGCACGAGCGGCGACAGGCGGAGGCGCATCTCTGCGATCTTGGAGGAGAGGGCTGGGTTGTTTGAAATGCGCGAAAGCATCTTGGGTTTCTTTGACTTTGATGCAGACTCGTGAGGTAGACTGGACTTTGGGTTGAAAGAGTGGAAGAGCCGTTGGGATCTGGCGTGATATTAATGACTGGACAGGCGCTTCTGTGATTCTTTGACGGTGACCAGAGTGATTCACTGTAAATCTACCACGGAGATGAGGTTGTGAATGTTTTTTTCTGTGAATAATTATGAAAATGGGTTCAAGTGAGAGTTTTGAGCTGCCAGCAGCAATATTAGATGGGACGAGAAGACAAATGAAATAGTAAGAAATAAGGTGCTAAAGAGAACAACCATGAATTCCAGATGGCACTCGAAGGGCAGTTGGAAACCTACTTGTATTATACATGAGGCACATTGCAGTCAGTGACTCTTTGTCCGAAGGATCCAGAAGTCTTGTCTCGTGCTCCAAATCGAGTCAGACAACTCCTTTGTCATATGCCAAAATTAGATATTGTCTTTTGAAGTTAAAGAAAATGCTTCTAGAAATTCATCAAGCCAGGTATTGCCTGGTACTCCCAACCACCAAGATATGGCCGATCCACCCCCGAAAACGCCTTACAATGCCCATAACATACACATACAGTGCTATTTACTGCTCAGCCCGATCTTCATTTGTTGGCCTTCTTCTTCTTTGACGCTGCTGTCTCAACAACAACGGAGTCCTCGTCGCTGGTGGTTTTGATTCCGGAAGTGGTTGTCTTCGGATCTGTAGAAGGTGCCGCATCGAGTTCTTTCATGAAACCCGCTTCGATAGAGGCGCGTCGCTTCTCCCACCACTCCTTCTCGGCCGTGGTTTGCGCCTGTATATCGTCGAGCTTCTCACGGAAAACGGTGTTCGCCAGAATTTCGTTCGCAGATTGAAAGATCGTTAATCCCCAGTTTGGCGCGAGCGCATTTGCCTGGTGTTGACATTAGTACAATATATTGACACAGCGGGCGACGCAGCCTTACCTCCATAACCACATCTCTAAGCTCATCCTCCATCTCCTTCTCAGCCCTCAAGAAGCGCTGCCACAGGTCGTCTCCGACACTTCCACGTTGTAAAAGGGTGCTACAGGCCTGCTTCGCAGTCCGCACTTGGATAATCCTACGGATGTCTTCCACAGCTCTGCGTAAAAGCGCTGCGCGGAGTACGCTCTCCGGTACTTTTGGAGCTTTGTCGTTACCGTCCTCGGGTTCCATGTGTAACAAGGACAGATATATATTTCGCTGGAGGTGGGAAGGAAACCATGGTGCGAGCGTCGCGGATTGTACTGCAGAATGTTTAGCTATGCCCACACGATATAAACAGATAGGCAAATAGTCTTACCAGCTTTGCGCTTTCTGTATATGGAGGAGAAGGTCATGAGAGAGCCAGCGAGGACAACGATATATGCGAAAGGGACAGAGAGTCCGACCCAGTCAATGTCGAATATTTGCGATAGTGAAATCATCGTGAAGGTTGCTCAGATAATTGAATAATAAGCAGCATAAAGGTAACGCGAATCCGATATGAGCTGTTCTGAACACTTGTCGTATGGATGTTTCCAAAGTGGGCGCGCTTTTGACAAATTGAAGGCGAGTTCAGGACACTTATTCTCGAAATCCCAAAATGGCCTAGTTGACGTGACTCCGGTCACTGCCACCACGGAGCCTAAAGTTAAAGTTAATCCGGCCGGACCATGGTGGGGAAATTCAGTGATGCAAGTGATTACGGAGCTCTAGCTCCCAGCACCTTCTACCTGATTCAAAGGCCAATTATTCATGCTATCAGACAACCCAGTTTTTCATAGCATTTGAATTTGTCCAGTTTTATTCTACAGCCTTTGGTCATTCTTTACTTCAGCTTTACTCTTTGAAGACACACCAGGACGAGACTGAAAGCTGTAGTCGTCCAACAACATGCTGCTCCGATTTCGTGGCCCGGATGGCACAGTACGACTGGAAGTTGAGCCAAGTACAACATTTGGCCAGCTAGGTTCAAAGGTGTGAATTTCAGCTTGATTCTATCTTGACTTTCATTACTAACTTCAGCCAGCTATCTGAAGTCTTGCCACCAAATACCGACATCTCCACGTTGACACTCTCGAACCAACCCGCGGGGGGCGACAAGAAGTCCATCAAGGACATAGGGAAATTCAAAGTATCACAGATAGGCTTAAAGTAAGTCTTTACTGCCACAAACAAGAACTACCCGCTGATCATCCGCCCACCAGGCATGGCGACCTTATTTTCATATCATACAAGTCGAAAGATGATGCCACGAATGGCGCTGCAAACGGGAGTGCTACGATTTCCATACCTTCACATCCCATGTCATCTACAAATCGACTAAATGGCAACCCAATTCTACCAACAGAAGATATACCAATATCTCCACTTCCAGTCACATCGCCATCACAGAAGATCAAGAACCCATGGGAGGTAGTTAAGCAATCTGCACTTGACGACAGACTCGACAAGCAAGATGGAAAGATTGAGCGGAAAAGAGACCAGAAAATGTGCAGGCATGGCCCGAAAGGAATGTGCGACTATTGCATGCCTTTGGACCCATTCAACGCCGATTACCTGGCGGAAAAGAAGATCAAAAACCTTTCCTTCCATTCATATCTCCGAAAAATCAACTCTGCGACGAATAAACCAGAGCTGGGCGCCTCATTTATGCCACCTCTTACCGAGCCGTACTATCGAGTCAAGCCAAACTGTCCGTCGGGACACCCCCAATGGCCAGAAGGTATCTGCACCAAATGTCAACCGAGCGCCATTACCTTACAACCCCAGTCGTTTCGCATGGTAGACCACGTCGAGTTTGCATCGGCAACGCTGATTGAAAAGCTATTAGACTATTGGCGCAAGTCCGGTGGTCAGCGGTTAGGGTATATGTACGGCCGATACGAGGAGTACACAAAGGTGCCGTTGGGAATCAAAGCAGTCGTAGAGGCGATCTACGAACCACCGCAGCATGACGAGATTGACGGTATTACGCTGAATGAGTGGACCAATGAGAAGGACGTAGACGATGTTGCACGTCTCTGTGGCTTACAGAGGGTTGGTGTCATTTGGACTGACTTGCTGGATGCCGGAGGAGGCGATGGTTCTGTCGTATGCAAGAGGCATATCGACTCTTATTTCCTCTCTTCCCTCGAAATTGCATTCATATCACGGTTACAAGCGCAGCACCCCAAACCGACGAAATGGAGCGACACTGGGCGATTTGGATCGAACTTCGTTACATGTGTTGTGACTGGTGACGAGCAGGGCCAAATCTCAATTTCAGCATATCAAGCATCGAACTCGGCAGTCGAGATGATACGAGCTGATATTGTTGAGCCTTCAGCCGATCCCGGGGTTATGATCGTCCGGGCCGAGGAGGAAGACGATTCCTCCGTCAGCCGTACACGCTACATCCCTGAAGTCTTCTTCCGCAAAATTAATGAGTACGGAGCCGCAGTCCAAGAGAATGCCAAGCCGTCTTTCCCGGTGGAATATCTCCTTGTTACGTTGACCCATGGCTTCCCGCAAGAACCCAAGCCGGCATTCACCGCACCACCCTCTGCCTTCCCTGTTGAAAACCGAGAGGCGATTGGGCAGTCACAGGAATACAAGTCGGTTAGCCAAGCTATTGGCCTCCGACCAGACGGACAGCTTAAGAGATCCGACACGGGCATCGAGGCCGTCTCGGACTTCCACCTCCTATGTTTCTTGCGTAATATGGCCATTTTAAACAAAGTAAGGGCTTCAGATGCATTGGATTTTTTGCTGAGAACATTACTAACATCGTTCAGGACGAGGAGGCGCTGTTATGCCGTGTTGCAACCCAACACGACCTTGCTGATGGGTATCAGCTGCTTAGTACGGATGGATGGGCTACACTGCTGGCTATTCTTCAATCTACTGGTGAGCGTCCCCAAAAGCGTCCCTCGCCGTTTGAAAACGATAGCGAGGAGAGGCTAGCGAAACGCATTGGTGGCGTTAGCCTGAAGTGATATGTGTGTGCGGACGAGCAAACTGTGTGTATATATGCTGACCGAGCCTTAGCTTGATACCCCTTACTTCTCATGGAGTTTTATGGACAATTATGAATGCAGATGCAGGGCGGTTGTGTTGGGAGACACCGGTTTTGGGTTGAAGACGGGTGCAATTCGGGGCTTTGAGCGGAGCGTAAATGAATACGATTGCATTACCTTGGCGTTGATCACTGCAATCATGGAGTATTTGATCTGCAGCTTAAGTCTAGATGTGATATGGCTAGCATATATGAAAAATACGATGGTTTTCAAAACTTGAAAGAGCTCTTGTGTATGAAATATTCTTTTCTGTAAAATTTCAGCGAGTGTTTCCAATGCTCGCAGTCCTTGGATTCTTTCATATTTAGCTGTATAACTATTATTTTTCTCCGTAGAATGAATTTTTCCGCCCCCTTGCGTTATGTATATACTCCTCGGAATGTCCGAGACGGACACTTGTACATAAAAAGTCCCTGTGGTTAAAATAACTAGGTCGGCTTTGGTGCTACAGGGATACGTCATGCCGTGATTGCTCTTTGTCAACAAAAACTAGGTCTGATCAACATTGCAACATGTCTTCTATGGCATTTATATTTTATTAAACTTCAGAATAGGATCACCTTATCGCCATCAGTTTGATATCAGATGTCCCTAGACACTATCCATAAGTCATAACGTTGAGGGTTTTGCCGCGCCTGGCAAAAAGTGAGGGTTGAGTTGGGATATGGTATTTCCGCGGACCATGGCAACGCTTCCGACCATGACCAAGCAGGAAACGCCTGTCACAGTCGCACTTCGGAATTTCAAAACACAAGTAGGGCTCCATTAATCTATTTTCTACGGCAGAGATAAGAGGCTCTCTTTCTAAGTTATTTTAATATGTCAAAAGGGGCTTAAGGGGCTTTGTGAGGAATATTTGTAGGCATTTACTAACAAAAAACAAATATAGTGGTTTCTCGTGGCACAAGGGACCGGTATAATTGCTGTCATTTTACATCAGCTGAAATACCAATTTACTGGGCTGAATATAATTTCCTACATATTCTGGCTCCTTACCATAATTTTCCTAACGTTACTACTCGCCATATTCGCCCTCAAGATCGTCATATTTCCAAAAGTCGTCGCCGAGACCCTCAGGACCGAAATAGGGGAGACAGCATGTCTTGCCAGTATTTCTATCACCTTTACCAGCATCATCCAGATGATAGATCTCAGTTTGGTTGACGCCTGGGGGCCGGGCTGGGGTATGGCGAGCCTTGTGCTCTGGTGGATCAACGCAGCTATGGCTGTTGTTGCTTGCATTGGGATCAACTACTTCTTCATGAAAAATGAAGCTCCTGGGGTTCGAGGACTATCCCCAGTGGCAAACCTTCCAGTGATTGCAGCTCTCACGGCTGCTGCAGGAGGAGGTGTAGTATGCCGTTATGGTGAGCTAGACGAAGGACTCCAGGTCCCTGTCATTATTGTGTCCTACCTGCTCATTGGAATGGCTCTGCCCATTGCATTTGCCGTTGCTACAATTTTCATGGCCCGCCTCTTCGATCAATCATCTCCAGCTGGGACGACCATATATCAAGACATGATCCTCTGCGGGCCTTGGGGCCAAGGTAGCTTCGCGTTACAGATCCTGGGCGAGGTTGTGACGAGGGGGAGCTTTGCTAAATACAACCGGGGGGTATTTCTCACCATGGATGCGGCAGGTCCAATAGGATTTGCGAGCATGTTTGCAGGTTTGATTGCCTGGGGCCAGGGCACGTTTTGGTGGGTTTTCGCCATCATAAGCGTCCTGAACTCGGGCTTCAACAAGCGTGGGGAGTGGCGAGGGTTGAATTTTGGGCTGGGAGCTTGGTCTCTCGTATTCCCTTGGGTGAGTCAGCTCCTGATAGACGTTAATAATACCAAAGTGTTACTAACTCATTGGTTTTAGGGCGTTTATACAAATGCATGCATTCAACTGGGTAAATTGTTGGACTCGCCGGCATTCTCAATATGGTCAACTGCGCTCACAATCACTCTTGTGATGATTTGGATTGTGAATGTGGTCCTCACGACCAAAGGCTTAATTACTGGCAAAATGGTTGGATTGGAACATGGGTGGGATGGCGACGCGTATAAACGACGCCGGTTAGAGAAGGGACAAAGCAATGATAGTGCTGACCAGAGGCTAGACACCGGCCAAGATAACACAGTGGCGAAGCAGTCAGGGTCTACGGAATAGATTCAGAAAGAGTGCTTTGAACATCTTGTATATAATTTGATGCAAAGCGGGAGTTATATGTTGATATACACTTGGGGTCCACAATACAAGACCGCAAGAGATTAGGAAATGGCTCATTAAACAAATAGATATCAAAGTCCCTTCCAAGACAATTTCGCCAAATGATCCGTCTTCTTCTTGCTATTCTTCACCATCCCAAACAGCCTCAGATCTGCCAGCGCCTTGTAAAACAGCATTAAGCAGCTCCTCTCGTCTCGTTCTTCGTCATCATCGGCACCCACTATAGTGTGGAATGCTGACCATAAGTCAAAGACGTTGATGAGCCCCCCAGTTTCCAGGTAAAGCTGGTACAGTGTAGCCGTTGCAGGGTGTGAGGAAGACAGGCCACCAGCGGCCTTGCAACACGTGCAGCCCAGGTAGTCATGGGGAACCGACAGCGCTCGCTCGATCGCGTGGCGTGGCCGTGGGGTGAAGACTTCTCGATATGGGGATTTTGAGTCGTAAATCCAGATTTCGTTAAGGAACAGGTCTTGCGGGGAGTCGAAATTGAAATACTGCTCTAGGGTTCTTGCGAGTTTTTCGATGATCGAGGTGAATGCAGCGTCCTGCTTGGAAAGAACAAACTCTCGTTTGCTGAGCTGTACTTTTTGGGCTACGACGGTTGTTCGCAGAGTCTGGCTTTGCATGGTATATTTGCTTTGGAGAGGCGTCCCGGATTCTTCGGCTTCTTGTATCAATGCAACTGTTTCGTCCTCAAGGGCAGATATCGCCTCCAGAAACTCATCCTCAGAGGCTGAATAACTTTCGGCCTCACCTGTGTCACTATCCCTCGCAAGGATCCCCTTTACAACACCAGCCAAAGCAATAACTTCTGCTGGAGCATACCGTTTGCAGGAATTGATTGCATCCTGAATAAAGTCCGACTCGCGGAATTTGTCAGCGAAGAACTTGACATACAGTTCTATCGGATCAGTGGGGGCGCTTGTGCTGATTGATAGTACTGCGTGGAGAGATGCGAGCCGCCTCAGATTGGTAAACATCATGAGATCCTTTTCTTGAAGAGTTTTGACCGCGAGCTGAACTAACTCTTCGTCCGAATTGATCAAATCCTTCAAGCCATCTATGTCGCCTTCCTCAATGTGATGCTCTACCATCGCTTTGAATGATGGAAGCATACGCATTGCCTCTGCATGCTCTGGTTGAAATAGAGGCACTACGGTGGACTCAAGATCATCTGAACTGCCCAAAAGTATGCTCAATGGGTTGGCATAGAAATGGCACATGTATGCATACTGTAGTTTCTGGTCAGCCCCATAATAATCAATATACCGGTAGCATGGTACACATACCTTTAAAGCAGCTATGAATGTTTGCAAGCTGTACACTTGATCATGTTGGCGTTCCAGGAGCGCCGCTATGAAGCCCCCCCCAAGACGTAGGCGTATATCAGGACTAGCAATGACCTTCTGAAATATCGTTACGAGGGTTTTAGATGTCTGCTCAACATCGAATTGAACGCCCTGCAGGCATAATGTCGCTGATCGAGGAAGTCTTTCATGGAACAGCTCGATGGACGTTGCTATTCCAAATAGTAACACGAAGGGTATACGGTCCACCCATGACCTGAAATAGTTAGACATCTGTTAAGCAGGTTGAAGGAATAACATACTGGAATAGTTCAATCAACTCTGTTAGAAGGGTACTATCAAATGATTCGCTGTCTTGAAAGGCAACTACAACTTGTTTATGCTTGGATGTCTTCAAATGATTTTGAAGCAACTGCAAGTCATAATTCAAAAATTTATGGCCCTGGAGTCTGTTAGCTTTTGCACCGGATAACGCTGTCATGGATCATGTGAACTTACACCTGGGACTGAAGATGCCGATCGTTCATCTTCGTCGTCGTGGTCAGTATTTGTCGCATCACGGATTAGCTTCTTGAGGGCAGCTTTGAGATTACTCGCATCCCCTGGTCGAATCGTAACAATGAGAGCGTTAGTTTCACTGTGAACACGCTCTGCGAGCTGGCTAAACAAAAGTTCTTGAGAAGCCGTGTTTTGCCCAGTGGTGATTAAACCAGTTGGGATACCCTCAAGGTTTCTTTACAAATATTAGCGGCGACATCGTAGACAACGGAGGATCTTCTTACTTTGCAGTTATAGATAGATTTAGGAAATTAGTGATTTCTGAGAGAGTCTTTTCATTTGCTTCACCCAGGATTGACTGGAAACAGATGGTAAGTAGGAGGCTGATAAACGGAATGGGCGAGCTAACCAATATCTGCGACTCTATGGCGGCCCACGAATCTTCATAAAGCTTTTGTCGTAGTAAGACACATTCAGAGCTCTCGGTATTATTTAAAAGGGTTGGAAAGTAGGTTTTTGGGCCACCTTTCTCACCCTCCTTGGGCTTCTTAGCGACCTTCCGCCTCTTTGATGGCCGTGGCTGCTCATGGGTGGCGCCATTGGAGGGTCCAAAAACATACACGGTCTGTTTGCGACGTTAGGTCTATTCGACAGAGCTAATGTTATATATATACCTGGTGCTCAGTGCCATCAAGAGCAGCTTGGTTGGCGTCTACTGACATTTCATATGTGGTTGTCTATGGGATGGATCACGGGGAACGCGCGCGTTCCGCTAAGATAAATGCTGGGTCGCGTTCCAGTGGCCGGTGGCCAGTGCTCCTAAAATAATTATAGATGAACCCGTCCAGATTTTGCGACGACAAAACACAAACAGCACGACTTATGCCACCATTAAGACCACCCATCTCTGCATTAGGCAGGGGATATGTTTGCCCATCGTGTATAACAAAACTACAGCACCCACGGTACTTTCCCTCATCGGTTCGAACTATCTCATCGAGACGCAACAACCCCCCTCAGAAGACACCAATTACCCCGAAACTTGAACCCAGGTTGAACAAAGAGGCCGTTAGTTTTCGCCAATTCGAGCAGGACGAACATGGACGACTTGCGCCACTTGATATTCGAGAAGACGACCACATCCTTGAGGGGCTAGATTTGAAACAAAAAGACCACGAAGATGAACTCGCCAGGCTATCGGAGACCGTGGAGGGTTCCCATGAGGGAACGTTGGAGGAGAAACTGAAATTTGTCGAATCTCTACGCCGGGCGCTCGGAAAAGACTTGGGAGTAGAGTTAAAAGCGCCAGCTATCGAAAGTTCAGCAACCATCGACAGCCCTAGCACACGAATTGCCAAACCGGTCCGGGCCAAGCAGAAACGACAAGCTGCAGCCATAGAACCCATAGAAGTTGAAGACGTCGACGTTTCAATACCGCGGCACTCATTCCCAAGAGAAGGGCAGGCCTACATATCCCGTCTGAACGAGGCCCTTGAAAAAGCCTCTGCGGCGCCGTTGAAGAACCGAAAAGAATTATGGAGGTGGTATTCACTCAGCAGAAAGACGCTTTGTGCTGCATGGGGGGAGGTTCCCATGAGCACCTGGCAATTGCTTTGGAAAGAGTTATCTGTTGAAGCTTTAGATAACCCCGATCGAATGCCACATGTCATACAGTTGGGAAACGACATGGAGGCTGCCAACAGGCCCCTCAAACCAGAGCAGACATTGCTCTATATCGAGGCATTATTCGTCGAGGGAAATCAAAAGGATGCACTGGCGAGATGGGAATCGGTTCGGTCGTCATTAACGCTTGTTGAAGCGACTGCGATCCAATATTGGGCATTGGGCGTTGTCATGCTAGCCAAATCCAAGCAACCAGCTCGAGCGCAGGAGGCAGCAGATGTCCTGTTGAATGACCTGAAAGCGGTGAAAGAAAGCAGGGCCCTCATCCCTCTCATCCGAACATGGTCTGAATATCCTGACAGTTCTGCTATTCAGATGGCATGGGCATTGTATGTCCGGCTGAAGTTTTGGATGGGAAGCAGCATGGAGATGCAGGATTACGATGCCGTAGCGGGTATTTTCTTAACTTCAAATAGAACTGATCTAGCATTGGCTGTGTTCAGAGATATGATGTTAACTGACGACCCAGTGGCCAAGAGCTATGATTCTCTAGCTCTATACCCGCGATTTGTGGGATTGAAAGGTACACGGCCCTTGGAGTCTTTCCAGCTCGGCCCCGAGGAGACGAGCTGGACTCGGAGCAATCCTCTCACGGTCTTGCCGCCAAAATTTCGTAATAAGTTCTTCTTTGGTAGCTGGATAAAGAAACTCGTTGGGGACGATGAAATCGATTGGGCCTCTCAAGTCGTTGAACTGATGTCGCAGCGCGATATAAGGCCAGATGCCACCTATTTGAACGGAATAATCGGTGCATGGTTCCGGACTGGAAGCGCTGAGAACCAAAAGAAAGGCACCACCATGGCTTGGAAAATGATTGCGGCACGACTCGAATTTGTTCGCTACAGGTCGCACCGTTATACATCCACCTTGGAAGGCCCAGTGCGAGCCAGATTCGACCAGACTTCCAAGGACGACTTTATTCGTCCATCATCCATTGCTGTCTCAGCTCAAGCGTCATTGGAAACCTTTTCCGTTCTCATTCATCACTACCAGCAACTCGGTCAAAAAGACCGTGTCCAGGAGCTTCTTGGTGCGATCAAGGCAACAGAGATTAAGCCTAATACCGCCTTCCTCAACAGCCTTCTGGAGCTTGGTTCGGCTATGCACCATCGCCCGTGGGTTTGGAGTCTTTATGTCCGTTTTGTGGAGCAAGAGAGAGTAGTGCCGAGCCAGTACACTTTCGCTCTTCTGTGGAAGAGCATGAAGGATCATGTGGATCCGTTAATCAACCGTTCGAAAGCTGGTTACCCGTCACCTAGATTCTTGTTTGCTGAGATGAACAAATCGTCGACCTGGAAAAACGAAAAGTTGGCAAGGGAAATGTACGACCAGATTATTCTCTGTTTTGGACTAGCAGATGACCAAATCGGGACAGCCGTGGCACTCAGGGCAATGCAGAGACTGTATGGAATGTATCCGAATGAAGCGACGGTTCGAAGCATAGTCCTACAGATTGCAAAGGCCGGCGTGAAGAATGTTGCAGGCTACAGGCCACGCAGACTGAATCTGAATAAAGATACGCAGCGCAGAATTAGTGACGTCGGGAAGGTACTGAAGACCTTGAAGGACGACAGGACCAAGCAGCTTGAGGATCAAGGCGTTGATGTTGAAGGCATGAGCATAGAGGATAAGTCGGAAGAGTCGCTGAAACTACTGTGCCTTTTGCTACGCTCTACGGCGGAAGTAAGGATGGCATCAGAAGCCTCGGAATTGCGCATGGAAGCTGGAGTAGGAGGTGTCGATTATCTGGCACGATCTGCAGCCCATGAGATGGGGGTGCCCGAGAATCTACCTTGGGCCTCTTAAGATGTAATTTTGTAAGATAGGACATATGTAAACATATATTGAGCAATGATACCCACCTTAATTCTCAACCATACCTAAAAGCCTTTTTATAATTGTTAAATGGATAAGATCTCACGTAGGCATTGGAATTTGTTAATGCATATGTAGTATTATAGCGTATTCGATGTGTCTATGGTATCTTCTGTTCATCAATCATGATCTTCCTCCGTCAACCCTGGACATCCCTCCATGTCCTTGTCGGGATATGTGTATTTGCACCAGAAGCAGTAGTTATACTCTTCTCTCAGATAGTTGACAATTTTCTGTAACCTCTCTGCTGGCTCCAAGGCATTGAACTCTTCCAATTCTGGATCTTCTTCTTCCAGATCTTCGACCAAGGCATACTGTATAGGAGTCTTTCCCAGAGCCTTCTTATCATCTTTATCCTCATCCTCATCATCGTAGGTCGGCAGCCTGGACAGACTCTGATGCAAGTCATATCTCATCCTCCTATCCCTTTCTGCTTCCTCCCTTTTCCTCACCAGGCCTCTCCAAAGGATGTTAACAGTTTTAAGCGGTTTTGATCTCTGAGCACCCTTCTTCGGCGGCACGTCGCCACCCCCATCTGTGCTCAATTCCTCCTCTTTCTCACTAGCCATTCGCTCCGCAACTCTCATCGCAGTACCAATTAAACCTTCCAAACGACCTTCCTCGCGTTCGCGCCTAACCCTCTCTCGATACTCCCCTTCGTCAGCCTTCACTCTCTTCCCCTCCTTCTCGACTTCTTCCCTAAACCGGCGCTTCTTCTCGTTGTCCATGCCTATTCCACCCCTATCCTCCTTAATACTGATACCCACCGGTTCAGTCCGCGCATCAGCGTTGTCTCCCTTGCCCAGCGCCTTTCCGGGCGTGAATCCCATTTTTGACATCATAGCCAGACCCTTGGACTTCTGTGTCGTCGGATGAGATAATAGCGATCTCTGAAGGGCATCTTCTCGGGCGGCAGCTTCATCAGCTTCACGCTCAGCTTTGGGTTTGGTGTATGCGCGTGCTTCTGCTTCGCGTTGCAGGCGGTGGCGGCGTTGCGTGTATGTTTCTTTGACTTTGGGGCCTGTGGGCTCTGCGATGGTCATAGACATGTAGTCATCCTCCTCATCCTCAGGGCTTTGGGGAGCCGCATCAGGAGACTTTGAGGTTGCCATTCTGTACCGCGGATGGTAAACGCAGCAAATGCTTGTTTGAAGACGTTTGGTGTCAAGACGTAAGGTTCGTAAAGTCTGGGCTGGTTACGAGGCTGGAGTATCGCTCATTCCTTCTGCTTGAATAGGCAGGAGGCGCAATTCAATACCACGCCAAAGAAAATAGCGCCAAAGCTAGAATTACCTGACGCACGTATTGGCGATTTATTCAAACTTATTGCAGTTGATGTGTTGCGGATTTAATTATTTGCACCTTGGGTTATCGCGAGGCTGATAGTCGAGAGTTGTTCCTTCCGTTGGTCGCGAGGCTGGAGCTACCCCTGCACGCGCTAAAGTTGATAAAATCGCCGATAAAGATTTCTGAGCATTTTTTTATTCTGTGTCTGACTGGCAAATCACCACCCACCACAACAATGCCTCCTTCACAGCTGAAGAGGCTTAAGGCTTCTCTCCGAGAGCAGGGTATTGTGGGACCTCAGCAATCAAAAAGCCAAAAGAAGAAAAATGCTCAAAATGGCACGAATAAGGATAAGAGGGTCAATCGGACCGCCGCTCTTGCTGGCATCCGTGAGCAATTCAATCCCTTCGAAATTAAAACGAACGCAAGGGGTCCTAAGTTTGAAGTTACAAACTCAAGGACTGTCGGCGGCGCATCGGGATCCAAGAGTGTAAAGAACCGACCTGGTGTGACGAAGGGATTGGGCGAAGAAAACCGTCGGAAAACTCTTCTTGTCGAGATGCAACGCCGTAATAAAGTAGGAGGAATCATGGATCGACGTTTCGGAGAGAATGATCCTTCTATGGCACCTGAGGATAAGATGCTGGAGCGTTTCACACAAGAAATCCAAAGCCGACACAAGAACAGCTCCGCGTTTGATTTGGAAGATGATGATTACGGAGATGGACTTGGCCTTACCCATATGGGGAAATCTCTATCTCTCGATGGACCCGACTTCGCAGATGACTTTGAGGAAGACGACTTGGAGTTGTCTGACGCCGAAGATCATCCATCGGACGAAGAACGCCAAACGTTGAAGAGGCGGCGTGGCTCAGACGCTGGCGCTTCAGAGGACGAAGATGCCGAGGACCTACCGGAACGTAAAAAGTCCAAGCAAGAAGTTATGAAGGAACTTATTGCCAAGTCCAAACTCCACAAATATGAACGCCAGCAAGGAAAGGATGACGATGAAGATATCCGAGAAGAGCTGGACAAAGATATGGCTGAGATCCAGGCCTTGTTAAGAGGAGTCCGACGTCCGCCTGCACCAAGGCCGGCCGAGGTCGCTGGAATGAACCCAGATAGGGCAGCGTTACTGAATGGCACGGATAAGATTAAGTTCGATAAAGAGTACGATCTTCGCCTGCGCCAGTTGGCTCAAGACAAGAAGTCTGTACCAACAGAGCGCTCAAAGACGGACGAGGAAAGGCTTGCAGACGAAGCTAGAAAACTCCAGGATATGGAGAAGAGGAGGTTGCGTCGCATGGAAGGAGAAGAGGAAGAAGAGGAGGAACCCAAGCCGAATGCGCAAGCTCCTGAAGGGGATGAAGATGTTTATGACGAGCATGTTGATGAATTTGGCTTGGGTGCTGGCATTCAAGGCAAGCCCAGCCGGCCAACTAATGAAGAGTTAGGGGTGGAAGATGAGGATGATTTCGTTCTTGATGATGATTTAATAGCGAGTGGCTCCGATGCCGATATCTCCGAAGATGAAAGTGCTTCTGAAAACGGAGATGACGGAGAGGACGAGCCGGCGGATGATTTCCTGGATGGTCTTCTTACAACTGAGGAGGCGAAAAGGCCCGAATTTTTAACAGGAGCGAATGCACCGCTTCCTGACAGGGACCTCCCAACGAACAATGGGGTCAGTGGAAACCTTGCCTATACGTTTCCATGCCCAGAGGATCACTCTTCGCTACTCGAAATTACCGAATCAACCGACATCCAAGATCTACCTACGGTAGTAAGGAGGATAAGAGCTCTTTATCATCCGCAGCTGAAGGCCGAGAACAAGGGCAAGCTCGCCAAGTTTACGGTTGCTCTAGTTGATCATGTATCATACCTTGCGAACCAACCGGAACTCCCACCATTTGATGTCCTGGAGCAAGTTGTTCGACACATCCATTCATTGGCAAAGACCTACCCCATCGGCACTGCAAATGCTTTCCGCAAGCATCTGGGAGAACTCCACGAAACCCGTGCTCTGGCACCAACCCGTGGAGATTTGGTGCTTCTCACTGCCATCAGCACCATCTTCCCTACTTCGGATCATTTCCACCAAGCAGTTACTCCAGCTATGTTGAGCATTGGCCGCTTCCTCGGCCAAAAGATTCCTCAGAATCTTTCGGATTATGCCACTGGCATATATCTAGCTACACTAGCGATCCAGTATCAAAGCTTCTCGAAGCGATACGTCCCCGAAGTCGGCGCCTTCCTCTTAAACACATTGTGTGCCCTTGCACCTACAAAGATGGCCGATGTTCCAGCCAACTTCCCTTACCACGAGCCAAAATTCGACTCTCGTCTCAACGCTCTTCCAGAACAGAAGACAAGGATGTTAACTTTAATGGACTGCTCAATCCAAGATCTCTCACCCGAGAATGAAAGCCAACTTAAGGCCGCCTTGTTGGAAACAAGCATCAAGCTTTTCGATGCAGCGGCAGATGTCTGGGCTGAAAAGTCTGGGTTCCCAGAGACCTTCTCCCCTGCGCTGAAGGTTCTCAAACACCTGGGAAGCAAGGCATGCCGTGAACATCTCCCACGCAGCACTACTGTATGTTCAAATATTTTTCTTATCCCTTTCTTTTCAATTTGTCTTTTTCTTTATAATCAGCACGGATGTCAAATTACAATTCGGTCCTTCTTATGACTGTTGTTGCGCCGAAGATGTGCTTATATTGAGCTTGCCACTCGATACTTGAGACCCTTACCCGCAAGGGTTTGGGGCTCGTTGAGGGTGACCAAGCAGCAGCGCCCAATGGGCCGGTGTGCCGCAAATCCGTACTTCTTCCCGGACGCGCAGCCATCGTGATGCAAACATTTCTACTAAAAAAAACCATGTTGTAATACATAATTACGAGGGGCCTCACTAACGTGTTCCCAGGCTTGCGTGACGAGAACATCGACCAAGCTCACCGTGCTGCTCAACCAAGCGCGCCTCTCACGCCGCCCACTCGAGCTCCACCACCACAAACCCCTCGCCATCAAGACCTCGATACCTAAGTTCGAGGAGTCCTTCAACCCCGACAAGCACTACGATCCTGACCGTGAGCGCGCTGAGTCCTCCAAGCTCAAGGCTGAGCACAAGCGCGAGCGCAAGGGCGCCATGCGCGAGCTCCGCAAGGACGCGAACTTCATCGCTCGCGAGAGTCTTAAGGAGAAGAAGGAGCGTGATGCCGCGTATGAGAAGAAGTACAAGAGACTTATTGCGGAGATTCAGGGCGAGGAGGGGAGAGAGTCTAAGCAGTACGAGAGGGAGAAGGAGAACAGGAAGAAATCGAAGAAGTGAGCACGGAATGGGGGGGAAGGCGCGTGGTGTTTGGTGGGCGGTTTCTGTAGATACCCTACTTCTGGAACGGAATTGGATAGCAAGGGAATACCAGAGACTTGTGAAAGTAAAAAACTGTGAAGTTCACTTTGCCTGTCGTGATACGAAATATCGTGATACTGCATGGGCATACTGAGAGAGTAACAAGCGCATCAGCCGCTGGAAGGAGGCTAAAAGCTGGAGCACACCGCATCAAAATTACGGTGGAGCTTGCATAACATCCCTACTAGCTAGGTGGAGCTGCGTGTCTTGGGGGGGGGAGAAGTTTCTGTAAAATCGTCGCTTTCCCTCTCTTTCAGCATTTTTTGTCATATCTACGTTGGCATGGCAAAGAGCGACGAGGATACGCGATATATGCGGACACAAAAGTCAAGCCATGAACCTCACAGGTATGTCGTTCCTGTGTACTAACATTTAGTAACAGGTTGTATTAAAAGATAGTGGAGTGAGATATAAAAGGCAAAAAAAAAAAAAAAAATAGGTGTAATCTGAAGATATACTCCAGGTGGGTGTCGAACCCACGACTTTCGCATCTCTACGAAGAAAGATCATATTAGGCAGCTTGCGCCGCAGAATATAAGAACGACACGCTAACCACTCTGTGGAAACAAACGTTAGCATTCAGTAAGCTGAAGGCAGTGGGCAGTTGGGGTACTAACGCGTCACTGGAGTTTGTCTTGTTTGTTTAAATTAGCCAGACAATTTCAATATTTGTATGACAAACTGGCGCCCGGTTGCAAGCGAGTTTTCGCTAGTGCTCCATCCAGTTGAACCCAGCACTTATCGGGGCGGTGAGGGCGGCAGAACCCGTCGTTGCCATGTAATTGTCGTCAGCCTTGCCTTCCCTATTCAATAGAACAGTGCCTCACTCATCGATCACTGAAGTCCTCACGAGTCTTCACTACCTACCAACAATAGCGCATGTAGTCACTTCAACATGGCGTCCCAGATCTCGGGCGAGACCCGAATCCTGGTTATAGGACTGGGCGTGTCCGTCGTTGCAGCCCTGGGGCTCATGCGATACATGCTCATTGCCTTCCGTGACGCTTCCGAAATTGAACAGCCAGCGCCAAAGACACAGTACATCGACCAGAAGACCGAGGATGCTTTGATGCCCAGCACGCTCGAGAAGCTCATCAGCAGCCACAATAAGGATATACAAGGAGTCGCGTCGCGGATAGTTCTTGACAGGGCTCTCCACGATACCGACACCATTGGTGGTTTACTGTGGGAGGTTACGAGCAAGGACCCCGAAAGACGGGAGAAAGCCCTGAGGGTTCTTCATCTGATCTGTGGTGAGAGTAATTAAACCCCCATACCGAACGACAATCCCTTGCTAAGTAGTACTACAGGTTCCCTCGCCGATGTCTACCACCACAGCGTCATCAAGGCGATTGTCGCAGCGCTCAAGAACTTAGCTACGGAGATCGACTACCCTCTCTACGACTGCGAATTCGACGACTTCGACTTCCGCGACCCGGCCGAGAACGTGGCGCTGATGACGCTGGAGCTGCTGATTAGCGATCAATCGGCGCGATACCTGGCCAAGACAGGCTTTATTGAGCACTGGCTTGCTCGGCAGAATTGGGGAAGCACGACCGAGGAGATACACAAGAGCTTCCTCTGTTTATATCGCCTTCAAGAGGAAGCGGGACGGGGCAATCCGCTATCAAACATCGTTCATAAGTTAGCTGGGCAACAGCGAGGTGTTCAGAAGCTTGTCGCGACGGGTCTGATCGAACGGCCTGAGTCTGTACATGTAATTGGGTTTACGAAGGGCTACAGTCTTTATGGTGACCACCCTGACGCGCCGTACTGGCAGACTACTGGGCCTAGTGGGGATGTTATCACGTATAGTCTGGAAGAGGTACTTGCGGCAACTAATAATGGCACCGTCCCGGTCGCTAGAGACTCGAGGAGGCCAGTTGAGCAGAGTGCAGAAGAGCGTCGTTTACGGAGGCGTAATCGGGAGGTCATGGTTCTGAATGATGGGTCGCAACCTCTAGCCATGACGGATATCATTGAACTTTAAGCCCATCAGCCGCAGAAAAAGAAAATAGTCTTAACTTGATTGTGTCTGGAACCTCCTTTTTCGTGCCTCAAACCCGCTCCATCCCAGAGCCGCTTCCCTGGCATGCTCGTAGTTCTGCAGCTAAAAGTGTAAAGTCGGATATGAGTGTCTGACATGGATATATGCTGACCGACGATGACTTCCCCATTGGCATTGGGCGGTGAGCTGCAGGGGCAGGGGCCAATTACTGCTTGGTGCGTACCGCCCTCCCGCATATGCTGGGTTACCTCGAGCATGTTAGTGTAAATAATGGGAAAAAGAACCTTTTCCTTTCAGCTAAACAACAACAAAGGAAACATTGCTGCTGAATGCGACGTTCTGTTCATAGCATGCAACTATCCAACGACGACTTTCACGACGACGACCACCACCACCACCACGACTACGACCACTTTAAATTCCTTTGTTTTTACCAGTTACTGTAGTTACGGGTCCTGGCATTCCTCCTTGCATCCACAGCGGGAACTTTGATCACGTTTTCCCCGTTGTAGTGGTGGTGTGTTGACGGCAGTGTACCGCCTCCCCGACGCGCGATCCCAAAACAAACGGCGACCGGCAAAATAAATAATAGGGACGAAACTCAGTTCTCCATGTCGACCCAAACACCCCCAACGCCGCGCCGCACTCTCCTCCGACCACGACCCTCTCTGACCAAACTTTCCGGCGGCATTAATACAGTTTCGACTCCTAATCTTTCCACTGCATATTCCAACGCCGCTGCCCCGCCTGTACCCACTCTTGGTGGCAGTAGGGTCGCCGGCCTCCTGGCGCGGAAGACATCACTCAGTGCGCTTACTCAGGGCTCTTTGGCCACCATACCGGATGCTAGTGAAACTTACGGATTGAGTACGGTACTGGACGAGGATTCTATCATCAGTGAGGGACAGGGAAATATGGCACAACATACACCAAGGGGCGATGAGGGCGAGGTGGAGGTTGGTGAGCTGGTGGACGTACCTGGGCACATGCATGGAACTGTGAAGTTCCTGGGCACTGTGGCAGGTAAGAAAGGAGTGTTCGCGGGTGTAGAGCTGAGCGAGGAGTACTCTTCAAGGGGCAAGAACAATGGAGACGTTGATGGGTAAGCCCACTGATCCGTGTCGCAAACTATGGGCACTGACTCCTATTTAGTGTTTCGTACTTCAAGACCTCCATACCTGGCGCAGGTATATTTCTTCCTGTCGCGCGGGCCACCCGCCGCAGTTCACGATCGACATCTGGAAGCTCGTTTCCTCACACACCGACGACACCGGGGAGTAGTCGCGGAGGTCAGGGGTACCAAACTTACACACCTCCAACTCCGTCGCTTCCGAACTTCAGCCAATCTCTAGGGCCTGGGCGCGCTCCAAGCCCGCAGTTCAAGAGGTCAAGACCATCACTCCCTAGACCTGAATCACCTTTGCGACTACCACAGGCTTCGAGGCCATCGATTAGTGGCACACCTGGCCCCAAGGGCGCTCCACGTTATGCGCCTAGCCCGACACCAGCGAAGTTCGGACAGAGTGTAAGAGGTACAAGAGACACAGCAGGAGACCCGCCAAAGAAGCTCGCATTCACCCCGAGAAACCCTATAAAATCGGGCGCCGGACCGAGGAGTGCGTCTGCCCTTGGCGGCGCGCCTATGAACTACAGCGACGATGAAACTACACCAATCGGCACCGCTAGGACTACGAATAATAATGAGAGCTTAGGCTCTACGTCCTCCTTCAATGCCAAGTTGCGCCCTGCCGAGGCGAGAGCAAAAGAACATGAAGAGGATCTTCAAAGGCTACGAACACAGCTGGAGGAACGAGACAAGCAGCTGAAGGAACAGGCGACCAGTCTTGCAGAGATGGAGAACAGCTTGGCTGAGGTCCAGTCATTAATGGGTGGCTCAGATGCCGGGAGCAAGAACAGGGGTAGCATGGAGGATCGGGATACTTCACAGTTGCGCACGCTGCTGCGCGAGAAGAACGAGAAGATCGCCATGCTTACGTCGGAATTCGATGCGCACCGAGCGGATTTCAGGAGTACGATCGATACACTGGAGATGGCGAGTAATGAGACAGAACGTGTCTACGAGAAGAGGGTCGAGGACCTCGTACAGGAGCTCAGAGAGCACCAGGACCGAAGCGATGACGTGCACAGCGTCGCAGCTCAACTGAAACAGTTAGAAGAGCTTGTTCAGGAGCTCGAGGAGGGCCTGGAGGATGCTCGGCGCGGTGAATCGGAGGCCCGTGGAGAAGTCGAGTTCCTGCGAGGCGAAGTCGAGCGTGGTCGTGCGGAGCTGCGCCGCGAACGTGAGAAAGCAGCAGCTGCTCAACAAGAAGCGCCCCGTCAGAACGAAGCATCGGGATCAAAAGAGCTAGAACAACGTGACGACGAAATCAGAGGCCTGAAAGCAATCATTCACTCTCTCAGCCGCGACCAGGTACCTGACGCCGACCCGCAAAAGACCCCTACACAGCGACACGGCAGCGTTGGTAGTCGTAACAAACGCCAAAGCCAGGGATTGTCTGAGTCTGCAGACGATCACCAGGCACGGGAAGCTTTAGAGAATGAAGTTGCTGAGCTCCGCCGCACGGTCGAGTCAAAATCTAACCGCGAAGAAGAGCTTCAACGTGAACTAGCGGAGCTCAAGAGAGGCAGTACTGTTGGCTCTTTGAAGAATCAACGCGCCAGTGCAATCACGATCGGAAGCACCGGCACCGTCACAGCAGACAAGCAACTCAACAAGGACGTCCGCAGCTCTGTCGGAAGCTGGCGCGACAGGCCACCAGGATCACCTGAAACCCACAGGAGAGGCAATACTCTCGAGACGATGGCAGAGAGCGACACCTACTCCGCCACGACTGAGGGCAGTGTCCTCTGGTGTGAGATTTGCGAGACCGGCGGACACGATATCCTCACCTGTACAAACATGTTTGGCGCAAAGTCAGCAACGACGAACAATAACACTGGATCCCACCTTGCGAACAACCCGAACCCCCCTGCACCCTCGCGCAACGGCAGAGACATCTCACGCGAAGGACTGAAGCCATACCCACCAAAGATGGAGAACTACAGACCTGCTCCCCTGTCGCCAGCAAAGAAGCCAAGTGCGCCCCCTGTATCCATCCTCCCGAACCCCTCCATCGACGGGCCAGTGGCTGGGAAGGAGAGCGGAGTCATCGATGTGAATAGATGGTGTGCACTCTGCGAGCGCGACGGGCACGAGAGCGTAGACTGCCCCTTTGAAGATGCCTTCTAAGGCCGGGGGGTAACGAATGTTCATTGATGGATTTTTTTTTCGTACTTTTTCTTTTGTCCCTTCGATTCACACTTCTACTTTTACTGGAGGATTTGGTCCAGTTCAGGGACAGGCTTTCTTCGAATACATGCAACGAGTTGTCAGATTTAGCGTTGCGATATGATACCACTGATGGCTGGACTGGACTGTATGAATGTTTTCTTTTTATGATGATGGGTGGCTACACATATGATGGGGGGGAGGGTAGAGATAGTTGTGGGCTAGTATATAATGAATCACTCGAGTTAATGTTTGAAAATCCCTGATTGAGAAGTTCTGGTGTGCTATTGTGTTTATGTAGAGATAGCTTGGTTCCCTGGTATGGCGAGACTTTGCCACGGTGCCGCTTCGGTTACATTTGTCAACTTCGCATCCAACTTAGACGTGTCTTTAAAATCTGCATACCCATTTGGATATTTGTTAACAAGCTTCCTCATCTCAATTTTAACCCTAAATTTAAATTAGGAGTAGTCACTAGGTAGGGAGGAATCAAACCTACAAGTTGCGGAATCTCAGATTTCCAGGATAAACCGAAGATGATATGATATCAAAACGCCTGTTAGGTTTTGATTAACTCGATAATCTATCAGTTACACAATACGGAATACTCACGTAGCATAAAGTGCTACACGGTCTTCGAAGTCTTCCACGGGCTCGGAAGGTGGGAAGAACTTGATGTATTCTTTGATGTAGGGGCGATTCATCTTGTGACGGGGCAAAACGAAAGGCGCAAGCTCATCTAATGCAGTCGGTTAATAAGGTACTCGTGCTCGAAGGAATGGTTCGATTTACACTCGTTATGCGTGTACATGCTGCACGCATCGAAGATAACTGGAAGCCCAGTCTCAATAACGACAGAGGCATTACCATCCCACAAATCGCCATGAATCAGACGCGGTTTAATGCTTCTGCCTCCAGTCTCGAGCGGGCGACATAGTCTCGGAATTACCTTCTCAGCAATAGCCTTTACGAGCTCTGCCATCTCTTCATCGGGGCCCTGAACCTCTTGCTCATAACCAGCTACGTCTAGAAAGAAGTTCAGGTAGAACTCTTCCCAGGTATCGGTCCATTTGTGGTAATGCGGGCGGCCAACACCCAGACATGTTGGAGTTCCAAACCCGTATTGGCCGGTTGGTGAGACGGAGTTCTCATGCAACTTTGCGAGTTTGGCGGGGAAGTTGTAGAGGTCAGGCAGCTCATCGGTCATGTCCATGAATTGGCAGAGGAAGAAGTGGGCTTTAGGGTCGGACTGGTAGGTGCCGACTGCGATTGGTCGTGGAGTAAGTTCTGGATCTACGTAGGTTTGCGGAGTCAGTAATTAAGAACTTAGCAGCAAGATAATTAGGGATATTGTTATAGACGCCTGAGAATATAGCTTAGACGTACTTGCTGCGTGGAGTGCAGTCATTGATGCAAATTCTCCCCTCGAGTTGAGCTTCCCATTGTCGCCATACAAAACCTTAACACGCATTTAGTACCTTGTTTAGAACACCCTCTAATTAATTGTTATAATTACCTTGATGAAAAACGAGAGGTCAGAACCATCTGCCTGTTGAGTTTGGATCTCTGCTGTTCGGGTCCAGAATGATGACCCGTGTGGAGTGATATCGATTACTTCTGTTCCAGGTGGCAGAACTGATATATCATTAGCATGAACTCACAGTGGTAACTAAAAATCAGTAGTCTAACATTCTTTCACTGCATCATCAACCGTTTCAATGACATATGCTGGCACGTCATTCTCTGTGTCCTCGGATGCATCCCAATCTCTAGGCATTTTGCAGGCTTGTGGCACTTTGGCACTTTTGCAGGTTGATAGTTTTCAAAAAGACGAGCAATCTACTACAACAATCCTCCCTTCTCGCTGTTGGGTTAGGCCTTATTAAGTACTCTCATTAATCCTACTGCCGCTTTAACTAACTTTGGGGCTGATGCGTGCTCTACAAATCAGTATTCAAGACACAACTGACCGCATGCCTGCCTGCATGGCTGAAGGTTGCACAGTGCATGTAGTACGTTACGCCTGGACAGGGGGGAGTCGGGGCGCCTCTGGTTAGTACAGAGCCTTATAAATTCTTAGGCGAATTTTTACTTTTAGAAATGGGCCGCTATAGCAAATATAACAGATTATAAGAAGAAGTGAAATAATTGTTAAGAAACTAAGTAGAAACGTTTAGTATAGTCAGATTTATTACAAGTTGTAGTGGTAGCTGTTACGGATCACTGCAGATTATTAATAAACCAACACACTACATCTAACCTGGATGGCTAAGCAGAAGGAATTTCTGCAACATCCTTGGAGAATATGCAGAGACCCCTCAATTTGTACTAGTTAGAACAGCCCCCCATGGAGCGACGGGCATTTGCTCCTCCCTCGGAACTGTCATCGTTCGCTTTTACCTAGCCGCCTTGCCATCAAGGTCGAAATGAAGCCGAGCACACCATAACTTGAAGCGAAGCTTGCGCAAATCCTCACGGCTTCACACCAGGACCGAAGGCCAATTGCTATTGGCTAATATTTGCCGCCTCTGGAAAAGGCCCTTCATGTTGCCAGCCTTGTGAGATTACTAGCCTTCCACGATAGAGTGCGACAGAGACGGAGTTTCTTGTTGCGTGTCGCGTGTCGCATAACGCGGTGCTGGGAGATGGACAGATTGAACGCAAGTAGGTTATATGTAGCCATCTTGTGTCTCCTAAAGTTAACTGAGATATAGTCCAAGAACCTCAGCAATGGTCGGGGGACAGGCGGAAAACGAATTCGAGTATTACGCCTTCTATCTTCGGCCGGACCTTCTCGAGAAACAGCACAAGCACCAGTGATCTATCTCCAGTAGTGGACAAGAAAGGCCCGCTGGGACTGAACACTCTACACGATCCGTTAGATGCTATCGCAGATTTAATATTTGTACACGGGCTTGGAGGAGGTTCCCAAAGTACCTGGACCGAATCCCAAAATGGAACTTTGGATCCCAATCTCTACTGGCCAGAAAGGTGGCTGCCATATGAAGATGGCTTCAGCGATGTACGGATACATTCTTTCGGATATGATTCGAACTGGACGAAAGAAAGCACCCTAAACATCCATGACTTTGCGAAGTCTCTTCTTGTCGCGATAATGGACTGCCCTGCAATTGTAAAGAGAAATTCAGATGTGAGTTTAATACTCTAGAATTATTGAGAAAGCCCAGCCTAATATTTTATAGATTCCGCTGGTTTTTGCTGCACATAGCATGGGCGGGCTTGTCGTTAAGAAATCATACATAATTGCGCGAGCCTCACACGAATATACTATGATTGGGATACGCACCAAGGCAATGTTCTTTCTTGCTACTCCTCATCGTGGATCTGATTTAGCAACGACGTTCACTAAAATTCTTAACCTAACATCTGGAATTCGACCATTTGTTATGGATCTTCATAGGAATTCTCAAATCACACAGTCAATAAACGATGAGTTCCCGGCATTATGTGAAGAGCTCCAACTATATTCTTTCTACGAAACCATGCCGATAAGCATAGGAGGGACTAAAGTAATTATCGTACAACGAGACATGGCGACTTTAGGATATCGTAACGAGCGCACAGCATATCTCAATGCGGATCATCGGCACGTCGTCAAGTTTCTTAACCGGGACGATGTCAACTACAGAACTGTCCGCAACGCTTTGGCAGCGGCAATCCACAGTTTCAGGCATGAGCCACTGCTAATTGATAGCAAAAAGGATCTAGACGCCCTGCAAGATCAGTTGAATCTCTGCCTTCAAATTTCAGAAGCTCCTGGTGATGAATTAATGGCAGTCGAGTCTGTGAGAATGCCAGGATCATGCGAGTGGATTTTAAGAAAGGACGTGTTCCTAGAATGGAGAAACTCAATGAACCCCTGGATCTACTGGGTCAGCGCAAATCCAGCAACGGGGAAGTCTATATTATGTGGCTTCGTTATTAAGCATCTTAAAGATGCAGATCTAAAGTGCTGTTACTATTTTTTCTCCCATGGGGACAAGGACAAGTCACGGATCACATTATGCCTACTATCCTTGGCGTGGCAAATGGCTGTTGCTCAGCGAGATATCATGGAGACAGTCATTGAGATCTGTAGCAAAGATGGTAGTATCGGTAAATCGACAGATCATCGAACTGTTTGGAGAAAGCTATTTGTGGAAGGGATATTGCGTTTGAAGATCCAGAGGGTCTACTGGGTATTAGATGCCCTGGATGAGTGCAAAGAAAATACGGAACTTGTTGCATACCTTCTGAAACTAACCGACATTTGCGATGTACGAGTTTTCATCACCCATCGACGTCGCTTTGAAGCCCCGAAAAATCTTAGTGCCCTGAAAGCGAAAGTATACGCTGAGACAATCGGGTCAGATGAGACGAAAAGCGACATTGCTCTATACTTGCAGGACAACATTCACAATCTGCCACAGTCAACAGACGAGGAGCGCAAAGTCATGGTAGACACTATTTTGGAGAAGTCCGCCGGGTGCTTTCTCTGGGTGAATCTAGTGTTGCAGCAATTGAGCAACGTCCAAACTGTTTCAGACACACAGCGCATTTTAGAGGAAACACCAAGCGATATGGACGATCTATACACGAGGATCCTAACGTCTATGTCAGATGAACCTCAAGGAAACGATATAGCGAAAGCAATCCTACATTGGGTTGTTTGCTCGGCAAGGCCTATGACTATCGAGGAACTTCATAACGCCCTAGAGCTCGATTTAGATGATAGCATACACAGTGTTGTACGGGCAATTGAAACGACTTGTGGTCAGCTCGTGTATGTGGATATTCAGTCACGAGTACACGTCATACACCAGACTGCGAAAGAATATCTGCTACGCTATAAGGATTCTGACTTTTCTATCAATCGAAAGGATGGGCATAAACGTCTAGCCCTAATATGTCTAAAATATCTCTCTGGTCCGGATATAGGGGGCGTGAAGCGCCGTCCAAGTGCTAGCGGGGCAGTTCCAACTCGATCACCTTTCGTTGCCTACGCCAGTAAATATTTATCGAACCATATCACATTCATCGACTCTACTGACGATGAATTCATTGTTGCACTTGCGACTTTCTTGTCATCCCCTAATGTACTGCCGTGGATAGAGTACTTAGCATCCCACAATGGCCTCGATCGACTCATTCAAACTGGAAATTCGTTTATAAATATTCTACGACGTCGCTCAAAACACATGTCTCTTCTAGGCCAAGATGTAGCAACCATCAATTCTTGGTCGTCTGACCTCATCCGCCTAGCTACTAAGTTTGGAAGCTCCCTAACTGCTTCGCCAAGCTCAATATTTAATCTTATTCCACCTTTTTGTCCGCCTGAGAGCGCTATAAGGCGGCAGTTCGGAAACTCACCAAGAGATATCTCTGTTGTTGGCCTCTCAGCTACAGCTTGGGATGATTGCCTATCAACAATCTATTTTTCGGATGCAATTGTCACAGCAATAGCATCCTCGGACAAATTCTTTGCGATCGGGCTCAGTACTGGGAAAGTGGGCATATATCAGGATACAACTTGTCAGGAAGTAAAGCTTCTTGATTGCGGCGAAGCAGTTCGATTCATACAATTTTCAACCTCTTCAAGCATCCTGGCGACTTGTGGTATTAAGAAGCTACAGATATGGTCTCTCGATTCATGGACCCGAACGTGGAAATTCGATCTACGCCAAATGTGCATGTCTGTTATTTTCATAGAGGAAAACCAAATCTTGCTTGCAGCAATGAGAAACAACGAGCTTGTTGAATATGACCTCGAAACAGGAGAATCCGCGGAACCTCTAGAGTGGACAATCGACGATGAAGGTCGGCCGGCGAAAACATTTCGCCGCCCGAGTTATGTTACCATGAGTGGTAGCCAATACCAGCTTGCTGGGATTTATCGTGGGCAGGACATCCTTGTTTGGGATCTCAGTGGTAGCATGAGGTATGAAACCTATAACAAGGACACTGGGTTGTCAACATCAAATGACAGGAGACAAAATACGACTATGTACGCCGTGGTCTTTAACCCGGCACCAGACTCTACTCTTTTTGCTGTAAGTTATTTCGAGGGAGACATTGTGGTTTTTGATACCGCCGATGGGTGCCGAAAGGAAAGTGTACAAGCCAGTGCACAGTCACTAGCAGTCTCTCCAAATGGGCGAACGCTAGCCAGCTTTGATTCCTCTGGTGTGGTACAAGTCTTTGATTTCGAGACTCTCAAGCCTTTCTTTCGTATCCAATCTCGAGATTGGGGAATCAAAGCTCTCTGCTTCAACGGCGACGGTTCTCGGCTTCTTGTTGGCCGAGGTTCCCAATGTAAAATATGGAACCCAGTCGCTTTACTGCGACAAGATGACGAGACCGACAACAGTGATACTGTCTCTGTCTCCACTGCCAATCAGGAGCTTCAATATGATAATTCCGGAGACGAAGTCTTGATTACGGCCATTTGCGAACATGATAGTGGTGCTGTTTTCTTGTGCGGCAAGAGCGACGGCTCTGTATCCCTATACAGCACGAAAGATGGGAAGGAAATCAAGGTTTTATACAAGCATCCCGACCGAGCATCCATTTTATCACTCTTCGTTGACGCAACAAGTCAAATACTTTGCAGCTCTGCTGCGTCCGGACGAATAATGACGCACAAATTAATTAGGGTGAGAAATGAGTGGCAAGTGAGCGGCGCACAGTTTGATTTAAAGCCTGGATTCGCAATTGAGCAAATCCTGAATAACGAAGGCCACACTCGGATGCTGGTTTGTTCACCAGGTGTGGATACATTGTATCAGATGACAGGAGATTTAAATGCAATTGTAGCCACTAGAAAGAGAGATGACGATGGACCGCATCGCTGGGCAGCTCTACCGAACAAACGCGATGTGATCTTGATAACGGGACATACAGCCCACATATTCGACTGGGATAAACTATCTTGCTTAACTGGGGATACTGGCATTCTCCTTGAGGGAGACGGTTTATTTGGAGCCAGCATTGAATCCATCACTCCTTGCTACGACGACCTGGTCATAGCAACATCATTCTCTCACTTCCTACAAGCTCACACCAAACGCTTCAATCTACTTCTATATCCTACGGCCTCCTTCCAGACACCTCCTAAGTCTTCATCAACTACAACAGCAAAACCAGTTCCAAACTCGCTCTCTCTGTCATCGCAAGTCGAATACCTAATTGGCCCATATGGTAAACGTCTCATCTTCCTAGATGCATCGGGCTGGATCTGCTCAACAGACCAGAAAACATTCGCTGTTACGCGTCACTTCTTCGTCCCTGCAGATTGGTTAAGCTCGAATTTAGAGTTGATAATTTGTGTTACGAAGTCTGGAGATATCCTATTCGTTAGAGGAGAAGAGGTTGCCGTTATAAAACGGGGACTGGATACTAATGAAACAGGAGTTTGGCCGAGAGCTGGTAGAAGGCTACCAGGGAGGCAAGGTGGAAGGTTGACTATTAGATAGACGTGTAGAAATTAGTTAGTGAGAAGGTTCGGCGAGGACTTTCCTCTGAGAATACTCGTAGCTATGTCTCTGGTACTGTCTACCTAGAACTTAAAGGAAAAGGGAAAACCACATTATTCTAGCATAAAATCAAGACTATCTTTCAAAACCACGACAAAATGACACTGTTAACAAATTTAACGCTCCAATTAACAAGAATTGAAGATGATTTCGGCAGGATAGTCTAGGATGACAACAGTGGCATGCATCCAATCAATCCGTGCTGTAACTATGGGGTTGAGAGTCGACAAGTTGCGGCTAAGATCACCCCATGCTTTTGGCAAGTGCGGGGTTGTGTCAGCCTCAGCTTCAGTCGCACTCTCTTCAAAATCTTGAGAAGATTAGCTTCTATCTATATCCTATCCCTTTCAAATTGTGACAATTCACATACTTCTAGAAAATGGGCAAGCGAGTTATTTTCACTGGCGGTTCTGGCAAAGCGGGACGACATGTCATTCCCGAGCTCCTTAAGAAAGGCCATGAAGTCTTAAACCTCGACCTCGAGCCGCTGAATCAGCCTAATGTCTATACCCTCAAAACAGACCTCACGCAACCCGGCCAAGTATTCAACGCCCTCTGCGGACAATTCAAACTCTCATCGCCAAACCCACCGGGAACTCCTCCAACTCCACATGCTGTAATCCATTTCGCCGGCATGGCACGCAACATGCTCTGCACTGATGACGAGACATTTCGCATAAATACCCTCTCGGCCTACAATGTTATTGATGCAGCCTGCAAGCTTGGTGTCAAGAAGATCATCCTCGCAAGCACGGGGAGCGTATACGGCGTTGCGTTCGCGTCCGGTGACATCGACTATGAGTCTTTCCCCATCGACGAGGAAATTGACGTCAATCCCATGGACACCTATGCCATCTCCAAGATGTGCATTGAGCGGATTGCACGGGGCTTCGCACGCCGCTTTGACGTCGACATCTACTGCCTACGCATTGGCAACGTAATTGAGCCGCATGAGTACAAAGACGATCTGTTCCACAGCTATGTCAATGAGCCGCAGAAGTGGAAGAACCATTCGTGGTCATACACGGATGCGAGGGATTTGGGGCAGATTTGCAATTTGGGGTTGGAGAAATCGGGATTGGGGTTCCAGGTTTTTAACGCAACGAATGACTCGATTACGAGCAAGAACTCGACAATGAAGTTTCTAAAGGAGCAGTGCCCCAATACCCCGTTTACGCGCGAGATGGGCGAGTTTGAGGCACCAATGTCTAATGTGAAAGTAAAGGAAGTGCTAGGGTTTAAGGAAGAGCATCACTGGGAAAATTATTTTCCTGTAGTGGGTAAATAGAGTTATTTACTAATGAGTTTAGTATATTTTAGTTACTCCCCTATAATACGACTAGGAGGCCTTCTCGACATCACAAACATCCTGAGATTGACTGTGCTTTATCTCATCTAGTGAATGCTTAATGTCCAAAACATTAGTGTTGCTACCACGAGGACTATCGGGAGACTTGGCTTCTTGGGACCCTTTTGTCCTCTCAGTTCGCCACTGTAGTCCCCTTGAGCGTATGAGGAGAACGACCACAATGCCACCAAGGCCACTGAGTAAGCCTAGCAGTGTAAAGTACCAGCCTCGACCCATTTTGTCAAGACCTGGTTGAAGTACAGATATGAGAATTGCCGTGAGGCTACATCTCGCAAGATTCCCTGTAGCAGCAGCTGCACTGGAGTTTGCAGGAAAGATGTCGATAAGGAGAGCTTGTGATACGATGTTGAAGAGCATGCAAAAAAGTCCCAAAACAGCTTGTAATATGAGACACACAGAGAAGTGAGTATGTGTTTCGGCAGCCCACCCATATCCTACAAATGCTGCTGTGTATAAAACCAAAAAGTGCAAACAGAATCTTGTGCGCACTCTCTCAATTGGAAAATCCATCATGTTATCACCTTTAATCTTGTCAACCTCGTGTCCCATTTCATTAGCCGTAACTCTGTAGTTGTGATCCATAAAACTGCCAGTGAAGGTGGCGCCTATGATGCATCCGAGGCCCCCTGGGAGGTATGCCAACCCAACTTGAAGAGCATTAAACGAGTAGGTCGACTCAAAAATTACTGAAATAGACGCCTGGATGCAATAGTATGTGGCATAGAAGATAGAGCTCAAAAACAAAACCAAAGCTGCGTCCTTGTAGAATATAATTCGAATCCCGAAAAATGGGTTTTTGGGGAGCAAGACCGTCCAGCGATGTTGTATCGCTTTGTCTCTTGGGGCCTCAACAACGAAGACGTTATTGCTAGCACTTGGGATAGCTTCGTCATCATTTCCTTCTTCCTGACTGAAGAGAGCCCGCCACCAAGTTCGGTAACAACCCGTGGGAGGTGTGCCACCATTTCCCACAATGTTCCTTCCAGTCTCGGGAAAAACTAGGCCAGTCGCAAGGGTCATCGCACCTCCAAAGATCACTAAAGACCAGAATACCCACTTAACATTTCCACTTCCGAAGGCAATTGATCCTCCCACTACAGGTCCAATGCAAACTCCAAGGTTTCCTATTGCCCCGATCGGACCCAGCATCTTGCCCCTTTCTGAGGGTATCGCAACATCTGCCACGACGCCATAGCTGAGACTGAGTACAGCACTAGCACCTAGACTTTGCAGCGCCCTCAGTACTAGAAGTCCAGCGTATGACTTAGTACCATTGAGGGCGAGGCCAAGAGATGCGAGGGTGAACAGGCAATATGTGATAAGGAAGACAGGACGGCGACCGTGGACGTCTGCGTAAGGGGCAAACAGAGATGGCGATATCGCTTGGAATATCACGTAGACAGTGACACTAAGATTTATGGCTTCTAGACTTGTAGAAAAGAGTCTACTTAAGAGCGGCAGTAGTGGGACGTAGCTCGTGGCAGCCAGGGGAGACGCAAGGTTAGCAAGGCTCAGGATGATGGTAAGAAAGATCTTCTGGCGATCGCTGAAAACTGTGAACCTCTCGTCAGGGGCTGATAGATTGGTCATATCGAGATAGCCTTGGTCGAAAAGATTATTGTATTGATACACTTGGGAAAGATGAGGTGCACATTTACTTAGTGTTATTAAGTGTTTCGCAGGAATGTATGTTGTTTATGGTGGTGCATAGCCCAGGGACTCATTATAACCCTATCTGCCTAAATAACTCACTACAATTTGCCTTTACGGGTATTTTGGTCAACTTTGAAACGATACAGAGAAGATTAGCATGGCCCCTGCACTAAGGATGACACGCTCAATCAAAGAGAAGCTACCAATTTTTGGACTTTTTATTTTTTTTAGTTTAGTTTTAAGCTTCTATCGGATATCTACTTTACGAAGATATATAAATTAGCAAGAGCGACCCGTTTGTTGTTCGTCGTTCGCTCTTGCCTATCTGTCTCTATTTTGCATTTCAGTCCCTTTTTCCCGCTTCATATCACGTAGACTCGCTTACTGACAGTGTCTCGAGTTTACTGGGCGGGCTTCTCATTTCTCACCATCTTGATGACCTTCTTCAGCATCTTATACTAGACAACAGCGTGAAAGTCATCGTTGTCATCATATTTTTTATTTATCTTTGAGGATGAGGACTTAATATTGGGACCATGTAACCAAAATGCGTTCATGTTTTGTTCCAACAACATATTCTTTCCCACCCCGAGTATAAATCAAAGACAACGTTCACACTTTCGAAAGTATATATATATATCTACGGCATCCCACAGAAGTGCATGGGTTCTCTAGGAGGGAAGGTAAATTCACATTTTAAATGTATTATAATCTTTGATAATCATTCTTAACCCTCTTAGCTACCCACCTCACTGAATGTGCTTTGATGCACTGCCGCTGCATCTGCCCGTAATGTTGTAGAACTCCCAGTCGGGCTAGGCCGTGCATGGCGGGAACGTCGTGGGTTACGCTGACGACTGCGGCGGACAAGGTTGAGGCTGAGGATTACTTTCTGAAGATCATCCATCCCAATCCTCCACCAAACCTTTTTGATTTACAACACCTATAATTAGAAAACGCCCCAAGATAACATCGACCTCTCTTCCAGCGCATTTGCGACCTGTTTCGTAACATTTTGCTCGGGACAATCACCCATCGCGGCCTTTCAATTGCTCTTTGAGCGCCGCCGGCTTCGACACCATAGTACTGAACGCGTGGCTTCTACAGCTCAATCACCATGGCGCAATACGTCCTCGACCTCATCTACACCCTCACAAATTGCATGTCATGCTTTCCCGGGTCGCCGACACTCAAGATCAACAGCAGGAGCTTCAAGATCCTCCGGCTGCTTGGAGAGGTACGTCCCCTTGTTCCCCAAACCCCTCCCTCCTATTCGGACACAGCTAATGCAAACATAGGGCGGCTTCTCCTATGTCTACCTCGTCCAAGATACGTCGAATGAGGCGCTCTACGCGCTGAAAAAGATCCGCTGCCCCTTCGGCCAAGAATCCGTCGCGCAAGCAATGAAGGAAGTCGAAGCCTACGCGCTCTTCACCCCCCACCAGAACATCATCCACGCCATCGACCACTCCATATCAGCCGACCGCTCCGACCCAAGCGCGAAGACAGTATACATCCTGCTACCCTACTACAGGCGCGGCAACCTGCAAGACCTCATCAATGCCAACCTGGTCAACCACGCCAAGTTCCCGGAGAAGAAGCTCATGGTCCTGTTCCTGGGCGTGTGCAAGGCCCTCAAGGCCATGCATGAGTATAAAGTCGGAGGGAAGGGCGCGGGCAAGGCGAAGAGGTTACGCGCTGAAGCGGCAGAGGCAGATGAGGATGCGGCTCAGGCAGCTGGAGGAGGGAGGAGGAGAGGCAGGGGCGAAGAGTCGGATCGCGAGCAGCACGAGCCATTGATGGACGATGAGGTGACACAGAGCCAAGAGGGTGTTGCGCCCGGTGGTGCTCGCGCATACGCACATCGGGATATTAAACCAGGTAAGCAGTCTTGATTCGAGAGCAAGGTGGCAATGTCTAACGCCCAGCAGGAAATATCATGATCGACGACGATGGTACACAGCCCATCCTCATGGATCTTGGATCTCTCCAACCCTCGCCCACACCAGTTACATCTCGCTCTCTAGCCCTCGCCATCCAAGACCAAGCAGCCGAGCACTCAACAATGCCATACCGTGCGCCTGAGCTCTTCGACGTCAAGACTGGTTCGACAATCGACACCAAGGTCGACATCTGGTCGCTAGGCTGCACGCTGTACGCGTGTCTGGTGGGCAAGTCGCCATTCGAGATGCGCTCTGATGAGACGGGCGGTAGTCTGAGTATCTGCGTGTTGAGCGGGGACTGGCGCTTCCCCGATGAGGGAGCTGGTGGCCAGAAGAAAGGCAAGAATCAGGCGGGGCAGGAGGAGGATACGGGGATCAATGATGGGATCCGTGAGGTGGTGAGGGCGTGCTTGAAGGTTGAGCCGGGAGAGAGGCCGGATGTGGAGCAGTTGATGGAGATGGTGGAGAGGGTTATTGAGGACTTACCTGAGGATGGGGCGACGATCTGATGGGTTGGAGGAGTGTGAGGTGGGTGTGTGTATTATACTGTGTATTTTCTTGATGGGACGGCGTTCAATACCTGTGCGGATAGCAGAGGCTCATCCGCTTGTCTTCCATGCTCAAATCATACCAGGGGCTTTACAATGACAAGATCAATTTTGAAGCAAAGCAATCGCACAATACTGATGATCTTACTTTGTGAGACTTTGCTACTATAGCATAACGATATATTACATCACAATGGCAGAGTCAGGTAAGCCAAATAAAAACGAAGATTCCTTAAACTAACGCTATTCACACAGAAAGCAAAATACACAACTATAACCAACACCCAAGAACACCAACTCGAGCGCAGTAAACAAATCTATGAAAACAAACAAACAAAACACTATCTATCATACATCAACAAATCAACCCCATCAAACGCCAAACAGACAACCCATACTTCAAACCTTTCATCAAACACCTCACCAAAGCCACCCCACCTTCTTACCCGCACCCTTCTTCGAACCATTCGGCTCCTCCTCACGCACTCTCTTCCTCGACGACTCCTTTTCAGTCGCCTCGTCACTCTTACGCTTCCTGTCCGAGCTCTTCTCCGCGTTAGCCAATACGGCTTCCTTCGCGCGTCGCTCCCGGCGCTCGATACCCCAGCTTGATGGTAAGGCGCAGATGATGCCCTCGTCACGTTTACTCTTTGCTGTCGGAAGTTCTGGAAACCTGCAGATAATGGTCTCCTCGCGCTTACCCCTCTTCCAGGGGTTTGCTTCGGGCAATTCGTCACCCTTGTGCTTCTTGCCGGAGGGGTTTGGCTCGGGCAACTCGTCGCCCTTGCGCTTCTTCCCCGAGGGGTTTGGCTCGGGCAACTCACCGCCCTTGCGCTTCGTCCCGGAGGGTTTCTTCGCCTTGGTGGGTTTCTTCGCCTTGGAAGGTTTCTTCGCCTTGGGAGGATCTTTCGGCACAGCTGTCTTTGCGCCTATATCCCGACGTTTGGGAATGTAGTCTATTGGCCCAAAGCATGTAATCACTTTGCCGCCAGAATAGTCGTCGAGCTTGGTCTTCTTCGCAGGCTTTTCCTCGGGCGAGTCATCGGGCTTGCGCTTCTTCCCTACCGCATTCTTCCTGAACGACTTATTTGGATCCAACCTGGAATATTTAGTGTTTGAGCTGCCGCCGTTGATATGGGCTGTCTGGTTTCCAGTCGTAGGGGGAGACCTCGGGTTGACACAGTGCCATTTGATGCCATCCTCCTCGACATTGTCGCTCTCCAAACCACTCTCAATATCCGTACTCCCAGGACAAGAAATAGTATCGGGGCCATACTCCTCTTCGCCCTCAACCTCCGGTTCACTCTCGGTCTCCGGCTCAGTACCACCCTCCGCATCCTCATACTCTTCGTCAGTATCCTCGGTTCCCTCCTCGGTACCCTCCTCTCCACCCTCTTCCTCTTCACCCTCCTCCTCTCCACCCTCCTCCTGTCCACCCTCCTCCTCTCCACTCTCCTCCTCTCCGCTCTCCTCCGAAGACTCATATCCAATTTGCTCAGTAAGTATATCCAAAGCCTCTTTCTCCGCCCGCTTTTTCTCCCACCCCTCTACACTCCCTCCCGCCCCGACGAAGGCACGCAGTTCCGCTTTAACTTCCGCGCTAAGATCTTCCCACTTTACGCCCTTCAGCCGCCTTTTGAGCTTGGTGTCGCTGATCACATCCTTGCCCTTACCACCTTTGCCACCTTTGCCACCTTTGCCACCTTTGCTACCTTTGCCACCTTTATTCTTCGCCGCTTCAGCTTCAGCGGCTTTAATGGCCGCAAGGGCCTCCGCAGCTTCAACAGCCTCAAGAGCCTTTGCAGCCTCAACAGCCTCAACAGCCTCAATAGCCTTAGCAGCTTCAGCAGCCTCAGCCTCAGCAGCCTCAGCGGCCTTCTTAACAGCCCTCTCAGCATTCTTCTTGGCAGCCTCTGCCTTCTCCTTATCTCTCCTTACACGCCTCTCCTCCTTCGTCTCCCTTGGCGGTGGCGGTGGATGATTGTTCCGCGCATCCACGACGCTTTGTTCGATGGCGGCTGTTTCTGCGGATGTGGGCGGCTCAGCGAGGCCTCGGGCGGCGAGCACGCTGGTGTTTATGGCGGCTTGGACAGCGGGGTTGGCGCGGGCATCGGCGCGGGTTATGCGGGTTATCCTGGGGTCGCGTTCGCGTTGGATTCGGCGAGCCATTTTGGGCGGTGTTGTTGCTGTATTGTGTTGTGTTGTTGGTGATGTATTATGTTGTATTATGTGGGTGTATAGCGACAATTTCGAACCTTTTCCGAGTATCAAACTCGTTCTGGGAATTATGGAGTACTGAGTATCAAACTCTGTTAAGGAAATGGGGAATATTACTAGAGAAGGAATGGAGAATTTCAATCGATACTCGGATGAAAGTAGGGGATAATAAATGAAAATTGTGTATGAAAGCAGGGGATACGAGACAGAGCAATGAAAGGAGAGGAAGTTGGGATCAAAGAGCGAGTCAGTGAGGGACAAGAGATTCTTTACAGAATACTTCGAGGGCTGTTTTCGGACTCGGACGGGGTGGCTTTGATGGTTCTGAGCCTTTGTTAGGAGGGACAGGGCGCCGGATGGGGATGGCGGTTTCCTTTGACAACGATTTTAAAAAGGGGGATAAAGGGGTAAGAGATATCATTGAAGAATAGTATCAATGTCTATTTTTGTTTCATCGCTGTGCCCTTGTGTCTTGCGAGACAATCGTGCAATAGGAGCCTATCACAGCCAACCAACCGAAAGTATCGAACTTAAACTCGCACCTCCTCAGTTCTGCAGATTCATCATCTCTGCCTCCTTGTATGCCCCCTCCTCCCCTGCTGTCGGATTCACAGTATTCCGCTCCATAGTCATAATGATCATCTTATCGGACACCTCCTCCCTCACACTCACCACCGCCTCCCTCAACACCGTCAGCTGAGTCACCCATTGAGTCGACCAATTCCACAACGACAACATATTCATCAACTTTGCCACCACCTCCCTCCTCTCGTCCGGCCCTCCCTTCAAGTCACGCAAGATGCCGTCCTGATCCTCCTTCCCCGCAACATTCACCAACCCCGCCATCACATCATACGCCTCCAACAACCCATCAACCAACGGCAACAGTCTCTGGCACATCAATCATGCATTCTCCATTTTCTCACTCTCTACCTCCTTATACCCCTTGGCGGCAACTTCCAAGCTCTGCAAGCTAACCTGCACACACACAATAACGCTCCACAGCTTCTGACTCTTCTTAGCCATACCCTCCATCATCCGATCGAGCGCTGCAGGATGAAGGTTATCATAGTTCGATGCCCTTCCGTTCAATTGACATAATATCGATCTTTGAATAGTCCGTGAGGAAAGGGCGACTCAGGTATGATATGTAGACTCTATATTTACGTGGGGAAGGAGTAGGCACGTTAGGGATGATGGGTCATTGTGAGAATTTCTATTATGAAGGTTGGCTTGCGTCTAAAAACATCTATAGTCTATCTATAGCCCCTTTACGCATCTTCGGCGCAGTGTGGATACACAGTCTTTCTTTTTGTAAAGCTAGAAACAAACGCTGTCTTACAATCAAATCCCACCCCGTAAACTCCCAGAGAGGAGAATTGGGGACAATATCCCCGTCTACCCATCGCCCAACAGTCCCGAAACGCCCAAATAACTCCCCTTAAAGAATAAAAAAGACATCAAACGATGAAGAAACCCCCCTCAAATAACCTCATCCCTCTCCCACCCCGTCCCCTTATATTCTCCCTTCTTAATTCCCTTGCCTGGATGTGGCTTCCCCGCATCAAAGTAGGTGCTCACAAATGGATTCGGATCCTCCTCCTGCTTCAGATTTCCCAGCGTATGATTCACCTCCCTATGCTTCGCCTCGTCGGCGCGCACATACAAGATGAGATCCTTCACCGTTCGCTTTCCCTCCGGCATCTTCCAGTACTCAATCGCAATATCAGGCGCCTGCATGCCCTCCCACTTTGGCAGTTTCCCCGCCTCCAAGTCGGCAAGCACAAGCGAGTACGTCAGTACCGCCTCTTCCTCGAGGTACCCAACAAATCTGTGCGCGGTGCGGGGACTGATAAGGTACGCCAGGAACATGGAGTTGAAGAAAACGCCCTGGGCACCAAGACACATCAACTTCATAAACCACCCCGGCTCCGCCATCTTCAAGAACGTCAAGAGGTGCATGCGCTCATTGTACGCCTCCTCAAGCAACGTCTCAATCCATCCGTTATCCCTCTGCATCCTCCTCAAGCTCCTCAAATGTCTCAGCATCCCCGCCACCATCCCGGGAACGCCCGCCACGGACTCGAGGAAGATGAAGCGGATCAGCCATTTGCGCTCCGACATCTTGTAGGGCTTTGTGGACTCCAGCGCCGTGGGGTCGGAGGCTGTAGCGGCGACGGTGACGTCGTGGGAGTATCCCGTGGCGATATCGGTGCCTTTGCGCAACATGCGCATGAGGAAGAGCGCGAAGCGGTCCGACATGTCCTCGGGAATGCGGTGCTCGAAGCGGATGTTGGTCCTCATCTGCTCCTCTGTGAATCTGGGAGGGGGGTCAGTGAGTCGTCACGTGGACGGGGGGGTTTGGAGGGCATACCCTGGGTGCTCCCATGCTGGGTGCGTAGTGCGGATGAGGTGGTGTTTTGGCTCTGGGAAGTATTTCTCCTCGAGCTGTGGCGGGGTAGTGGTGCTGAATTGCCTTTTTGAGAGGGGTTGTTGCTGGAGGCTTGGGCGGGCGGCGTGGTGCGGGACTGGCCTGGCTGGCCTTGCTGCGAGACTCAGGTGGCGGGACTGCTGGGGAGTGCGCCCGTTGGTGTTGTAGATTGGCGTGAGGCAGAGTCTTGATGTTGCCATGGACATCCTGGGGAGCATAGCCCCGTGTGCTGTGAGCATGGGCGCTCGTGCCGCGATCATGTTTGTTGACATGACGTATGTGTGTTTGGAGTAGTAGTATCAACTACCAGTATAGTAGTGACGTGAACAAGTTGAACTTGTAATGTGTAGAGTGGAGTGTAAAGGTGTAATGACTTGAAGAATGGTGGCGATATAGAACCTACATGAGGCTTCAGACAGCTGAGATCTGAGTCTTATATATCAAATATTGACAGCGGCAGGGCTGAGTCCAAACTGACGCGATTGGGACAGGGAAGGAATGTTGGAACGGGAATAGTAAGGAAATGGGAATAGTACGGGAAGGTACTCGTAAAGAAAGCAATTGCATTGGCAGTGCACTACCTCTGAGTCAGATTCACCAAATAAAATATTGCTATTTTCTACGGGAATAGCAGACGCCGAATCAATAATTGGACATTTGTATGGGACGTTGCGTTCGTCAGTGGCTTGGGGAGGAAGTTTCAGGATTGAGGGTCGATTGATCCCGAGTTACTCCGGCTTACCTGAGCGTGGTCGTTTGCGGCCATGAACTTTCGTATAATTAAATATCTACGATCAAGTCTCAACAATAGAAAAAAACGATATATCTCCTCAAATAATTAAATAATACTCTCTGCCTTATATCATGATACCAAACACCCCCATCCCACAATAAAAAACCGACCGTCTAAGCCCCTATCTGTCTCCCAAACGAGCGGTATAACAGTGACGGGAATAACCGGAGCGACGGACCCAACTTACTCCCGCCCTCCGGCCGCCCAGCACTGCCGCCGCGCCACCGGTCACGAGGCCAGCGATTTTCATTCAAGCGTTTATATCCCTTCCGATTTTCGAGATTTTCGAGCACGATGACCAGATATCTGACTAATGGCAAGAAAATCATTCGGCGAAGCCCCACAGTAACACCGTAAATGCCCTCAAAGCACCGCATGGTTAGGATGGATCCGCGGAATTATAGGATAGGGGTGACGCCGAAAATAGATACCGTCTCGGCGAGGGCTCTGGCTTGGCTCACTTCACGTTCGTCTATGCGAGTAACGTCGACAATATAGTTACTACAAGCTGGCCAAAGAGACCCTTGCTCCATCGTCACGTTGCTAGCCCAAAAGAGCAACAAAATAACAAAACATACAACATTGAGTATTTGCTAGTGGTCACCCACCTAACTACTACAAGAGCACCCAGTAATCGTGACAATGTGCTTAGGGTGTCATATAGAGTGCAGTCTTACGAGAACATCGGATTGTTTAGCGAACCAGGTCGAATTAACAGTCCACTCTTCCTTTCCCGCCCACTCCATTCTGAACTCGCGCAGTATTTGCGGCACAAACTTACTCATTTCTAAGAGGCTTATATTTTTCCCTATAGTAGTGGATGGATAGTTAGACTTTGTCCATAGATGCGTCGAGATAAATATTAAGGGGTAAGTAGACTCACCGATACAAGTTCTCGACCCGTGACCAAACTATATACTACGATTAATGTGAATCCTTTTGAGAACATAGACATGGCTGTTAACGTACGGCTAAAAAGCTTCTTTCCATCCTCTTTAGTTGCTCGATCTTCACTGGGTCCTTACTCTCTTCCCACCTCTCAGGGCGGAATTCATGAACATGGTCTCCAAAAACATCTTCGTCATAATGAACAACCCATGCGTTGATACCAACGATTGTGCCAGCAGGCAAGTAATGCCCATGAAGCGTTAACCCGCCTTGGGGCACGATTCGTTCTAACATAAGAGCCACAGCAGGGTGTAGCCTAAGTGATTCCTTGATAACAAGAGCGCTGGGTAATCTTAGACTGGCTTAGGACGATAGGGTAATGTCTCAAGAAGCACTTACAGGTAAGGGATGTGCTTTTGAGCTTCGGCGTATGTGATAGTTTCCGAGAACATTCCAGCTTGATCCGCAGCAAAGATCTCTGCCTGCAATTTGGATAATGTGCGCGGATTCTTCATCAAAAAATAGAATATTGATCGGAGAGAAATGGCAGTCGTGTCGCTCCCTGCAAGGCTGTTTCACAATGAGAGCAGTTCGTAAATCGTCGTTCTCAAGTAAACTTACAGATTAACAAACAAGTGGTTCATCATATCTTTCTGGCTCATTTTTGAGCTTCCGTTCTCGTTCTGTTTCTGCAAAAAGGTTAGGAAGTCCTCATGTGAGGTTTCTTTTGAAGTTGTGTCGACGGTTGCTAGGGCATCTTTTATCATCTAGGTAAAATATCAGCCGCGCAATACAACGCCACGACAGTGACCCGTTACCTGTAAGACTGTTCGTATCGGATCCTTTTTTTCTGCGCCTGGGATATAACTTATAATCTTCTGCAGCATTGGGCTTCCAAACAGCCATGGATGGAAGGATGGAATTTGCCCAATGAGCCCGGCGTACTTAAGTCCAAAGTCTATCCCCTCAATAACTCTAGTGTAGTCAAAGCCTGCGTCTAGGAAGCCAAATGTCTTGCTAAAGGTGATAGAACCGATCACGTCAAAGGCATAGAACTGTAGCCACTCTCCAATGTCGACAATTTTGGCTGTATAAGGTTGCGAAGCGTCTAGTGGTGGGTTGCTAAAAGCTCGCATTTTTTTAGCAAAGCTCTGCGTAACCTCGTCCACGAGTGGTTCGAGCTGGAGCAGCGACGATAACGAGTATTTCTGTGCTATACCACTTCTCAGGGCTCTATGGTGCTTTGGATCTTGCGTAGAGAAGATACTGTACAGAGGCTTGTCCTCAAGAGTTGGTGCTTGATAAATAAGCTATAGTAAAACAATTGTGTGATGAACCTACTTAAAGTATTATAAAATGCGGACTTATTAAAGCCCCTGTTAGTTATAGTACGTATAGTTGTTCAAAAAGCATACCTTTGAATATTTGCTCGAAATTCCATATATAACCGGAATCATAGAGGGATCTGATATGGAGATATGGTTTGGTCCAGTACGGACGACTTTTCCATAAGTCTTATGGACTTTCTGAAAGTTCTGTGGAGCAAGCCCAGACACAGAATTTCGTAATCTCCATAAGTTGCTACATCTTGCAAGACGTGGTCCAGGAACACTGCCGAGCTCGGGTTTATTGGCGGTTCGAAGGTAGGAGACTGCGCAGGCAAGAAACAGAGCTATACAGGAGATAGCAATCACTTTGAGATATACCAAACCGAGGATAAATCCTTGAGAAGCATCTAAAATGCGATTCATCATGGCTACTTTCGAAGTTAACCTGGGTTTCAAGGTTAAGTAGTTCACGAAGATGTAGTAGGGTTGCGAGGTGTATCTCAAACTAAGGTTGTTAGTAAGTAGCCTTATAAAAAAGAGAGGGGGCCCCCGAGTTTATCATGGGCGGGGAATGTGGGGGTTGCCGGCCCAAGTGGGTGCCAGCCCATGGGGAACTTCCCCATTCCACACCCCGCTTCTCTCTAAATATGGGAGCTGTCCCCCCTTTATTCTACGTTGCTATCAATTACAGAAATATAGCATTTCGTACATAAGCTATTACACTAATCTTGGCAGAGCCTCGTAGGGAAGGCATATGGGATGGCCTCGTGGCAGCGGAGGTGGCACGGGAACATGTAGATAGAAAGTACTTAAATATAGGCCTTCTCAAATGAAGCACAGTTGCTCTTAGTAGCTTGATGTCCCTTCATCATCTGTTTAGCCGAGATTTGTGTAGACTTCCTCTACTCATTATACAGCATCATGATTCCTAGCCCCATTGAAATGCAAAGTTAGAAATGAGTCCAATAATGAACAAAATTGTAATTATATCGTGCTTCCGATCATGCTTATTATGCATACGTTTCCGAGACCTCGACAGACTCATTTGAGAACTCAAGCATAGGAGCCAGCTGTGACACAATTCCGTTGGCAGCAAATACCATAGGAGATCCATCCGGCTTATACGCAGGCCAACCCATTGCCGGCAACCCATTTACTGGATCCCGAATAAAAGCCAAGTACAGGTCCTGCCAGTGAAAGGCTACCACGGTCTCGAATGCCGTCGAAGCACCACCGTACGCGGCGTATGTACCAAAGAGCAATGGTAGCTCTGACGTGTGATACGCACCATCCCAGGGTTGAGGGGAAATGTTGGTGAAGTTAGCCGTGTTGTAGAAGTAGAAAGTGGTGGAGCTCGATTTGTAGCGTAGCCTAGGAATTATAATATACAGGACAAAGCTTTCCTAATACTGTCTGTTCGCGAACCGGAGTCATATTTGGGCCGGCTGGGCCAGGCCAATTTATCAAGGAGGATTGCTCATTAGCGTTTGATCCGACGATAGCAGGCTATTTTGAATATGATCAGAATCGTAATATCTTCCAAGAGAGTTATTCAGAGCATATTTAAAGAGATAACTTACCAGCTTGCTATAATTTCCAGCGCTGTAGCGATCCGTGTACGTCGAAAATAGATATTGTCTCGGTGAGAGCTCAGGCTTGGCCCGGCTACCTTTTCGATCGATATGCTAGTTACTTAGACTCTCGGTCAGTATGGCTAGGCGGCCAAACCGACGCTTTCTCCACAGCCTCATATCCAGCCCAAAAGAGCAAAAAATGGCAAAAAATGGCAAAAACATACAACAGTGGGTATTCGCTGGTGGTCACCCACCCAACTACTAATCCACCGATCTCAAGCTTGTGTATGGCAGAGCGGACGGGATGCCCAATTCTCTTGAGTCTATGGTCGTATGTAGTAGTTCTCAGTCTATCGAAGAATAAATACAGTTCTGGCTACAATCTTGAATAACATTTCGCGTCCCCAAACCAAAACATATCTCATAGAGAAATGTTAGGGATTAGCATGGAAGCAAGGGGCTTTAGTATGACACACACGACACACCCGAAAGTGAGACATAGAGGTATTCTCCTACGGGGATGTGTTCTGGTGCGCGGAGATCGCATCGTCCATATAACGAATGTCTCAAACCTGCGCGTTAACGGCAAACGTCTCCACGTTTTCTCATTGTACAAACTTTGGTGATATAAAGCAGGGACCTTCGTATGAACAGCCCTGTATTGCCAGATCTTAATTTGGAGGGTGGTAGCAACGGATGCCCCCAGGAAAGTGCGGAGAAACTATGGCTTTAAAATTGACTTTCGCGGAGTTTGGATGCCAAGGAGCAATAAGTGGTAGAGTAACAAGCTACGAAAGCGACCCCTTTGTGGTCGGTGAATGCACATCTCATAGCCGTTATCACCTTACGGAAGTTAGGGCAGCATGGGAAACAGGCGGAAAGGGTTATTGATTGCACATTTAGAAATGTTGCCTAATCATTGGGACGTCAATAGACTCTGTATTCTGTGACGGGAAATTTATCGTTGAAACTAGAGCATCGGCAGAGTGCACAGGAGTCATGGGTAGATATCTGTTTTGTTTGCTTTGGAATTATATCAAACGTTAGCCCCGACAGGCACCACTACGCCCTTTTCCTCTACGTCGCTCTGCCATAGAGTAACGACAGCCCCCTTGAATTTCCTCGCGCTAATACCCCTCGCAAATAAATCGTCCAGCTCACCATAGGTGCGTCCCTTCGGCTCTGGTAACCTGAAATAAGACCAAACGGAACAGAAGAAGCAGAGTCCAGCCCAAAAGAATCCACTCTTCCCTTTCCAGTTCCAAGCGGTTGGGTTAAGCATATAGGGCGTAATTACGCCATTGACAATACCAAAGATATTGTAGGCACAGCGGGCTAAGACTATGGACTTTGTCTTGAGGCGAGTAGATGGCATTTCGGAGACAAGGGAATAACAAATGGGCCCAACCGTGGTATCGTAGATAAAGGTGTAGGCTAGGAGGAGAGAGCCAATGGCCCAAGGTGTCGCTGTGCTGTTCGAGAAGGAGGCGAGCCCAATGAGGAGAAGCAGGACAGTTAAAATTGAGAGACCATAGATGTAGATTGTACGACGCCCTGCATAAGACATGAGAAACCAGGAACCAACTGTACCAATGGCTCCCAGGGCGTACTGCAGGTTGTTAGAGTGTAAATTGTCAGGGGTAGGTTCAAGGTTTTACCTGTGCCATAGACATATCAAAGGCATTAACTGTGGGAAGGCCAGCTTGAATGTAGAAGTACGTTGAGTATCCCATAAATGTACTTCCACAGAGACTCTGGATGGACCAAGTTGCGCATACAATCTCTGTTCGCCGTAAATCGCTTCCTTTAAAACAGTCCAGATAGCTGACGCCAGATTCCAGAGCCTTCTCCGTTTCATTAGTGATGACCATCATCGCTAAAGTTTGATCAATATTGACATCGACCGAACCGTTCCCATCTTTGAACGAGGTCAGCTTCCGCAAAGCTTGCCTGGCATTTTCAATCCTGCCGCGACGAACGAGCCACCATGGTGACTCTGGAGCGAAAAGAACACCGATTAAGATGGGAACTGGCCAGATCCACTGGATGGCTATGATTCGTTAGCATAGAGGTCCATCACTAGAAGCGGTGAGCACATTACCAAAAGGAATTTTATAGCTCCATTTATCTGTCCCTAACGCATGAGCACGCAGGACTCCAGACCCAATTAGTTGCCCAAAGACCCAACAGAGGTTGTTATAGGTTGTGAGATAGGCTCGAAGCTGTGTCGGGCATACCTCAGAGGCATAGGCTGTGGTGAGAGTTTGAAATACACCCCAAGGAATCCCACAAAGAATTTCTCCTACTGCGAGAACAATGAGATTCTCGGCGAAAAAAGGGATGAAGATAAAAGCTGTCATGGCCGCTAGTGAAACAATCATTGTCTTACGGTAGCCGAATCGCTCGCTCACAACTCCATTAATAAGAAGACCTAGTATTTGCCCGGCGGCTGCGCCATTAGACAATCCAGCTTGCCAGGGGGCTGGGATCTGATACGGGTGCTTAGGATCATCTGTTAGAGAGCCGTAATGTTTTGCAAAGCCTGGCGATGCGTATAGGTTTGCTAGAAGCAGGACTTTTTAAATTTCGAGAGTCAGCACTATGTTATGAACAAACAGATAATAGTAATACAGGAGAGGTTGGGTCAGGATGCTAACCGCCCCGATATGCATGAAATAGGAAAACCGAGACGAACCGTCATAACTTTCCATCACAATGGCCGTGGAGAGAATAATACTGAACATGATGGCCTTAGGGTATGTTTTGAACGCCTGATAAGTTGTCATGGACTTCTCAGCATGGGTGGCGTGGTTTGCGTCATTGATAAGATGTGAGAGATCACCGTTGACCATGGATACTTTGGAGTGGGCTCCATGAGTTCGTGGGAGAGCATTGGACGCGGGGGTCGAATCATTAGAAACCATACTAGGAATTCAAAATGAACGACTCTACGTGTGCTTCTTCGGGTATAAATTCGAAAAGGTAATTGTCAAAATTAGAGCTGTGGGCTAATATATATATGCGCTTGGTCTACGCATCACTCGCCCACGCGGCATGATGGACGTGGCTCGATGTTTTTTACGATTTTGAAGTCGTGCAGAGACAAAATGCGACTAGAGGGGGTTTGAAAAATAGTCCGGGCACTTGTTCGTGTTTACTGTGGGCCATTCCCCAGAATCTCTTCCCGTCCCTAGAGCCTCCATAATTAGGCCGAAAGTACTCAAATAGGCGAAAAATACTAAGAATACTAAACTCGGTGATATTTCTCGGCTCTACTATTCTCAAGTCAAACCCTGTCGTTTCCGAGCAAGAGAAAAGGCCTCAAATCCATGTCATTATCTTGGGAGAGGAACAGACCTACATAGAACAGAAATGTAATAACTTATTTAGGACCTATGCAACTTACACAGCTTACACGCAACCAAGGTCTTGGTTGCAGTTTTACTAAGCAAGTGACATGGAAGATACTGCCCCCAACCCACTATTTACCTCGCCCATATTTCTTGACTGAGTTTCGAGACTAATGCTACAATTGTGGAGTTTCTGCCCGTATGCAACTCGTTTCTGTAAACTCGTTTCTGTGATATCGAAATGTCACTTACCTTCGATCATAACTAAAAGGCTAAAATAATATACGTATCCCTATGGCTCTGTTTCACCGCTGTATCATTAGTTGCACATTTATTTAAACCCGCGATATTACTTTGCAATAGTTGACGTAAACCTTCTCACCTGCCTTCATTTCACATTCATACCTACAACATTCAATTGCAGAAACGCAAAGATCTTACGGTTATACAACTCACACATTAGATAAGAACATTGGTATTGAGGCTATAGACAAGAGACCAAATAGACAGTGATATTATTTAACAGCACATCTAAATAACTTAAAGATACTATTGTCTCGCCACATTCGTGTGTCGGATCTGTTGGACAGCAGTTAAATATTAGCCATACCAGCAAGATTCTACGCCGCTATTTCTTGTTACTCAACCTGCACAGTACCATTTTTCTTTTCATTAGCCCCATCCACAGTCTCTCTGAATGTTACAGATGGAGTCCATCCAACACTCTTCCGTGCATCAGTAACTTCGGCATACAACTCATCCACTTGCTCCAAGGTAAGTCCCTTTGTCTCGTAAATCATGAAGTACACGAATGCAATGCAAACGAAACAGCAGCCGCCCCACACGAAGAAGATTTTGGATTGTAGATTTGCGTTACCTGGGCCGTAGTTCACGAGATATGGGGTACTGTAGGCGATAGCCCAATTCAGCATCCAGTTTGAAGCAGTCGTCATCGAAAGAGATTTAGCACGAACTTTGAGAGGAAAGATCTCTCCAGTAACGACCCTGCTCGCCAGGATTTTGTTAGCCAGCGATCAAAAAATGGCTAAGGGGGAATGGAGTTTGTTCCATACCATGCAACAGGACCCCAAGAAGCCGCAAAGAAGAAAATATAGAAACATATGAATGCAATTGCTCCCTTCTGAGCTGGGAGGTTGTGTACAATAACGTTTCCAAGAGAGTCTTGGCTAGTAGTGGTTGTTCCTAGGATTGCGACGATGAATTGAGATATGCACATCCCAACCGCCCCCCAAAGAAGAACAGGTCTGCGCCCCCATTTGTCGATGGCGTACAAGCCTGGCAATGTTGAAACTACATTGACACAATTTGTGATCAAGCTAATGATGAATGAGTTTGTAAACCCAGAGTTTTTGAAAAATTGAGTTCCGTAATAAAATATAAAGTTGATGCCAGTAAGTTGCTGTAGACTTTGGAGAAGGCAGCCAGTAAGGAGACGTTTTAGGAGGTTCCCTTTAAAGCAATCTGCGTAGGTTGCCTTCCCTAAACTCTGCTCGTATTCATGATTGGCTTGAATCTCAGCAAGCTCGTCTAGAATAGCCGTGTCGTCTGCGTTAAGGCGCCTAATTTTTGCGAGAGCTTTCGCCGCAGCTGGCATGTTGTCCCTTTTGATGAGGTATCGTGGTGTTTCTGGGAGAACTAACATGCCACTAACAAGTATCATTGACCAGGCAAATTGTACTGCAATAGGGATGCGGTAACTCCCAGTATCTTGTCGATTGTGTGTTGCATTGTTGATAATAGAAGCCAGTAGAAGCCCGACAGTGATGGCAAACTGGTATGATCCAACGATTACACCACGAATCCACTTTGGGGATATTTCAGACTGGTAAAGCGGAACTATAGGCTGTGTTAGTAAAGCAAACTAATCAAAGTACCTTGTCTTTGACTTACTCATTGCTGAAATCAATCCTACTCCAAATCCTGCAAAAAAGCGACCAGCAAGGAATAGAGGTATGTCGACAGCAGCAGTTTGCAAAATGACGCCAACGCAGAAAACGACATTTGAGGCAATCAAGCCCCAGCGGCGACCAATAGTGTCTGCAACAGGGGCTGCTCCAAGCGCGCCAAAGAAAGTGCCTGCAGAGAGAATCGAGACAATAGTGGCTGACTGAGATGCGGTTACATCTCGATGGCCGCTACTATTCACAAATCCCGTCGAAAATGTATCTTGCCAGAAGGGCATAGCAAGAATGCCGCCGATTGTACCAGTGTCATATCTTTGGTTGAGTTAGCTCCGGTCACTGTTATAGAACCAGCATGGACAATCATCTAAAACTCCATAACTTACCCAAACAAAACTCCCCCAAAGGCAACGAATAAGCCAATCGAAATGGCTGGCCATGACTTTCCAGGAGTGCCTTCAGGCTTTTTTAACAAGAGACCCATATTGAAGTAAGCTCAATTGGTAGAAAATCTGTTCTCGAGACTTATTACTAATGTATGATTCAACAATGGTTGATTGACAATTTTGAAAGAACATCAAAGTGCGAACAACAACATCTTTATATGCAAGTCAGATACGCTTTGACTCTACATATCCAAGTTGAGAAACATATCTAACACAACAGGTGAGCAATTAGTAGAGACTATGGTGACCCCAAATCAGACAAGGAGAGCGGGCTTTCCATCGAATGTTTCCTTGGCGTGAGGGGGAATATCCTGACTGTTGTCGCATCTCCACAGGATTATTGGTTTGCGGAGATAACGTTTCTCCATGGGGTATATGCGGAGTAGTTGTGGAGAACGGGCTGTGATTATGAGGCAATTACTAAATCTGTGTACGACAGTGATCGCCGTCTTGAACAGAGTTAGGGATCGATGCTTCGTGACAGGATGTCCGGAGGGCCTGGATCGTCCTCGGTAATCGCTGTTACCACCGAAGCCCGCGATGGAGAAAGCTAAGCAAAGTTTAGCATCTCCTCGCCGTTAGAAAGCGGGGCTAGGATTGGTGCGGGAGTGGGATTCGCTTGTCGCTGATGTTGTCCGATCTCCGCTAGCTCCCAGCTAATGCACCCTTTCATAGCTTGGCTGCATAATGTGCGGTGCCGTATTCCAATTTAATAAACGGTTTTTCTAGGTGCCGCGCTAATGCCGAGAATTTGAGCCGAAAGCACGCTGACAACGTGATCTCTGGGGTTTGGTATGGAAGACTAACTAAAGACTAGACAACGGGAATGGATACCCCAGATTTACTCACTTGAGCTAAATCAATAATCTGCTTGAACTCTGTATTTCCCCATGTTTACTACTGTATGAGCGGCAGGGCACTTACAACATCGGTTCATCATGTGCCCAGCTTCCCCGCTATTCTATCTGAAGTTGACATCTAGGACAATCTCAGTGTAATGTAAACCTCGGGGAAAATTCTCGGGGGGATATCTCGGGACATGTTAACCAAGGAAAGCTAGACAAACAACTAGCTATAAAGACTGGCTATAAGACTGGCAACATGCACTTCAATGTCTCTGGTCAGAGTACGCACGAGTTCATTCTAATACGACTCTGCCCTCTTTGTCACGTCTCTGTTGATATCGATCTACCATGCGATCTTTGGTTTGCCGAACCATAGCCCTTGGGCTTTTGGTGCTACAGGTTGCTTCCGCGAATAATTATACAGAGCTCTATCGTCCTCAGTATCACTTTACGCCCGCGAAAAATTGGATGAACGATCCAAATGGGCTGGTTTATTTCAATGGCACCTACCATTTGTATTATCAGTATAACCCAGGAGGGATCACCTGGGGAGCGATGTCATGGGGGCATGCAACCAGTGGTGATCTAATCCACTGGGAGCATCAGCCAGTTGCTCTTCTGGCTCGTGGTTACCCAGGTGAGATCACTGAAATGTTCTTCTCTGGCTCCGCGATTGCCGATACGCAGAACATGAGCGGCTTCAGTACCAATGGAAATGTACCTTTTGTTGCCATGTATACATCATACGTGAGTAATCGACATTTGTTAGTTGGACAGTGCTGACTTTTGATTTTCTTAGTATCCAATTACCCAGACTTTGCCAAGCGGAAAGACGGTCCAGGGTGGCACACAAGCACAATCAATTGCTTACAGTCTCGATGAAGGCATGACATGGACCACATATGACGCTGGGAATCCTGTCATTGCACTACCGCCCTCTCCATATGAGGATCAGCATGAAGAGTTTCGCGATCCATTCGTTTTCTGGCACGAATCCACACAGAAATGGGTGGCGGTTATGGTTTTGGCTAAACTCCACAAAGTAGTTGTTTACAACTCCGAAAATCTGAAGGACTGGACTTACATCAGCGAGTTTGGCCCATTGAATGCGGTTGGGGGCGTTTGGGAATGCCCCGGCTTCTTTCCTCTTCCTCTTGACGGAGATAATGAAATCATTAAATGGGTTCTACAAATTGGACTCAATCCTGGCGGGCCCCCCGGTGTCGTTGGCTCAGGCACGCAATACTTCGTAGGAGATTTTGACGGAACAAATTTTGTTGCAGACGACACAAGTAGCCCAGACGACAACTTGACGATGGCGGATGAAACCAACTGGATGGACTGGGGCCCAGACTTTTACGCTGCCGCTACCATCAATGGGCTTTCCATGACAGATCGATACAATATTGCGTGGATGAGCAACTGGCAATACGCTGGATCGATCCCCACAAGTCCTTGGCGGAGTGCTATGTCCGTTCCGCGGAAGGTCTCACTTAAAACAATCAACAAGAAGGCAACCTTAATGCAACAACCTGCTGAAGGCTTAGCTTCCCTAGAGACGTCGGGAAGCTATTCGAAGTCCTGGGACAGTTTTCCAGAAGGCAATCAGAGATTAAAACTCTCCGGAAAAACACTCGACATCACATTGACCTTTTCCAACTCTGACCCATCCCTCGCGTTGTCGGCGGCCCAATTTGGTATCATTATACGGGCTACGTCTGATTTAGCACAGCAAACACGTGTTGGATACGACTTCGGTACAAGTAAACTTTTTGTGGATAGGACAAAATCTGGAAATACTGGATTTGATAGTACCTTCGCAGATGTATACTATGCGCCGTTGACGCCAACCAGCGATGGCAATGTGACAATACAAATCCTTGTTGACTGGTCATCGGTCGAGGTCTTTGGAGGAGAAGGGGAAGTCACCTTGTCAACTCAAATTTTTCCGAACGACAGTGGTACTGGTGTCTTACTATTTTCGACTGAAGGACCCACCAGTGGGGTTACTGTTAAAGCACAAGCTATCGGTTCTGCCTACGATAGATTAGTACCCGTACTGTCAAGCTCAAGCTTAGTCTCAACCTTGACCTCACGCTCAATCTCAAGCTTGACGAAAACAACAACCGCTTCAACTACATTTATTACGATCGATTGCGGGCCTTAGTGGACGAATATTCGTTAGAGGTTTATAGCGGAAAAGGCCAGGTAGTGATCTATAATGTGATTTTCCTCACAGATCAGCTCCGGCGGTCTCTCTCTGACAAGGTTGGGGGGGTAGAAGTGCTGCGGATTTTACTGTGATTGTGATTATCATGATAGTCGTTGAGATGCGGCGGCAGTAGCTGCATGATTACGTTTTTCTCTTGACAGGCACCTATGCTATACTTGCACATTTATTTTATAGCTTCTTATGTGTAGTCAACTATTCATTCTTCTCCGTATGACCCCCGTCCTTTTTTCGAGGAGTGTGTGTTAGTATATTGATATAGGGGGTGCCTTTACAAAGTCCCCAGTATTAGCTTAGATCCATTAGGTCCAATTCCAACTACAAGAATATTCATCTCACTTCGAAGTCGAGGTTTTGTTATTTCATAATTTGCTCTTAGAAATTTTGCTACTAGAAACTCTAAATGTAGACAACATTTAAAACCGCTGCCCTGACAACCTTGACAATACATAGTCCCATTTATTTATTTAATATGACCCTAAAACACGCTCTCTTAATATTAATCCTAACTTACCTATTGCCGGGCTAATTTTAGCTGCATCTCCAATCTTAAACAGCTCTGCGGCAATCGCAAAGCAGCGCCTTACACCCGGCCGAATCATTGATCGAAGGCATGGATCATTTGCTCCTTTGAAGCATGCCATGGTTGTAATAAAAAGACTAGATACGGAACAGATCCGTTAGCACTAGGCACCTTTTATAACATCTAGGAGCCATTTAAAAAGTGTCAAGCTTACTTAGCATAAATGCTCCAGGGGTTATGTGGACAGTTAGGTACCAGTGATGCCGCGGTTATGACGAAACCGAAGTAAGACTCGAAAAACCGTCCACAGTGAGCTATTGGTGCTGCTTCTAATTTTTCGGTGCTGATGACACTGTGAACTGCTGGCCAATAAATACCTGCCAAACATAGGTAATATTGCATCTGGAGAAATCCAGTCATAGCCATGACACTCGAAGTCGGGGAAGAGCTCAGATTCTGAACAAAATTGTCAGGAGGTGGTACGGTCACATCATGGTGCCCAAAACGTATACTTGAAGGAAGGTGACTGTGCCAGGTATCAAGTTGGTATGTGAGCTCCATGGCGACGACTGGAGAATAGCGCTCTTGGCCTTGGGAAACTATTACGGAGGTGGTGCAGCGGCGAATCATGCGGCACATGGCAATTTGGGCTAGAAAGTAGGCCTTAAGAGTGTCCGAGGGCATTCCAAAGCTTTGGGTAGGTCGCATGCTGTATAGTAATTTCCGCTGGTCCTCGCGACATGGCTGCCAAGAGGTCTGTACTCCTGGGAGGAGGATACGATCGTCAAATTTCCATATATTGCTTTCAGGCATATCAATGTGGTATGAAAGGTCGCTAGTAATACAGTATCAGCATTAATCACAAACTGAAAACGATCCGGAACATCGGACCTTTCAATAAGGAGTATCGACCAAAATGATCGTCTAAGAATATCGCTCTGCCTTTCATCATCCTCAAAAAGTCGACTAATCCTCGAATTAGCTAGAGCTAGACCATTAATATAGCGACGTTGATACGTACCACTTGAGTATGGCTTGGGCCTTCGAGGACGCCATGAGAATGTAATCATGAGCCTGGCATGGTTTTGCTATAAAGCAATAGTATACACTTAGAAGAACGAGGCACTGGACGCTCGCCAAACTAAACTCAAAATGCACATTAGGAAGCATGCAAAGGGCTCTGCTGATATATCGGGAGTCAGGTCGTGTGTCGTAGGCTGATGTAAGTGATGGGCATTGTGCGATAGAGCCAACGGCACACACGAGCAGCAAAAGACAAGCATCCGACGATGGATTAAGTGGGCTGCTAAGCTTCTCAAGATAAAAGTCAAAGGTTTCTGACGAAAAAATAGGGTACCAATGATGCATCTTATCATAGAAAGCCCCGAACACCCTAAGTACTTAAGTAGGAGCCCATTTAATTATCGTCGGTCCTCACTAACCTTATTGCATCCTCATATTGAAATTCGAGGTCAAGCGCTTCATTTGGAGCAGACAACGCAGAAATATCAGTTCTCTCCTTGGCTACCAGCTGAGCCGCAAGCCTAGGATTGAGGTCGAGCAAGCACATCATCGACGGGGTCTGGATTGTCATAAACGGGAATTCCTTTCTCCATTGTCGGCTAATGATAGATTCGTCGAGTGGATAGTCCCGTAATGGTGGCAATTCGGGAAGGTATCCAGGAGGCCTTTCAAATATTCTAGCTTCTTGGCCAATAAGCCGTACGGATACCAGGCCATAAAGATGATCTAAGCGCTCCTGTATTCCAGCGATCCCTTCATCATGCCTACAAGGCGAACAATTTTTAGCAAGCTTACTCTGTGAGAATTGGGACAGGCATTACCTCGAAAGAGGTGGAGGAGCCACACTCGGATAGGTGCATTGTATATCATGGCTCTCACAAAATGAGCACATTGGCTTTTGTTTATCGCACCTTGTCCTCCGAGATCGGCACACATCGCATGCGACTGTGACTCGTCGTCTTGCATTATAGGCTTCAGCCATTATCGCCAGAGATTGATGTTCTAGTTGCAGTTATTTGTATTAGTGCTCGTGGTGGATGCTACTTGTGGTTAAATACAGGACGAAGTTGAGCTGACCCTGCCCCCTACCTACGTCAAGGCCACCAAATTCTATGGGGCTGCGGCCTTACTTATGGTGTGGCCTACCCCGCGTTTTCGGTCGGCACATTCTAAACCCAGGGCTCTCGCTAACAAATTGCCTCATACAGTAAACTAAACCGAAGGAATAATCTTGTAGGCGAGTCACTCACTTGGAATAATGAGGTCCACTAGGGAACCTTAACTTATGAAATGGACGAAAGCGCCATATAATTACCACAACCAGTAGAATCTACCGTTGTCCCCAACCTCCGGTACTTTGTTTTTGGATTGGGAAGCAGCAAATATCAGCTTCGTTGTTGTTGTTGATCGCTCACTGACAAGCGGGAGCGCTCAACGCCTTGGCTTTGTTGGCAAAGCAGATGAAACACTAAGATCCGATCGCAATTGGAGAATGTGGAAAGAGAATATTTTAACTCACTTAGGAGATTCTCTCAGTCGAGAACAGCTACATTCACGTCAATTGAAATATGAGGCGGAGATCGAATTAGTGGATGCAGCAGAAAAATATGGAAACCCGGACTGTGCACACGGAACTCTACAAGTCGCAATCAACGCAGGCCCGAGGCCAAGTCTACTACGCTCCCATATGCGATACCCAAGGAATTGACGAAGGGTGGTATACAACGTGGCAGCTTGAATAGTGCCTTGTCCCTAACGTATCTGCATATTGAGTTTGGTCAGAAGAACGCGGATGATTCATTCAAATACGAAAGTGGGGATCATATCGCCGTCTGGCCAGTAAATCCCAACCAAGAAGTTTAAAAGCTTATCCAATTATTCGGATGGGATGGGCGCAAGCTCCATTCTGCTATCAATATTAGATCAACAGTGACAGTCGATGGGGAGTCTACCTATACAAATCTCTTTCCCGGCGGCAACGAGACGGGAAATCCTACTCACAGATTGTCTTGATATATGCGAACCTGTCTCACAAGAGTCTGTAACTCTCCTCGCTCATTTGCGCCAAATGATTCCTCAAAAAGGAAGCTGAAGAATCTCATAAACGACAACGTTCCTGGGCCTCACAGTCAACAGTTTCTGGACTATTGGAAGGTTAATGAAGTTTGCTAACTCGGAGGATATGACGGTATGGCCTTTGACACTGTTTACCTTGCTTGTGCAGTTGCTTCCAAAGTTGCAATCTCGCTATTTTTCTATTGCATCTTCTCCTAAGTCCTCCCCCCATCGGATAGCAATCACAGTCGGCGTTGTGAATGAGCAGATTGCTGGCACAGAAGAGAGGTTCTACGGCTTAACAACAAATTACCTCATTGACTTACACCGACAGCTCCGATCTGAGACACAACACGTACTACGGCTAATCGTTCTAACATGCCAGTTGTGTTTCCGAATGCAGGTAAAGTTCTCGCCCATATCCGCACCTCCGCCCTCCGCCTCCCACTAGATATTTGAAAACCCATCATCATGGTTGGGCCCGGTAGCGGCATTGCACCCTTCCGAGCTTTTGTGCAAGAACGCGCTGGTCTCGCCGCCGAAGGCTTCACCATTGGGCCGGTGCTACTCTTCTTCGGTTGCCGGTCTTCCTCTTAGAACTTCCTCTATGCGGACGAATGGGAAAATTGCAAAAGGGAGCACAAATTTTTTAACATCGACTGCGCGTTTTCGAGAGATGGCGAACAGAAAGTTTATGTGCAGGATCAATTTCGAGAGAGGGGCAGGGAGGCGAGGAGATTGGTTGTGGAACAGGGCGCGGCGTTCTACATTTGTGGTAGTACGAAGATGGCTAAAGATGTTAAGGAAGTGCTTATTGGGAGTCTAACGGATTCTACGTGGGACAAAGAGAGGGCGGTTCGGTATGTAAATCAGATGAAGAAAGAGCATCTTTTCCAGGAGGATACATAGACGTAGAGCCCATTAGATTATGGTTAATTTATGCAAATAAAATAATGTTACATTGTTTTTACAGCCCGCATATAATATCAAAAACCGCGCATGAGATGTTCAGGTGCGTCTACAAATTTAGCCATCGGCTCGCAGAGGCCCAAAACGCATTAGCCATCTTCTCTTTGTCACGGAGGTCGTAAGTGCCGTCTACAATTCTGTCACAGCAGAGAAAGGCGTCGGCGAGCCCCGTGGCACACACCAAGGCGTACGATCTGCCCGTTTTGTACATACGAGTCCTTATCCGGGCTGTGGAACGGGATCTGGTTTCCGGGGAGGAGGAACTCCGCACCCAGCGGATGCACCCATGAAAACCGCACGCCGTCGTTCCAGGCGGCGCCTATGCGAAAGCACTCCTTAAAGTTGCCCGGATATGTTGTCTTGGCTCGGTTTAGACCCTCGTCGCTAGCAGAGCAGAACATTGGGGGGGGGTTTTTTTTCTTTTAGGCCGTGATGACGGCCTGTTGCCGTTGTTTTACCTCTTCACTGTCTGGATCGCGGTTCCTGATAGTCTAGCCCATGAAGATGATGTCGACGTCGCAACGGATGGCCCACTTTATTGCCTGCCCACTATGGATGTTAATGAATGGAATCCAGGATAATCTAGAACAAATACTCGATTATAAATATATAGCCTAGCAACGTACTGTGAATATACAGTATGGTAACATCCTATGCTACCCATTAGCTCAAAGTATGTCATGTCTGGAGTAGAAGTCCACATCTGCTCCCACCCTCCAATATCGCCGTCCAATCCCCCCTCGCCATCCTTGGCAGGGTCAACTCCACAAAGCAAGTAAGCTTTAGGCCAAGCTTCTGGCGCTCCCGCTCTCCTTGACGGACCTTGTCGGATTTAAAGTACCTTTTTCCAATCTTGCTTTCGGTCTTTCGGGTCCTTCGGGTCCTTCGGGAAATACTAGCAGCGAGTATACTCATACGCGTAGTCGAAGTCGGGGTGTGCCGGATAATACTAATTCTCCGGCGGCCCCTCTCTGTCTCCACGTGCGAGGCAACAATGGGTATTGAAATACCACTTGACCCCGAAAGACACGAATTCATGCGCTATAACAATTATTGGGTTGTATAATACCGAATATCGCTGTGTCGTTTGATAGATGCATTTTCGGTAAATCTCGCTCTCTAACCTAGTTAACCCAAGTATTTAAGGACGCATCTACCCGTAAACAAGTAAACATCTATCTACTGAGAATTTCCATCGACAAAACCCAACTAGCAACATTGACTCCCAAACCAAGCCATGGCTTCCGCTGGCCCCAAGATCGGTGTCATCATCTGCAGCGCCCGCACACCACGCGCCTGTCCGCAGATTGCCAACTTCATCATCGAAACAATCAAACCCGCCAGCCTACCTACGCCGTCTAATCTCCAGCCGCCATCCCTTACAGTGATCGATCTCCAAGAATGGAACCTCCCCATGTTCAACGAATCTGCCGTCCCCTCCCAGATTCACTCTTACACCGAGTACGACCACGCCCACACCCAGAGCTGGAGTCGGGAAATCCAGCGCTACGACGCCTTCATCTTCGTGACCCCTCAGTACAACTGGGGTTACCCAGCGGTAGTCAAGAACGCCATTGATTACCTATTCCATGAGTGGAAAGGCAAGGCGGCCATGATTGTGAGCTATGGCGGGCATGGCGGCGGCAAGGCCAATGCGCAGCTGAAGCAGGTGCTCCAGGGGGTACGAATGAGACCGATCGAGAAGACGATCGGGCTGGCGTTTCCAACTAAAGAGCTTCTAGTGAAGGCTTCGAGTGGGGGAGACTTAGAGCTGGTTAGTGGTAGCGGAACGTGGAGCGCTCAGGGGGGGAGTATCATCGAGGCTTACAAGGAGCTCTTGGAGGCGGTATCTGCAGATGTTGTTTCTCTATGAAATCTGAACTAGAATTCTCCTCACAAACTAGGCCCCACTTGTATTCGATTGGATTTGATATCATAGAAGGAGAATATTTGAATATAAATGCTGGCCTAGAGAGTGACGGTCGACTTGATTAAAATTTATAAGAGGCCGAAACATTAAGTCTATTATTCCCTAAAGCCCGTTAGAAGATTAAGCTTAGTCCCGTATACTTCACAGGTGCATCAAATCTTTGCAAAGCCACATATTACAGTACAGTATGTATAATGCAGTATTCTGAAGTAGACGAGGCCATAAACCAGATAACTCCAAAAGACTTGTTAGAAGTCAGCCCCCTACTTCATACCACTTCATCATCATCCATATGCAGCTGGTAAAACGATAGGCGTACATCCACTAGCAAATAACAGTTGAACAAGCAATAAGATATTGGAAATAGAGTTTCCCAGACTCACCGCTAAACATGTCTACACCCCGCTACAGATGCAATATCCGTCTCTGTCTCACAAGTTGGGGTTGGGAGCTGGGAGGGGGCCCTGCATATGTTCGCCCAACGGCCTTGGGATGGCTTGCTTGGATACAGATTAATTTTCTGTCTCAGGTCAGCTCGAGATCAGTACATATAATCCGCATCTTTTATTCCGTACGAGTAACGCCCTTCGCCATCTCGATTTAAAGCAAATCCCAACAAGAGATGTTTTGTCTCAGCTCAGCTCAGCTCTAGGCCTGTTGACATTTATTATATTTTTCATTCTATACGACCAACCAACTCTCTTCCTCATCTTAGTTTAAATCCGAATCCCAAGCGAACTACACATCTACAAAAGGATACTCTACCTCGATATCTACAGCTTTTCATCGCCCAACATCAAAGCACCATATCCCAACAAGCAGTCTATTTCCAGCACACCAACACCTCCTCCCAAGTCCTACAAAAATGCACTTCTCCGCGCTCGCAGCCCTCGTCAGCACCCTGTCCGCCCTAGCATCAGCTACCCCAACACCAGATCTATCAGACGCCGAACTGGAGAAGCCTGCAGTTGCCCCCCTCGCTGTCTAGACAGAACGCACCATCTCCCTCCATATAAAGCAATATATCCCAAAACTCACTCAGTTTCCAACACACCCACAACAACGCCTCCCCACTCCCACAAAAAAAAATGCACTTCTCCGGACTCACAACCATCATCATCAGCACTCTCTCCACCCTAGTCGCCGCACAGGAAGTGCCAGCGGTCAGGATCTGCAAGAACGCGAATTATGAAGATTGCCTTGACATAAAAGCCACAGGGGGGTACTGTGGTAAGTTCCCGTACCAAGGAATCCAGGATCCAGCTATTATGCTCTCCATTCTCTCTCGGGAATACATAGATACATACCATATTTCTCGACTAACATCAGCCCAAAGGATCTCTACGGCCCATGGAATGATTCCATATCCTCAGTCAAGATCCTCAGTCCCGCGCTAGGAATCTGCGGATTCCACAAGTAAGTCCGCCCGCCGCCCGCCCCATAAACCAACCTGCTTTGATCAGGCCTACCTACTCTGCCAGAGCTACAAATGCAAGGGACCGCGATTGTAGGGGCCCCTATTTCACGATTGATTATCTCACCCCCGTCGACGATGTTCAGCGGTACGCCGGGTTCAATGAGCAGATTGGCTCGTTCCTATGTACGGGGATCGTGGAGTGATGCTTTGTTTACTTGGTTGGACTGAAGTAGGCGCGCGGCGGTGAAAGGAGCACCACCACGTGTCAGTCTACCTCACTACCTCTAGAGTCGGAGTGCAATATGATGCGTATCCATGATATCAGGTTGAAGGACTCTCAGAACCCCAAGCTGACACCACCTCCTTGCCTATCAACGAGTTGTTCTATGACTTCTCCTGGACACATACGCTATCTCACTCCACGAGCGCATACACACACACCACGAGACAAACACCATCACTAACGCAAATGTTCATCGCAAACATAAACACAAACACCAAAATCAAAGATCATAAATCCATCGATTTCATCTATACCTCCATCCCATGCATGCATGCGTCTAACTCCCCTCCCCTAGTCCTGTGAACTGTATCCCCAACTCAACTCAGCTCCTCGTATCATCTCTCATCTCTCCAAATCTCTCATTTCATCCCATCACTCTTCGAGCGTTAGATCTATATCTACACCCTCCTCCCCCTCCCAACCAGCTCTTCAGGGCCTCGTTGGAAAAGCAGAATCCTCAAATCTCAATATCCCCACAGCCCAAACCCAAAAACTGAAACATAAAATCCAAACAAAAATCATGGAAAACTTTCATCCAACCAACCCATACCCCCATACCCAAAGCCAAACCCCCCAAAAATCCAAAAGAACCCCCACCAACCCAACCCATAAGTCCCCATAAACCGTAAAAATCCATAAATCCATAATCCAGGAAGTCAAAACGCCCAAAAAAAATCACAAAATAACCACACCACCCCCAACCAAACCCCAACCCAACCTCATAAAAAAATCATCACTCCCCTTTCTCACTCCTCACCACCCCAGCAAAGTCATCGTCAGCACAAACCATCCCCCATCAAACCTCGCCACCAACTCAACGCACACCGCAAAGTCGATAGTCTACCTAACATCCAACTGAAAAGGCTTAAACCTCCCCCCCACACACGCACACCTCGGACACCTCCTCCTCGCCCCCTGCCCCGCCATCAGGACATCAACACACATCTGACAAAGCCCACACACACACTCCGTGCACGCATAGCTCTCTCGGAGTAAACTAACGCCCTGGCACGCGGCGCAGTAGATTTGTACGTTCGCTCCGCCCGAGGGGTGGGGTGGGATATTCTGGAGGCCGGGGAGGCGGTTGGTTTGACCCCTGTCAGGACCGTTGCTGGGGTCGCTATTAGGACCGCGATGGTCGTGAGGGATGCGATGGTCCGGACGCTCGGGTGTGGGGATCGTCTCGACGCTCGGGAGGGCGGGGGGGGAGAAGTTATAAGCTGGGGGTGTGAGAGCTTGTTGGAGGGGCGAGGCGGTGTAGGCCTGCATCTGTGCTGGCGGGAGTGACGACCTCGGCGCGCTGAGGGGGGATGCGGGAAGCTGCGTTGTGTTAGTCTCTCTTCTTCGCCAATCTTGGGTGGGGGGTACAAAAACATACAGGCGTCCTATCCTCCCCAACATCACTAGTCGCACTCGTCGCCGCATCCAACAAATCCTCCCACCTCTTCCCATACCCAAACCCCGACGGCTCAGCACTCATAGCCTTCCTCTCATAGCTCCCCCTCCTCATATGCCCCAACCCCATCCCATCACGGCTCTTATGTCTCTTATGCGGCGGCTCCCTCGCGTGCCTACTAAGCGACTGTTTGCGCGGTCTCGCATGCCCCTGCGGTGGTCGGATAGGTGGGAGTGTTGAAGAGCGGTTGGGGGGGGAGTGCGAGAGGAGTGCGGAGAGACGGTCGTTTTGGCGTGGGAGGGGCGTGTATGGGGATGAGGTGGGGTGGTCGAGGCGTCGGAGGGGGGGGAGCTCGATGGAGGAGAGCATGCTGCGGGGGTGGTGGAGTTCGGTGTCGGAGTGCCATTCCTGGGAAGGGGGTGTGAGTAATTGCCTGATACTAGAAGTACTAGATGGGGAATGTATTGGAAGAGGACCTGGGGGACAAGAAGCGTACCATATCAGAATCCCATTCCGGCTCGACTTTATGAGTATGCAACTGCGCGAGTGCCGCCGCAGCATTAGCAATCGGTGGCACAGAGGTGTATTCTTCGATATTCCTCGGTGTCCCTGGACCACTAGACGAAGCGTAGTGATTGCGCTCATGCGCGTGTGCTATAGCTACATTAGCTTTATGACGTGGGATTGAGAGATTGAGAGGGTAGCGACGCACCTGTCGACGAAAGCGACTGCTGCTGCGCCTGCTGCTGCTGCTGCTGCTGCTGCGCGGGCTGCGGTCTCTCCGACGGCGGGGTATTAATCATAAGCTGGAAGCTCTCCTCGGTCGCCGGCAGCTTCGAGATGTAATGTTCCGGGTGCGCGCGACGGATGTGCTCCTGCATCGAGCGATATCGTTTTTCCTGCGAAACAAAAGCATGGTCAGCGATGTAATTCTCGGTCGTCATGGGAGCTAGAAGCTATCGAGGAGCTATCGAAGAGCAATGAGGAACGGGCGCAGAAACTCACCCCGAGACACCTCTTCCGACACCCCGAACCATCATGATTGCGCAGCGGACAAACAACCTCATTCGTTGCGTCGGCGAGGGGGAAGGACGACGTGAGTGCAGAGCGCTGGGGCGGCATGGTGGCGGCAGCGACGGCGAGGGTCCCCACCATGCGGAGCGCTGGAGCTTGGGCTGGGAAGTTGTGAGAGTTGTGTACGTCGTATACTCGGGATTGTGCGAGTTGTGCGCGGCGCTTGGTGGGTGGTGGTGGCGGCGATAGGGCGAGGATGGCGATAAGAGGTGTTGTGAAGCGAGGGCGGGGTGGATGTAGGAGAGAGGAGCTGAGAGGTTTGGGGGGATTGAGGGTTTAGAGATGAGAGGTGAGGGTTTGAAGAGGAAGTGAAGCTTCTCGGATAGATGGATGGTGGGTGTGATGGGAGGTATAGTAGGTGCGAGGGAATGGTCGGGGCAGGTTCAGCTCTGTGTGTGTTGTTTCGGGGGAAAGAAGGTAGAGCAAGCTGAGGAGTGGTCGGGGAGGTAGGTTCGTAGGTAAGTAAGCTCTTGGGTTGTGTCTGTGTGGTGGTAGTGGGAGAGGTGGGTGGGTGGTGGGCGGTGGGTAGGGCGGAAGGGGAGTGAGTGAGTGAGAGGAGGAGGAGGAGGATTGGGGGCGGGGGTGAGAGGTAGGAAGGTGTGTGTATGTGTGTATGTATGTATGTGTGTGCGTGGGATGATGTAGAGGATGAGGGACGAGGTACTCTAACTGGGCGAAGTACCTGGATGGGGGGAGGAGGAGGAGAGGTACACTTAGGTTAGACTTCTTTCGAGGTACTAACTATTAGAGGTTGTTAGAGGTCGTTAGAGGTACTAATTTAGAGGTAGTTGACTCGAGGATGTAGGCGTGGGAGTCGTGTAATTGGGTAGAAGGGGAAGATTTGGTAGGACTAGTAGGGTAGTTGTAGTAGTGTAAGTGTAAGTATAGTAGTTTTAGTAGCAGTTTAGTAGTAGTTTAGTTAGTTTAGTTAGGATAGTATGCACGAGTAAGAGCAAAAGATTGGTAGCAGAGAGGTCTACAGACGAGTATTCGAGTCGTCGAGTGTGGCCGACCGAGTACTTCGAGTATCGTCGAGTATCGTCGAGTTACGGGAGTAGTGTCTGGTAGAGTAGAGGTGGTAAGTGGTAGGTACCACATAGAGTGACCCAAGCCAGCAACGAAACCAAAACAAGAACAAAAACAAGCAAGAAACTGTGCTGTGGCAGGTAAGGGCCCGTGGGTGCATACGGTAATCATACCGAAGTGGTAATAATGCTAGGTAGCTCGGCAAGATGGTTCAGATTAATGTGTATGTTGATGTGTGTGTTAATGTGCTACTGTTACTGTATTAGGGTGAGTATTGGATGTTTAGGAAGCAAGGAAGGGTGGTTGTAAGGTAGCATTGAGTGAGCAGAGTAGGGTCATGAGTGAGGGTATAAGGGCAGGAAGAGCAGGAAGGGGAAAAGGGTGCAGGGAAGGGTCTTCTTTCCCCTCTTAGTCCTGTTAGAGTACCACTTACCACTATAGTCCATAGTCGAGCTGTATTTATTCTATGGTAGACTAATATAGTCGAGTCTGTAGCATCGTATATGTACCACTCTAGATGAACACACGACACGAACACGCACGGTACTTGGATGAAGACTGCCGTGTCGTGTCCCCTCTTGTCGTCCGTCGATAGTCGATAGGTGGCTGTAAGTATCTCGAGTGGGAGCTATGTTATCGTAGCTATGGGCCAAACAAAGCTATACTACTCGTAAGTACCCTACCTAAACAATCCCATAGCCACCTCCGTACACATCCCAAATCCCACTTCTCCCTCTCCTACCCACAATCCTATATCTACCGTAGACATATACTCGGCATCCCCGTCCGTTTCACAACAAAGCTCTCCGTTCGCAGCTACCCCCGTGTGTGTGTGGTTCAATCGTGGGTGTTCTCCCAGCCAGTTGTTGTACAGTACCTCCGAGCTCCCCCAAGCTCCGTCTTATCCACCGATAAACCACATGGGATAAAAGCAACCCAGTGAAGGGGGAGGGGTAGCTAGCTACCAAAAGTACCCTTCCACTCACTGGCTCAGAACGGAGAAACTCGACGGTCGGATGATGATATGCCCCTGCCCCCTTAACCAATCACTGTGCTCTGATTGAATAAAAGAAGCGAAAGAGAGACATGGAAGTACCGAGGGGAGTGGGTGTACACAGGAAGTACCCCGAGTCAGATACATAGCGCATGATGACGCTTGTGTTTGAGAAGAGAGGAGGAACAACTCAAACCCGCAGTAGATGGATGGGTAGGTAGGATAGCTGGGAGGAGCTGAGGAGCTGGTTGGGATGGGATAGCTAAGCTATACGATAGATCCTGCGCCTCATCCTCAATAATCGTATATAACTATAAAAATATAACCTATCCTGAACAAACAAACCTCTCACTCCAACAAAACGACCTATCTCCCACTCTCGCTCTTAACAATCAATCAATCAAATCAATTAATCAGATTACAACTAACCCCGCCCTCCAATCGAGTCATCCATCCACCACTCACTCAACACGACAACCCCCCCACGGCATCCCAATTGGCTACACCAGAAAAACTCTCCTAATCAAGCTTTGCCCCTCACCGCCTGTTCTGTTCGAGTCGAGTGGTCGAGTGGTCGAGTGAGTCCAGCTGGAGCTGGACCTAGAGCTCTGTCAATGGACGCACGTGATACATAAAGAATTTTCAGGATGGTTGTGATCACGTGGTTATTTGGATGATGGTCACGTGGAATATATGACCACAACAGCAGTTTCTCACCTTATTGTTTCTCGAATAAATCGTATAGTAAGAGAGTGAGGAGGAAGGGGGTTAAAACTGGTGATGCATCCCGCCCTACACGCACCAGTTAGTCATTTCATTTCATCTCATCTCATCTCATTCCATCTTTCTCCCATCTCCCCCCCCCCACCCCCTTCACCACCACCAAAACAACAAAACCAAACCCCCCAAGCCATCAAGCCGGGGAAAGATAGACTTTCTCACCTCAGACCAACACTCCACCCTCCCCCTCTTTCTAAACCTCTCCTCCTCCTCCGTACTAACAACCCTCCCCCCCATAATCGTAACCCTCACCACCCCATCCAGCATCCCTAGCTCATACAACCGTATGGCAGCCCGGATGTTGGGGTGTTGCTCGATGGCCCAGTAGTGGCGGCTGGTGGGGTCGAGGTGGCTCTTTAGACGGGCCATGCGGGCGATTATTGAGAGGCGGTTGGGGAGGGGGAGGAAGGGGAGGAGGGAGGAGGAGTAGGGTGTGTATTTTTGCATGGTGGGTGGTGTTGTGGTTGTGGTGGTCGTGGTGGTCGTGGTGAAGTGAATATCTGTTACATAGGAAGAGAGGGAAGGTGTTCACATTGATAAAAGGAGGTTGGTGGGTAGTTAGTTATAGCTAGCTCGTAGAGAATCGTATGATACTATTTCTCACCTGGATTTAGTAGTAGTAGGTAATCGTATGATACTATTTCTCACGTGGATTTAGTAAATAGACGGCCTTACTTATGCAGTTGTTGTTATAGCTATAGTAACTAGAGAAAACAATATGGTGAAAGAAGGGTAAAGAGTTTATTATAAATCCCCCCATCCCCCTACTCATTATCCACCTTCTACCCTTCCATAACAGGAAACCTCATCACAAACCTTAGTAGGTATTATCTCACGGAGAATCGTATGATACATTATTTACCACGTAGATTTAATAGAAACTCATTCACTTCATTAACCCCAATCGCCCCTACAAATCTCTAACCAAGATTCACCGGAAACGAATCCCACCCCACGCACCCCTCCTCACCAGTGTTCGGCACGGATACCAATATACCCGTAGTATCCGGGTATATCCTCGAGTATATACCTACCCGGCGATATTTGAAGAGTATCCGGCGTATCCGGATACTCTCGAGTATATATCCGGATACATGCCAAGAGTAGCCAAGCATAGCTAAGGCTTCTTTTTACAGACGTCGTCTTAACGTTATGCTTAAACTATAGCCTTATAAGCATACTAATATCCTTAATATCTAGTTATTACCTATTACTTAGGCTATTTAGTAGTTCTAGTAACCTCTATAGCCTTAGAACAAGTATTTAGTAATA